TTCAAGAAGACTTGTAAGGATTACATGGTACCACCTAGTAGGGCACCAAAAATTAATTGGAAATTGAGATTATCTTAAACCTCAAATCAATAGATCAAAATGTAGATAACAACATTTTAAAATACTGTAAAGAACAAACTATGACTAAAGGGGAATTAAATTTCCTAGTAAGAAATTTTAAAAAAAGGATTGAATTAAAAATTTTTTGGAGTAAAATCACTGATGGTTTTTGCTAGTAGGAGTATTTAAAAATTCAAGATTATATCCTTCAAATTATGATATTAAGACTGGAATTTTTATTAAAGGTGACTTATTTTATGATCATTTGGTTGGATTTGAAGGAATGAGATATAAATTTTGGACTTTTATTACTATAAATCTTATGAAAGTTGCTGCTGAGCAATTAAACCTGTCAATAAATGTATGAAAGGAGATAATCAAGTTATAATTATCAAGTACAAGCAGGATCAAATAGAAATTTATATGCTACTGAAAAATAAGTTATTTAATTAATAATAATTAATTAAACGGTGAATTAGACAAGAAAAATGTAATTTTTATTAAAAATAAACTATTTGTAAAAAATATGCTACATCCGCATACCACTTACTCATGAGAATCATTTCTAAATTTTGAATTAAAATTTTTTTTTGAGTGCTACTTGTTTTTAAAATTTTATGAAATTTAGTATATATCTAAAATAAATTTCGAGTAAAAAATTAGGAAAATTTACTTTGGACTTAGTAAAATTTCCTCTAAAAGTAGTAAAAATTGTTATTTACAGAGTAACTTGGACTATTACGGAAATTCATTTTCTTTGTAAAAATGAAAAAAATTACATTAAAAACTGAATCATTGCATTATATATAGGCTAAAGTCGTGGATTTGGATTGTCAACTAATTTTGAAAATTATAATACTTTTTACTGTTAATTATTTTGAAACTTAATTTTTAAAAGAAATTACATGTATCAACCTAATAAAAATAGTGGAAAATTCGAACTTTATTATTTCTAAAAAGTAGCTTCAGGATCAACGCGAATGTTTTCAAGTGTGTTTATTTATATTTTCTCCAAGTTATTAACATTTAAAAATCGTGAAAATCAGCAAAGTAATTCTTATCATTTTGTGATTCTAATACTTTAAAATTACTCCTGCAAAGTATTATCATTTTTTTTTTAAATTCGTCGACAACGATTTTATTCGAAATAGAAAAAGTCATTTTTTATTAGCCTTCATACGAAATGTTATTAATTCAAGATGGAAATACTGTCAGTCAGGGTGTCTATAACTAATCTGAAAAAAATTTCCCTGACATTTCCAGGTTTTCCAGGCCTTCTAAAATTTTTTTTCCAGGTTTTTAGAATCGACATAATAAAAAATACATTGCTTAAATTTTATTTGATAATAATTATTAGAATTCAATAATTATTTAAATACAAAAATAATTTATTGAATTATTGAATGTTTCTTAACATTTAATTCTCATAAAGAATTTTACCAACAAATTTTTCAATTGATGACGAATTTGAATAAAATTTTTAAGAATAATTACATTTTTCGAACAATTCGATTAATTAATTGGATTAAAAATAATTGAAATTCTTTGATTTTTATTATTTATGAAAATAATTGAATAGTTGTTAACAATTTTATAAAAAATTTTCAAATTAAATAATTGAAGTCCTGAGAAATTTGTATTACTCCCGAAAAAATGGAATTCTTACGAAGATTTTTACAAAAAAATTTTTAAATAATTAAATTCTGTTTGGAAATTTTGTGAAAATAGTAGATATTGAAAATCATTGAATTGCGAAAAGTTTTTAAAAATAATTCAATTTTACAAAGAATTCTATTATAATTCTTATTATTTATGAAAATAATTGAATTCTTTCGAACGATTTAATAAGAATTTTTTTAAATAATTGAATTTCCAAGAAAAAATGCATTACTTTTAAAAAGTAATCGCGGAATTCGGACTGTGTTGTCTGGTCATCGAATGGAGATCGAGAGACTCCAAACTGAAGTACGGATGTTACGTGGAGATGAAAAAGACAGAACAGTGGCTATTACTAATAATCTTAAGAGATTAGATAGCGTTCAAGTCGCAAAATTTTTGGTTAATGATTGTGTATGTAATTCGTTAAATATTCGACTTCCTTTCGTTCCGGAGGATTTAGATAGTGATCAGTTTTCGATCGAGCGTTAGGGTCTTGTTTTGGAATTCGATCACTTGGAAGTTTTGCCATTAGCTTGTATAAGAGTGTCATGAAGATAGAGAAACGGTTTACGGGACTAGTTCACTCGTTTCCCCACATTGATTATCCGATGGTTAACGATTTATGGCAGTTGATAAATGGTGTGGCTTTTGAAAAGAAATTAGAAACAGAGGTTTTCGTTCAAATTTTGAAGTGTATTTGTCAATGGATGTATAAATATCAGATTTATTTAGAATGCGACGATTATTATCAAATTTTGTGTCACCAGATGCAACAAGTTATTCTAAAACACGGTGATTTATTTGGTGCTAAAACTGGTCTAAGAAGACGATTTAAGATCGTTGAATGTCCGGAAATTATTTACCTAAGTGATGAGTATTATGAGAGATTTATTAAACCATGTTTATTGAATTTACACGAGGTAATGGTTGGTGGGGACACGAAACCATTATGTGTAATTGAGGATAAATGGAGGACACCATGTGGAATGTTGGTTACTAGCGGCCAGTTAGGTTTTCATCCATGTGTTGCTTTTTATTTTATGAAGGGAAAGGAGATGAACTTAATTCCGGAACCTGTATCGTCTTTATTCGGATATAAATAGTTTTACAGATTTGCGTTTGTCGGTTGTTAACGCTGGTAGTAAAGTAGTACAGAACCAGAAAGTAAAGGGTGAAAAGAGGTCTTTTTGTCGACTATGTGTAAGAGAGTATCCAACTCCCCAGTTTGCGAGATTATGTGGAATTAGGTGTTCATTTCTTATGAAGGGTTTGAATCCGAGGGATCCAACGTTGGTTGTAGATGAGAAATTAATTTCAGGGGTTGAATCATTGAGGTCAACGACTACTATGGAAAAAAAATAATAATTGAATTCTTGTAATGAATATTGTTATTTATGAAAATAATTGAATTTTGCAAAGAATTTTATTAAAATGTAAAAGAATAAATGAATTATTTCAAAAAAAATGTAATTAAAATTGTATTTAAAATAATTGATTTCTTTCGAACAATTTTATTAAAATATTTGAAAATAATTGAATTCCTGTGAAAAATTCTAATATTTTTGTAAATAATTGAATTCTTCCAAAGAATTTTAAAAAAAAACATTTTTTTAAGTAATTGATTTTCGCGAGGAATTGAAATTAAATTTTTAGCAATTTCTGTAAAATTGTATTAAAAATAATTAAATTATTAAAATTTTCAAAAATATTTGAATTCCTGAGAAATTTATATTATTTATTTAAAATAATTGAATTATTGGGAAAATTTTTATTAAAATGTTTAAAAAGAATTAAATTTGTGTGAAAAAAATTTGTTATTTTAGAAAATAATTGAATTCTTCATACGAATTTTATAAAAATTGTTTTAAATTATTAATTTTTTCAAAATATAATAAATATTGTGGAATTTTTTTTTTTTAATTAATTAGATTCTTCTGGAAAACTTTATTTTTGAAAACTTTACTATTAATTTTTTACTAAAAATTTGTAAAACTAATTATTGTGGGCTTTAAAAATATTGTTCAAGAGTATTTCAAGTCATAATGAAAAAAATTCCCTGACTTTCGAAAAAATTCCCTGACATTTCCAGGTTTTCCAGGACATTTTTAATTTCCCTGACATTTCCCGGTTTTCCAGATTTTCCAGGTGTTGTAGACACCCTGAGACTGTAAATCATAATGAAATTTAAACTTCCTGGAGTCTATTAAAAAATATACAAAATTAAAATAATTACAGATAAAATATTAATCTTATCTTAAATAAAATAAAAGGCAAAAAATTGAGACTACATTTTCCTTATTTGTTATAATTTATTTTCTTTAATTCTATTGTTTATTCATTTTCGTTGTTTACTTTTATTTTGTTATTAATTTTCATAATTTTTATTACTTATTTTCTTGATTCTTCATTATTTTTAATTTTTAATGTTTACTAATTTCATTTTTATTTGTTTATTATTTTTCATTCATTATTCTTTTCTTTTACTTACTTTCTACAAAATTCATAATTATTGAACATTTAATTTCATTATCTACTTATTTTCTTGTTAACTATTAATTCAATGTAATTCCAGATTCAAATATTTAATTCTTTTTTTCAATTTTTGACTTTTATTTTATTTTTCAACTTTCATTAAAATTTTTCCCACTTCAGACTACGCACTTTTTGTTTTCGTTTATTTAAATTATTAATTTCTGATAAGATTTTTTAATTTTAATTAAAATATTATTTAATTTATATTTTATATATTTGTATTTTTTTTTTTTTTGAAAATTATTCTTTGTAATTATTTTAATTTTGTAATATATTTTTTTTGTAGACTCCCTGAAGAGAAAATCATTGAGATTTCGAAACGTTGGAGTAAATATATATTTTAATCATTGTCCAAATGTTTTTGTTTTATTTTCCTTACTTTATAAAAAGATTGAAATAAACAATTATATTAAAGAATAAAATGTAATTTTCTAATAATTATTTTTGAAATAAATATTAGGGAATTAAAAGTTTTTTCCCTTTTTTAGGTTATATTTGCACGTGGCGTCTCAATAAAAAAAAATATTTTCTTTGTTTAATAAATTAGGAAAATTATTTCTCAACTGGGAAGAAACATTTTTTTCTTTATACTTCTTTTGTTAAAATGAGACTTTTTGTTGAAAAAAAGGACAAAATATGAACAAAGCATACATTTTTTTTCTACATGCAGTGAATATAGAAAAAGAGAAAAATCATTATTATTGAATAAAATTGTAAATTAGTTTCTAAATTATTTAAATCATACTCACTAGGTGGGTATCAGCAGCAATTTAACGCACGTAATTAAAAGAAATGTCCTTATTAAAACTCCATTGATGGATATTTTACTGAAATCCCTCAATTTACTGGGGGAAATTTCTTTTTTTTGCTCGACATTAGGATTAATAAAATTCATGCTGGTTAATTAATTAATTAGACATATGAACCCGCACTAAAATTGAGTTAATTGGAAATTTTTATTTTCCTTGTCCTTATATTATAATTATTAAATATAATAAATTAAAAATAGCACATGCATGCTTCTAGCCGGCTAACTATATGAAAAATGAATGCCGATCATCGTCATCTTTCTACGCATTGCCGCGTCCGAGGGCGTTAATTTAAAGGCGCTCGCACAGCTCTACTGCCTGCCTGCCTGCCTGACCTGCAGTCGTCATGGTAACACATAAGAGTAAGAGAGTCAGAAAATTCAAATTAAATGTTTTTTCTCCCTTACTCTCATTGCACCTGCCTGCGCAGGCAGGCAGGCAGGCAGTAGAGGTGAGAGAGTACCTTAAGGTGATATTTCAAAATGAGCTTAAAGTTGAGTCCACAATAGCACTCTTGAACTCAAAGCGTTCGAACACAGTCATGTAAACACAGCCTTAAGGGCTATGGTAGGAAACTGTAATTGTTAAGTCAATAAGAATTCTCTATCAAAATAATTTCCATTGAATCGTTAGTTCCCATTGGCTAAATGCTTTTTTCGTTTTCAAGCCCAAACAAAAAATCATTGCAGAAGCAGCATTATGAGCAGGACGTAAACCGAGGCGTCGCCAGTTCACGCTGTACATCAGTATACGACCATATTGGTTTTTCCCCCTCCAAAAATAAAATTATACCTAAATGTAACTGCACCTTTGTAAAATATTTCCCCTATAGTGGGGGTAGCAAGTTGTTTCACCTTTCTTTCACCGTGGTTGTGTGGTGCATCATATTCGCGCGCGTCAGTCTATATTTAATTAAGTGTTGTACTTGGCGTCTATATGTATTTTTCTGTATAAAAATTATTTTCCATTTCTCTCGTTTTGAATGCATTTTCAATTTATTTATAACAAATTAATCAACAGTTTCTTTATGTTATAATTGTTTTTCTTTAATAAAAAAAGGAGAGCATTATTAGGATACATAAGACCAAGGTAAGTGAAATACTGAAATTTTATTCGATACATTCGATAAAATAGAATATAGTAGAAAATCAACCCCTAATTAAATTAAACCGAAGCTTGTAAAAATTATAGTGTTCTATTGATTTAAATTTATCGAATTTCATTACGTTTTTAAAGACTAGTTATACATAAAAATAGAAATGTTTGTAAAAAAAAATTGATTGTTTGCTTTCAAGTGTTTTATTTAAAGATTTTTTTGGTTTATTATGCTTTGCCGAGTGTTTATAACTTGAAATTCACAAGATTCTTGAAAATAAGTAAAATAAATTTTTCCCCTTTAGTTTCTTTTATTTTTAATTCAAAAAAAACTGTTTAGTTTATTGGTGAAAATTATTTTAATAGGGGAAATATAGATTTTAATACAAAATTATTTAATTTACGTCACGCCATCGCTAATGTAATTGAATTGCGAGAAAAAGAGCATTTGTATAATGAAATCAGTTTACGGGAAGTTAGTAATATAATTATTTACTTATCTTATATACAAATTTACAGGTACAAATCCCCTTTGTACAAAGTACTAAACAATAAATTAAAATTAATAAACAATAACTAATTAACAGTCACAACGAAGCTAAGTAATAAAATATTAAATATTATTTGTATCGACAATTTTTATTTTTTGTAATAATTATAAAAAATAATAAAATATTCCCAAATAGTAAAATTATAAAAAAGAAACTCGTGGGAAATATATCGTTAGTTGTTTAAACATTCGGAGAATTTTTTTATATATATATCAACGTTGCTAGGAAACATTTAAAGAATTTTTTTTAAAAATCAATTTTAATGAGAGGTTTGGACTTAAAAAAATTAACAATATTACATAATAACTTTTATTATAATTTTATGTTTCGTTGAGAAATAATTTTTTTTTTTTTTTGATAATTTTCATAGAAGGAGAATAATATATAATATATAATTTTCATCAAATAAAAAAATAAAAAACAAGTATTTACTTATTTTTCATATGGAATTCGAAAAAAATTGTTCTAAAAAAAACATGTGAGTAAAAATTTCACAGAGAAAAAAAAAATTTTTTTTTCAAAAAAGTTTAACATTCGTCAATCATTATAAGTAACAGAATATAAAAATATTCAATATGAAAAATATAAAAATTATAGAAATTTCATTAAATAAATTAATAATTTAATATATAAAAATTATTAATCAATAAAAAGTAATAAAAACGAATATAAAACGTAATATAAAAATACATTAAATATTTTATGTATTTTTTTGTATGTACATAATTTAATCATTATAATGACATAATATATAAAAATTAATAATCATTAAAAAATAATCAAAATTAATATAAAAATACATAAAAAATATTAATTTTATTTTTTCTCTAATATTGAAAGTACATTTTTTTTATTAGCATTAACTTTAATTATTTCAATATTTTATTATTAGTACTTATTTAAAAAATTACAATACTTACCAAAGTTGTAAACTTTACAAAAATGGTATAACTTTACGGTGGTATTTTAGAAAGATTGTATTGTTCTAAAAATTTTGTTAGCTAAATTTGTAAAAATTAAAGAACACAATTTTTTCCCCAAAAGAAATTATAAACTTTTAAAATCCCAATAAAATGAATAATAAAATTTCATATAAAAATTTTTAGAATTCTAAATTTAAAGAAAGGAGATAATATTAAAGTGTGAACTTAAAAAACATTTTACATTTTATTTTATATTATTTAATACTTTGATTAAATGCAAAACATAAATTAAACCTTTAAAAATAAATATCAATTGATTTTTTTTTATATTTTTAGAGATGCAATTACTGCTTTTTTAAAAAATATATTTCATTTTTTCTTGTCCTTTCAATATTAAACAGTTTTTGCTAATATGTCACGAAGAGAAAATATGTACATTAAATTTTGTAAAAGTATTTTACATTTTGGGGAAAAAGTATAACAAAGCAAAATTTTTTATATAAAAAATACTAAACTTTATAAAAACTTATTTGAAATTTAGTATAGTCGTATTAAAATTTAATTAATATCTTTGATATTTGATATAAATTATTAAATTATACTAAATTTCACATAAGTTTTTTTAAAGTTTAGCATTTTTTATAAAATTTCGGTTTGCCGCATTTTTCCCCAAAAAAAATTTTTACAAATTTTAATATAATTATATATTCTCTCTCCGTGTGAGAAGTAATTTTTTTAAATCATTGTCCATTTTGTCATTTGAAAACATTCAAAAATATTCTCCCAAAGTATTAAAATTTTATAAAAATAGATCAAAAATACATTAGACGAAATAAAATGGTCAAATTTTAAAACAATTGAAAATTTATTTTTTTGAAAATATATTATAAAACTTTTTAAAATGAATAATATACGATTTTGTTTAAAAATAGTGAAAGAAAAGTGCATGAAATTTATCAATGAAAAATAATGAAGATGTTGAATTTAAAAATAGTTACCATAGTCAAAATTGAAATTAGTTTAAATTGTGTCTTCATCGGTGTCAGTCCTGATAGAATTATTTGTTACTTATTAGTTTTGTTTTTATTTATTTCATATTTATTTGTTTAATATTTATTATATGTATTTTTTACTAATTGGGTTATTTATTATTTTCTTTGATTCTATATGGCTTCAATGTGTGGGTGTAGTAATTTTTATTTTCTCACGAATTTTTAAAGCTCTGCCTGTTTTTTAATTTTAATTTCCTCCCTGAACAGGAAATCCGTGAATTTCGAAACGTTGAATAGTAACAAGAAATCTTTGAATAAGAATATCTTCGTTTCTCTTATTATTTTTTATTTCAAAATTTATAACTATTTGAAAATTTTTAAAAAAATCATTTTTTTTTTACTATTTTATCTTTTTTATTTATTTTTTTTTATTTTAAATTTTTAAAAAATTGAAATGTCTCAAAATTAATTTTATGGTTGATTCTTCAAAACTATAAAAAATAATAAATAATAGTAATTAATTTATTATTAATAATGCTATTAAATAATTAATGTAAACAATTAACAATCTATTTGCTTCTTTTTGTTTCAAAAACGTTAAAAGTAAAGTAAATTCTTTTAGTAATTAACGGGATGTTCTACCTGGACTTAACGGAAACTCCCAATTTTATTCTCTAAAACAAAAAAAAATGAAAAACTTAACAGGTGTTATATCTAATATACTAAAAATTCCTCTATGGTTCACTGCGTCAACAGAACTCACAGGAAACATTTTTAAGGGGTCGCATGGGTTTTGAAGGTCAAAAAGAGAATATTTTTAATAATTTAATTTCAAATAATAATCAATATAATAATTCATTTATAACTTTTCTTATACGTTATACCTATATAAAAGTACAATATCTAAAGAATAATTTTTTAAATCCAGAGACCTTAAAATTGAATTGCTTTAATTGTTATGTTAACGGGATGCTCTATATGTTGATTTAACGGAAACTTTCAATTTTATTTTAAAACGATCTTTAATGTATTTTTTGTTTATTTTCATAATTATGAAAAATTACTCCAAAGTGAATTTTATTAAAAGAAAAAGATTCCAAAGGAAATAAAAATTTCAGAGATTGTTGTCCGATTATGAAACTTACAGGTGTTATTTTTAACATTCCGTTATGGTTCACTGCGCGTTAACGTACCTAACCCTCTGGAAATATTTTTTTTTGTCAAAAATTTAGTTTTTTAAAAAAATTTAATTTAAAAATTTAAAGAATTTTAATTTTTATAAAAAAAATTGATAGCGTTTAGAATTTAATTTTTAAATAAATTCTAGATAGAAAGTTTTATAAGAATATAAAACTTTATATCTAGAATTTATAAAATTCAAAAGGACGGATTTAATTTTAATAATTATATAACTGAACTGAATTTTATAAATAAAGTGAAGGTATAGAATATTAAACCTTTTTTTTCAGCCGCAAAAATGAGTCAAACGGCGGAGGACCACGAGCAAGAAAAAAATGTCGATAAAAAGGAAACAGCTGAAGAAGAACGAGAAAAAATGTTAAATGCAGAAAATACTAAACATACAAGCAAAACGCCTGCATCTGACATGGAGATTGAGGAGACTAACCATAAGCGTAAGATTCCTATTGGTGGTATCAAGATGCCAGGATTTTGTCGAAGCAAAAGCAAGGAAAACACTAAGGTTAGTGTGTATAAAATTATTTCTATTTTCTTATATTATTTATAAATTTTTACGAAATTTTTTTAAAAGTTTCTATATTTAAAATGTGAATATAAGAAGTTAAATAATTTTTAACTCCATAAAAAGTCGTTAAAGGCAATAGAATACTTTACTTTAAAAAAAAATAATTTATAAAACTATGTATTTTATTGTGTAACAATCTAGATACATTTGATTCAAATAATTTTGAATTAAATATCTTTTTTCATTTTCTTTTTTAATAAGATATAATACTGCATAATTACCGAAAATTCTTCTAATAAAGTCTATTTAAATAATTATGAAATTTTTTATTATTACCCAGGATGACAATGTAAAATCTTCTGATAAAGCTAATGCCGAAAGTGGATTAGCGATTTCAAAAGATAAGGAACAAAATCAGGAGGTTTCGACAAATGCTGAAAAAGAAACCAAAGAAAAGGAATCAAGTAGAGGAATATTTCGTGCTATGAAATTACCATTAGCTTCAGTATTTCCTCGAAAGAAGAAGGTATGTGTACTTCATTATTGTAAAACAAATTAAAAATTATTTTAAAAATTCTCTATTATTTTAGATTTTCTATGAATTTCAGTTGTTCGAATTAACCTGATATTCTTAAAATATTCTTAATGAATGAAAAACATCTTAAAACATAAAATTCATGAACACTGAAATTTTTTTTAAATATTATTTTTAATCAAATTTAAATAAAATTAGACGAAAGAATTTAATTATTTCAAAAATTTGGCCATAAAATTCAATTTCAACAAGAATTTAAAATTCTTTAAAAAATAATTCAATTATTCTCAAAATATTTTTTAAAAAAATTCTGTATAATAATTAAATTACTTTCAATGCAATTTTTAACTATACTCTTCAAAAAAAATTAAAAGAATTCAATTATTTTTATAAATATCAAAATTTTTCGCCAAAAATTCAATTATTTTCAAAAATTTAAATAAAATTCTTTGCAATATTTCAATTATTTTTAAAAGTTTTTCGCAATTCAATGTTTTTAAATATTTACTATTTTCATAAAATTTATCAACAGATTTAATTATGGAAAAAACTTTTTGATATAACTCTACGAAAAGATTCAATTATTTTCATAAATAATAAAATTTCATTTACGAATTTAATTATTTTCATCGCAGAATTTGAAATATTTTTAATACAATTTTAAATAAATTCCTTGAAAAATGCAATTATTATTAAAAATTTTATTAAAACTTAAGGAAAGAATTGAATTTTAAGAAGCATTCAATTATTCAATAAAACAATAAAATTCATTTGCAATAATTCAAATATTTTCATAAATAACATTTAATTCGTCGCAGAAAATCAATTATTTTCAAAAAATTTTAAGTAATTTTGCAAAAAAATTCAATTAGCTTGATAAACAACAAAATCGCATAAATTCTTCCCATAAAATTAATTATTCTAAGGAATTTTAATAAAATTCTTTTCTAAAATTCAATTATTTTGATAAATATTAAAATTCATCACAAGAATTCAATTTTTTTGAAAAGTAATGAAATACTTTGCAGAAATTAATTTATTTTCATAATTTTTTAAAAATTCTTGTCAAAAATTAAATTGTCTTTATAAATAGGTAGGGAAATTCTTCTCAAGAATTAAATTATTGTCAAAAATTTTTTTAAAATTCTTCTCAAGAAGTCAATTATTTTCAAAAATTTTAATAAAATTCTTCTCATGAATTTGTTTTCAAAAATTATTATTTAAATTCTTCTCAGGAATTCAATTATTTTTAAAAAATTGAATAAAATTCTTCAAAAAGTTTTCAATTATTTTCAAAAATTGTTATAAAATTCTTTGATATAATAAATTTAATTAAAATTTTAATTAAATTCCTTAAAAGAAATGAAATATTTTCAAAAGTTGTTAATACAATTCTTGGTAAAAATTAAATTTTAAGAAACATTCAATATTAATTATTTTTGTATTTAAATAATTGATTTTTCGTAGAATTAAATTATTATTTTTCGTACTTTTAACTAACAATTCTGTAGAATTAATTTGTCAGTCGTTCATCTTCATGTTTTATAATAATATTCTTATGAGTTGTTCATTTTGAAAAGGTTTGAATTTGAAATTTTTGAACAACTTAATTCCAATGAAAAAAAAATGATTAAATATTTATTTTAAATAAAACTATTGATGTTTTCGAATAGTTTTACTTTTGAAGAAATTTGTAAATAAATTTAATATAACATTTTTTTGAGTATCTAATAATTTTGAGAGTGAATCAGAATATTCTTTAGGGTGAGGGAGAAAGTGAAAGTTGTGTTTGAAAATCAGGGAAAAATAAAGTTAAATTTTTGTGGCAACCCTGTATAAATAAATTATATTTTTATCTTTATTTAACCAATTTTTATGGTCCCCCTAAAAGTCCCCTATTTTTAAATTTTCAATTTCCTATTTCCCCTAAAATACTTTTTAGGGGCACTGTGAAACCTGTAGATAAAAAAATGTCAGCAGAAAAAAATAAAAAAAAAGAAAAATAGTTTTGGCTCTTTTTTTTCATTTTTACCGCTCTGGGTCAGGTCTCACCTGACGCTTTTATTGGCGTCATGCCTGGTTAAGAAGAAATTTACTTAAAAGACTTATGACCTTGAATATTGAGAAAAGGAGGGAGATGGTAAATTTTTTAGCTTGTGTTTGCCTTTTGACCTTGAATTTTAAGAGAAAGCGTCCATAGAACCTTTTGACCTGTGGAATTGAGATTTTAGTCCTTACCATCTTATATACCGAATAAAGCATAAAAACCTTCAAAACATGAAGTATTTTTATATATTTAGTCCGCCATACCCATATTGAACAACCATTTTGAAATTTTCGAGTTCAGATTTATTTACGGCGATTCCTCACTGTACGGAATCGCTATCTTTATATCGAATAAAGTCTTTTTCTCGAAGTTGAAATTTTCTTTTTTAATTGAGCAAAATGAGTTTTTATCGAAATATTAAATATTTCAATTTATTTGTCAGGAAACTGGAGAACATGACATTGTTGGCTTAGCCAGCGTAGAGACACTTGGCGATGTTGAGGCGAATGCGAAAGTTCCTGCCGGAGATGAGTCTGGCATGGAAACTGTTCGTCTTGATGGAAACGCCTTTAATCCTGACGATCCACCTAAACCACATCCAATAGTTGTTTGTCTATCAGCTGCCAGAAGGAACTTATTTGTAACAGGTAATTACACTAGTTTACAAAATTATTAAAAATTGTGACAAAGTTTCGTGTGATATTAATTTGGAATAATATTTCTTTTTTTTTGCAGTGTCAACATTGTTAATTTTGGTAACTGTAATTGTCATAATAAGCGTTGCCTGCATGGGTCCGAGATATGTTTTACTTGAGCCCCCACTAAAAGACGATAAATACATTTCTACGCAGACTGGATGTGGTTTTGTTGAGGGTATTTTAGAAGACGGTGGATATGCATTCCGCGGCATTCCATACGCAGTGCCACCAATTAGTAATCGTCGTTGGCAACCGGCTGAACCCCTTCGAAGAATAGAAAATTGTTGGACTGGCACTTACAGTGCTCACAATAATTCAATTCATTGCTGGCAATTTGATTCCTCTGGTAGAATTAGCGGCACTGAGGATTGTCTTAAACTCGATGTATTTACACCAAAAGTTGACACCAGAAATCCACTGCCTGTGGTTGTTATGATTGGCGCTGAAACATTGAATGGAGGTTCACCGGGAGTTATGCAGCCATCATCGAAATTAGCAAGAGTACGAGAAATTGTCTTTGTCAGACCGAATTTTAGGTAAATTTCCTTAATTACATTATTTTTCAAAAAAAAAAACTTAATTCTTCAAGAACTATCATAAAATTATTATTTAGAAATTATTTAATAAATAATAATGTCTGAAAATAAGGGAAAAGTCAGGGAAAAAGAAAGTTAAATTTTTGTCGCAACCTTGTTAAAGTAATTTAACTTTTTTACTTTTTGCAACACTGTGTAATAATTAAAAATGAAAATTTTCCCACAGAATGGGTGTATTTGGATTCCTTGCCGCTGAACCATTGTCGAGAACAACTCATCCTCCAACTTCGGGAAATTATGGACTTTCTGATATTATTGTCGCTTTAAAATGGGTTCAAAATAATATTCATTATTTCGGTGGTGATATTCATAATGTCACTATTTGGGGACACAGAGCGGGCGGTACATTGGTCACAACATTAATTGGAGCGCGAAAGGCAAACGGTCTGTTTGCTCGTGCATGGATATCGAGTAGCAGTGCCATTTTTCCCGGCAAGGAACTCACAAAATCGGAGAATTTGAATGAGGTTTTTTTGAATGCGACAAGATGCAGCGATGCAGCGTGCTTGAGGAGTAAGGATCCCGAGGAGTTGATGAACGCAATTCCCTCGAGTTGGTTGGCGGGCAATGGAGAACTTCCTGAGCCAAAAGAGGCTATTAATAGTAATGCAAAACACGAGTGGCTCGTTAAGGATGGATCGATTATTCAAGAACACGTCGGTGAAATTTGGACGAAACAGGATCTCAATGTTAAAATTGTTATCGGCACTACGGCACAATCGGGAACTCCCGCTAAATATTTGGCACCAAATGCAACATTGGAAGCGGAACAAGTTAATAAAATTGTTCGAGAATCTTTACTTGGCACCATGGGATTGGCTGATGAAGCTCTAAGGTATGTTTTTTTTCATAAAAAATTTAATTTAAAAAAAAATTTTATATATAAAAAAATATGTGATCTTGAAATTTTTCATGAAATTTATAAATATTTGTAACATTAGTATTTTTGTGAAGTCAAGTCTCAATTATGTTTAGAAGTTGGTTGTATTTTAAATTCTTATAATCTGCACAAACTTGATATGACATACATTATTTTTAAAAGACTAAATTATTTTTCAAACTGTAATAATTGGTTCAATTTAATCATGATTATGTAGATGTTCTTTAATTAGGATGTTAATGGATTGAAAACTTGTTTTTTCTTTATTTCATTCATGTGTTTAAAAAGACTCTTAGTTTAATAATTAAATTGAAAACTAAATTTTATGAAAATTGAAATTAACAAAACAAATTTTTGTAAAAATAAATATTTTCAATTTATATTTGAACCTTAAAGATTAGTTAAATGTAAATTGATATTTACCGTTATACTCCTTATTGTACTAAAATTTCAAAGCACTAATTCTAATACAAAAACTTCAAAATTTTTTCTATTTCTGACAAGAATTAATTTTTGAATATTATTTAATTATTACAAAAGTTTTAATGCAATTATCTTGATAAATAACAAAATTCGTCACAGAAATTCAATAATTTTTAGGAATTTTAATAAAATTCTTTACAAAATTCAATTATTTTCATAAGTTACAATATTCATCCCAAGAATTCAATTATTTTCAAAAGTAATAAAATTCTTCGAAGAAATTCAATTATTTTTAAAAATTTTCACGAATATTTCGTCAAGAATTCAATTATCTTTACAAATAGCAAAATTTTTCGCCAAAAAATCAATTATTTTCAAAAATTTATAAATATCTTTGCAAAAGTTCAATTACTTTCAAAAGTTTTTTGCAATTCAATAATTTTCTATATTTACTATTTTTATAAAATTTATTAACAGGTTTAATTAAAAAAAAACTTTTTGATACAATTCTACGAAAAGATTCAATTATTTTTATAAATAATGAAATTTTATTTACGAATTCAATTATTTTCATCGCAGAATTTCAAATATTTTTAATACAATTTTAAATAAATTCCTTGAAAAATGCAATTATTATTTAAAATTTTATTAAAACTTGAGGAAAGTATTCAATTTCAAGAAACATTTAATTATTCAATAAAACAATAAAATTTGTTTCAATAATTCAAATATTTTCATAAATAACATTTAATTCGTCGTAGAAAATCAATTATTTTCAAAAATTTTAAGTAATTTTTCAAAAAAATCCAATTAGCTGGATAAACAACAAATTCGCATAAATTCTTTTCCAAAGTTCAATTATTTTGATAAATATCGAAATTCTTCTCAAGAATTCAATTATTGTCAAAATTTTAATTAAATTCTTGGCAAAATTTTAATTATTTAAACAGAATTTAATAAAATACTTTGCACGAATTTAATTATTTTTATAAGTTTTAATGAATATCTCGTCAAGAATTCAATTATTTTTATAAATAGCAACATTTTTTGCTAAATATTCAATTATTTTCAAAAATTTTAATAAAATTCTTTGCAACATTTCAATTATTTTTAAGCTTTTCGCAATTCAATGTTTTTAAATATTTACTATTTTCATAAAATTTATCAACAGATTTAATTATAAAAAAATTCTAAATAGTTTTTTCTACGAAAAGATTCAATTATTTTCATAAATAATAAAATTTCATTTACGAATTCAATTATTTTCATCGCAGAATTTCAAATATTTTTAATACAATTTTAAATAAGTTCCTTGAAAAATGCAATTATTACTAAAAATTTTATTAAAACTTAAGGAAAGAATTTAATTTTAAGAAACATTCAATTATTTAATAAAGCAATAAAATTTGCTACAATAATTCAAATATTTTCATAAATATAGCATTTAATTCGTCGCAAGAAATCAATTATTTTCAAAAATTTTTAAGTAATTTTGCAAAAAAAAATCAATTAGCAGGATAAACAACAAAATCGCATAAATTCTTCCCATAAAATCAATTATTTTAAGGAATTTTAATAAAATTCTTTTCCAAAATTCAATTATTTTGATAAATATCAAAATTTATCACAAGAATTCGATTCTTTTGAAAAGTAATAAAATACTTTGCAAAAATTAAATTATTTTCAAAATTTTTAAAAATTTCTCGTCAAGAATTAAATTATCTTTATAAATAGATAGGGAAATTCTTCTCAAGAATTAAATTATTGTCAACATTTTTTTTTAAATTCTTCGCAAGAAGTCAATTATTTTCAAAAATTTTAATAAAATTCTTCTCATGAATTTGTTTTCAAAAATTATTATTTAAATTCTTCTCAAGAATTCCATTATTTTAAAAAAATTTAATAAAATTCTTCAAAAAGTTTTCAATTATTTTCAAAAAATGTTATAAAATTCTTTTATATAATAAATTTCATTAAAATTTGAATTAAATTCCTGAAAAGAAATTAAATATTTTCAAAAGTTGTTAATACAATTCTTCGTAAAAATTAAATTTTAAGAAACATTCAATATTATTTATTTTTGTATTTAAATAATTGATTTCTCGTAGAATTAAATTATTATTTTTCATACTTTTAACTAAAAATTTTGTAGAATTTTTTTTTTTTTTGTAAAAGTTTAATTAAATAATAATAATTGATGTTACTGATTTAAAGTAGAATTTTAGTTAAAAATTCTGGAAAATGTTATTTGAAATGAAATGATATAAATAATTTTGAAAAAATTACAGTAACAATATTTTTCTTTAATTAATAATTGAATTCTTATGGAAATTTCTTAAAAGTTATTAAAAATAATTGAGATAGAGCAGAATTTCAGTTCAAAATTTTATTAATATTATTTTTTATAATAATAATCGAGATAATCTGTCCTCACCTGAAATTAGTGTTTTTTTATTTCATTTTTTTGTTTTTTAGTTGCAATATTTTCAAAAATAATTATTTCAGTTGAATTTTATTTGAAACTTTAGAGAATAATTAGAAGTAGGTATTAAAGTTTGATTCTTTGGAAATAATTAAATTTCAAAAAGTTTTTAAATTGAAATCTTTGAATTGCTAATTGCTGTGAAAGTAATAATAATCTTTAAATATAAAAAATTATTAATTTGTTAACCTTCCTTAAAATTTAAAAGTTTTGAATAATATTAAATTAAAAAATCCTAAAAAATAATTTAATTTTCGAAGACTTGCAGTTCAAAATTTCTTAAAAAATGTTTTGACATTGAAAGTATGTCGAAATTTTAAGCAAATAAAGAACAATAAGTATTTAAATATTTACTATTTAAATATTTAATATTTGAATGATTGAAATTTGGAAGATTTAATTTCGAGATTCTGAAAAAATTAGGTTTTTAAAAAATAGTATTTAAAATTTTTTGAAGATACACTTGAAGTCAAGAAAATAATTTTAAAAAAGAAATTGAAAAACAATTGGAAATTTGTTTGCAGACGTTACAATTCAACATTAAAGGGCTTGGCAACAATGATATCGGACATTCGAGTCGTTTGTCCACTATTGACGATTGCAAATATGAAAACCGACATTCCCTTCTACGTGCGTACAAGACCAAGAGGAACTCTCGCCGATCCTGACAGCGATGCTGCAGCAATTTTAGGTTCCTATACACCGCGAACAGTCGAAGAGAAAAGACACGTTGACGCTATGCAAAAATTATTCAATCGCTTCGTTTGGTTTGGCGAAGTTATTCAAGCGGATCCACAAGGCGGTAAACGAATACTCATTGTCGATCAAGACATTCACACTGAGAAAGATTATCCAAATTGTGATTTTTGGATAAATAAAAATATTGCACCTAAATATGGTCGAGTTGAGTAAAAAAAAAAAAAAGAAGTATTAAAAAGAAATACATTTTTCACAATATTATTTTAGAACTGAATTTATGAGCAGTAAGACTCTTTGAGGTTAATAGCAAGCTAAAATCCTCGCTTTCAATTTTTGAAATCATTTTTTTTTTTTTTTAATATTAATTGTAAAATTAAGTGCGTAATTTATTTCTATTTATGTATTGAAACAGACTCATAGGAATATATTTATTGCATGTTATTTATAACTTTTTATAAATAATATTAATAGTAGGTATACTCAGAATTTTAAGTAAGTGCCATTTTTTTATTTATTTTTTTTATACAAGAAATTTTTACTTTCTTTATTCAATAGTTTTTCTTTTTGTATTTTTCTTGAAATACAAAAAAACAGCTGCCACATTTATTTCTTTGAATCAAAAAAGAACGTTTCATTTTCCATAAACTGCAATACTATATAGTTGTATTATTTTTTTATTTTTAATTTCGATGAATGAAAAGATAAATTTTAATAATTGGCACTTGCAATTATTTACTGATATGTGTCCACGATAGATTATAAAAAAGAACAAATGTATTGCAATAATTTTAACGGCACTGATATCACTGATATAATAATGAAGCTTATTTGTAACTTCTTTTTGTTTATTTTATGTGACTAGCTAAAAAAAACTGACTGATCATTTTTTTTTTTTGCATTTTTATAATTAAATGCACTCATTTTTTGTCATAAAGTGTGAATCTCAGTGAGGATATTTAATTTTTAATTTTTATTCTTCATTTTAAATAAGAGGCAAATGTTCCTAGAATTTTTGGAATGCAACACAATGAGAAAAAAAATATATCTGTCCTGTAAAACTTACATTGTTTGAAAAATTTTCAAAAATTTATTTACTCTTGTGGAATAAGTACCGTCTTCTTGTAGATCAATTTTGTATTATTTACAATTAAGCAACTCTGTCACAAAAGAAAAATGTCGAATATGTATTAGTTTTTCGTTCAGTATTAATTCAAATTGTAACACGTAAATTTTTATCTTTCTCAAACTGAATTTCTTTTTAAATACAATTTTGCTTCTGTTCGGAAGCATTTTTTGTATTTTTTTTTTATTATTTCCTTCTTGCATTGGTTTCTAAATATTGAACTTCAATTTTTTATTTTTTTTTATTTTGAAAAAATCGTTAAAATTGAAAATTTATTTTCACATTTGTAACTAAAAGGTAATTTAGATTGAGATAGACGGACATTTTCGTTTCGACAATAAAGTTTCTCAGAAAAAAAAAACAAAATTAAAAATATTTATTCGACATTTTGATAATATGAAACTTTGAATATTGTAAAATTACGAATCTACAAATATTGCCAATAAGAGGTTAAGTAATTTGTAGTTTTTAGAAAATCTATTAACATTCCACGAATTGGAAAAATATGGCATAGACGCAGATTTTTATATTGACTGCCCGTTTTTAAGTGAATTTTTTATATGAAAAAAAACGAAATATATTTAAGTATGCGGTATTTTTGTACTTTTGATAGAAAGCCTGTAATAATCTTTAATGACTATAAAAAAACATTTTTTAAAAGAAAAAAATTTTTCCATTTTTATACAGTTAAGATTTTAGATTGTAATTTTTTTTATATATATATTAATATATAATATAATTTATTTCCATTTTACTTAACCTCTTAAACTTATTTTAACAAATATGTGATAAATTAGTATTTCTAGAAAGTGCGGCATATTTACTTTTATATAAACTAAAAATTAGAAGCAATAATAGAAATTGTTATTTGAAGTGAAAAATTGTATTACATAACAAATGAAATGGATAATAATCTCTGATTTAAAAAATTTTTTTTTTGTCTTTTAAGTAGAATTTTTGTTCTATTATAGAGTATTCTCGTGTATTCTCGAAATGGTATTTTGTATTATGCTCATTTTTAATAGCGTGTACTTAGTTAACAGTTTGCGGTCCAATGTTACCGACAAAAAATTATGAAACAAATAAATCTTTATGATTGCAAATATTTTCGTGTTATTTTTCAGAATAATTATTTTATTTTTTTCCCTAAAAGAATAATTTTTTGTTCGTCTTTTTATTTATTTAAATTTTTTGATTGAATTGAATTAGGAAAATTTTAATATATTCTTTTCTCTTTAAAATTCTTTGATAATTTATATTAATTGTTTTAGAATTTTAAACTCATTTTTGATATTTGAAAAAACTTATTTAAAAGTGTAAAAAAAACATACAATAGCATTTCTTTATTCTCTGATCTTAGCAACAGAATATATCGATTTAACGTTGTCATAACCAATTTAAGAATTTCAAACACATTTTTAAAAACTTAGCAAATGTCAAATTAGATAAATTAAGAAATTGTGGATATTAATTTTTACACTATTTTCGAATAATAACAATTTTCAAAAATTGTTGTCGCGTAATTGAAAAAAAGTGAAATAGAATATTCGTAACGGGAAATTTAATCTAGGTATGTGGATAAACAGATTTTCTATACTTTAGACTATAAAAATATATTTCTTTTGTTAAACAAAATGTATCATATAAAATAATTTATTTAATACAACGTAAAAATTTTTTATTTTATTTTCATAAAAATTGATTTAAAAATGAATTTTAGTTATAATTTCAGATAATAATTGAATATGAAAATCATTTTAAAGAAGTTACAGTAACAATATTCTTATAATATAAAATAATTATTTTTTCTCTCGAATATCTTTAATTATTATAAAAATTATTTTAAAAAAAATATTGCGCCATATTGGATCCGCGACATTTCGAATTTTTGAAAACTAAGTTCAGATTCGCAATCAGCGACCCCAAAACCCCCCCGAGTAAGAAATATTAATTGAATTCAATAAATTTTAAAAAAAAATTTGCGCCATATTGGATCCGACATTTTGAATTTTTGAAAATTAAGTTCAGATTCATAATCAGCAACCCCGAAAACCCCCGAGTAAATAGTGTCGACTTTTGGTCGCTATTTTTTGATTTTTTAAAATTTTCTAATTTCTAATATTATTTTATTTATGAATCATGAAAAAATACCTTCATATTTTCAATTTGTCAAACAATATTTTCTAAAGATAAAAAAACAAAAGCATACCAACATAAAAACTATATAACTTCAAACTGCGAACAGAATTTCGGTCATTTGACCGAACTGTCATTTTACCGAATTGCATTTATCCGAACTGTTATTTTAACGAAATGTCACTTTTGCGTATTGCCATTTTTACGAATGAATTGTCACTTTTATGCGAAATATCATTTTTACGAATTGTCATTTATTAATTAGTATAATAATGTCGATTCGCAAAAATGACATTTCGAAACAATGACGATTTGTAAAAATGACAATTCATAAAAATGATATTTTGCAAAAATGACTTTTCGCAAATGTGACAATTCGTAAAAATGTTGATTCGCAAAAGTGACAATTCGTAAAAATGTCGATTCGCAAAAGTGACATTTCGTAAAAATAACAGTCCGGATAAATGCAATTCGGTAAAATAACAGTTCGGTCAAATGACATTTGGGGAATAATCATGCACCTCAGATTAATATAGTTAATTGAAATTTAATCTTTTATTATAGGTTTGGAGCGAAATTAGACAAAATGAAAGTAGCCTTTTGTACAGATATGGACAAATCTGTTATAGTTTATAACTTTGAAAAACGTGGGTGGACTCAAGTTGGACCTGAGGATGATTGGAATTTTTATTGGTAAGTATTTTTTGCTACCAATTACTGAAAATTTCAGTGCGGCTTCAATACACCCTTATATTTAATGTACATAGTAAATGTTCTCTTTATTATAGGGCTGCTACTCTTTCTTGCAGAAATATTTTCAGTGTGGAAATAGGTTACAGGATGCAAGATAACCAGTAAGTTTCTAATTGATATTTAACTTTTTTTAAGCAATAAATTAAATTTACGGAACAATAAAATTTTTCTACTATCCCACATAGCACCATAGTATGAGGTAAGGTTATGTTGAGTACTAATCGTAAGGCACATAAGGTTACACAATATTGCTGCGGTAGACCTGAGGTGAACTAAAAACTTCCGCCATGGAGGTAAGGTTACATGTTAGGGTGTGGTGAGTATATATGATAAGGCCATGGTAACCTTACACGTTAAGGTTAAGGTAACCTTACACGTTAAGGTTGATGTAACCTTACACGTTAAGGTTGAGGTAACGTTACATGTTAAGGTTGAGGTAAGGTTACATGTCAAGGTTGAGGTAAGGTAATTATTAAGTTGTAAGGTTGAGGTAAGGTTAAGGTAAGGTTGTGATAAATTTACCAGTTATGGAAAATATTAAAAAAATAATTAATAAATAAATATTCAATTAAAAAGTTAGTTTGTTGCTCTTCTCTATTTTGGAAACCTGACATGAAGCAGAAAATTTTGAAAACAAATTTGGGGGGACTGGGATTCGAACCCGGGATCGACGCGCATAAACCTATCATTCTAACTAACTGAGCTAAGTAGAGAACTGGCAGAAGGAAAATTAATGTTGCCTTTAAGGTGAACCAAGAAGATGATTAACTCCTTAAAGGCAATATTAATTTTCCTTCTACCAGTTCTCTACTTAGCTCAGTTAGTTAGAATGATAGGTTTATGCGCGTCGATCCCGGGTTCAAATCCCAGTCCCCCCAAATTTGTTTTCAAAATTTTCTGCTTCATGTCAGGTTTCCAAAATAGAGAGGAGCAACAAACTAACTTTTTAATTGAATATTTATTTATTAATTATTTTTTCAATATTTTCCATAACTGGTAAATTTATCACAACCTTACCTTAGCCTTACCTCAACCTTACAACTTAATAATTACCTTACCTCAACCTTGACATGTAACCTTACCTCAACCTTAACATGTAACGTTACCTCAACCTTAACGTGTAAGGTTACATCAACATTAACGTGTAAGGTTACCTTAACCTTAACGTGTAAGGTTACCATGGCCTTATCATATATACTCACCACACCCTAACATGTAACCTTACCTCCATGGCGGAAGTTTTTAGTTCACCTCAGGTCTACCGCAGCAATATTGTGTAACCTTATGTGCCTTACGATTAGTACTCAACATAACCTTACCTCATACTATTGTGCTATGTGGGATCATTTTTTTTATATTTTTTTTCACAAAAACAATGTTTATGTAATATCTTATATGCAATAATTTATTGACATTGTATTATTTTCGATATTTCAAGTATTTCGATGATAGGTTAAAATAGGCTCATCTATTGTTAAAACATAGAGAATAAATATATAAAGTATTTTACCTATTCGTTACAATTTAACAAAAGAAATCAATAGTATCAACAATAATAAATGTATATTTTATTTCTATTGTATAGTTTTGCTCTGTTCATGAGCAAAAGAATGAGTCAAGTTTAAATTTAAAATATAAGACCTAAATGATGAAACATTTAAAATAAGTTAGAACCAAACAAAAAGTGAAAATTAAATTAAACACCGCAATATTTTTCATATAGAAAGATTTATAAAATATGTAATATAAAAGCTGACAGCAGTTTAAAATAAATTCTATTTTAAATTGAAAGGTTGCTGAAATATATACGACACTGTCTTTTAGAAAATTTAAATGTTATTATACCGAACATTATGAAGTTCACTATTAAAAATCTTCTTATAGCATTAGTGTGCTTAAATTTTACCAACCAAGAAATAACGGGTAAAGCATCATCTTCTATATGGCTAAGTGAATTGACCAAAATTTTAATTCGGTCTACGAAAATGAATCAATTACTTTTTTTATACGGTGATAATTCTAATAATTGTCTCATGCATCAAATGGTAAACAATATTGCAAGAAAGATACCAACACGACTTATTGATTTCAAGAATTTTACGAACGGTGACAGTCATAGTTTGAAGCTACCTGCAAATTTACTAGAGTCAACAATTGTCGTCATCATTCCTTCAAGAAATATACACAGAAATCTAACAAAACTACTAAATGTACTTGATTCTCTAGCTAAAATGACTGAACCATATGCATTTCCAAAAACTCTGATTGCTCTTCAAGTAACGACAAGAAAAAATTATCGAGACTTCTTTAAACTGTTGTGGCCAAAACAGTTTCTAGATGTCACGGTACTGGAACTTGAACAGCCTAAAGAAATTAAGAAGATATCAAAATGTTCAGATGCACAAATTATTAAGCAACATTATTATAATCCATTCACTAAAAAAGGTACTAAAACATCATTCTCAGAGAATAGCATTCTCTTTCCGAGCAAGCTTGGTAATCTGAATGGACACACGATGAATGTGGGTATGTTTCATTACCCCCCTTATATCTATATTGAACGGAATAGCACAAAGCATGTTGTCAGTATTAAAGGACCTGAAGTAAACTTAGCAATAACATTGTCTGATGTGTTAAACTCCACCTTGAAAATCATAATTTACAACAGCACAAACTTTATCACTATTCGATGTGGCAAAGAAAATAATACTGGATATTGGAAACATCTTATTTACAACGAGATACAATTGCTCCTTCCTCAAACCTCAATATTTAATACTTGTTTCAACAAATTAGGCCTTATCACTCGAGGTACAAGAGCCTTTACTTTTATTTTCATAGTACCAATATTGCCAAGTGAAGCTGCATTATTAATAACCGAAAATAATTTACTTCAAATGATAATCGTATTTTGTATCTTTCTGATACCATGGATGATTGTTAAATTCTTTAAATTTGATCGTCGTTACTGGAAATTTATGTACACTCTTCAAATTGCTTTTGGATTTCCATCACCGAGAAACCCTCGAGAATTTAAAGAAAGACTGATATTTCTATCTATTCTGGCATTTTACTTTCTAGAATCGTCTTACATCTATACTATAATTTCTAATATTCAAATAGTAAAGGAATCATCCCAAAAAATAGAAACATTCGATGATGTACTTGCTGCTAATTTAACTGTTATTTCAACTACAAATGTGGAGTGGAATAAATTTAATGAAACAGAAGATGCTTTTTTGAAGTTAATGAGATTGTCAATAAGTTCGGAAATATCATTTGCAGATTGTGCAATTTCAGTAATGAATGATAGAAATGTTTCGTGTCGAGGAAGAGAAGATGCAGCTCAAGTAATTCTTGAAGAACAAAGAAAAGCGAATAATTCCGAAAGTCTGAAAATATTGAAAGAAATCCAAGGAGTGGAATCAAGTGGTATGTATCTCTCAAATGGATCTCCGTTAAAATATCGAATTGAGAAACTTACGTTGTCACTAAAGGAAGCAGGTATCAGTAATAAGTGGGATACGGCCTTCTCGAAAAAAAGTTCAGTTCGTCTAAATCAACTTGATTTATTTAATCAGAATAGTTCTTTGATTTTCAAGATCTTAAATTTAATGGTCACGCTGCTTCTCTTTGGATATTTAGTTTCGTTAATTGTTTTCGCTTATGAAATGTTTTTTTATAGATATTGTCAAAGAACAAATGTAATTATACTATAAGTATTGAAACAGACGAACTTTGTCTAGTGTTGACGAATGTGATTTACTGTGTATTACATACCTCACATTTTTATAAAATAAATCAAATCACTACAATATTATAAATAATGTTATAAATTTCAAAACCAATACCTAATAGCAATAAGTATTCAGGATATCTGTAAGATGTACCTAGGACATGAATGGATATCTTAAGGAAATAATTCTAATTTCCAGTCATGAGCAAGATGTCTTGAAATATTATAGTTGTTAGGGTAAGTACTATTTTCGTAATATTTATTCGTTACTTTTTTTATTAACAGAGCTATCAATCATTTTCCAAATCATTATGAATTGACTCGTAAAGATCTTCTGGTGAAAAATATTAAAAGATATCGCAAAGATTTGGAACGTGAAGGAAGTCCTCTTGCAGAAAGAGGTGAAGGTCCAGGAAAATACGTTTACTTAAACTTTATTCCAGTGACGTTTGTTCTACCTGCAGGTATTTCTTCTTAAAAAATTATTTTTCTGTAGTTAAAAGCATAACATTTAATAATTTAAATATTATAAAACTGTTTAGAAAATAGATTATTTACCACCCTGTGAGTACGGAAATGTCTTTGTTCTAGAAACGTTAGCTAAAACCTTTTTTAGAACATTTCATGTCCTCCACGTAACGTTATGTAGCGGAAATGAAATGTTCCAAAAACACAAATTATAAATTCATTTATTGTTATAAAATATTGATTCTAAAGTTAAGAAATTTTTTATTCTGCCAGAAGTAAAAATACTCAGTAACTTAATAATGTTGACCTCTGTTAGTAGCAAGCGACAATTATAATTGTAAATGAACTCTATTTAAACATAATTAAAAATAATTGTTCGCTATAATAGCGCTACTTAAGATTCGTTCTTACATTTCAGTAAGATAGTTACCAAGGGAAATTTTAAAAAACAAACAAACTTACTTTATCATATACCACTTTTCAATCGTAAAAGAAATATATTTAAAATTATTTCAACAAAAAGGTCTTCTTCCAATCTCCTTGTTCATCAGAAACTTATTATTTCTATTGAATTTCGAACTCCATTTTTTAACATAACTTGAAAATATCTTGTTCAGGCAAGTTTTTATCGTCTGCAAAAGAGTCAAGTTTCACGAAAGTTTAAATAACAATTGGTAATTGTTAGATAAAACAGTAACGATGAAGTGTATAACCCTTGGTTTCTGTTTAACATTATTCGATGTGGTCATGTTTGGAGTGGCAGGCGACGGCAATTATACTCGAGGATTAATAAAGTACCTAAGAAGGGAGTCGAGACTGCACCAGGTAATGTTTATCATTGATGATCATCTACTCCAAACTTCGAGCTTAAGCATCAACTTTTTAATCAGAGATGTTTCTAAACGTTTCCCATCGTTCAGTACTAGTCACTCTACACTGAACGAAAGTCTACACAAACACTTTCCACCTTCTGCACGACCACCAAGACGAACGACGTTATTCATTATGATTCTTCATGGCAATGAAACTGACACTTGGGGAAAGGCGTATTTTACACTCATGCTGCTGAAAAATCTGTCAAAGGGACATTCGTATCCAAAATGTTTGATGAATTTAATTTCTCAAAAAGAATCTCAATCAATAAAGAAAATTCTAGAATACTTTTGGTCACAAGATTTTCTGGACATTACTGTGTTAGAACACTTGCAAAGAGACAATTTATCGTCATTGAAAACTGGTAATGAACTCATTCTCCATGAAATTAATCCTTTTGCACAAACCTACAGTGCTCAAAAATTAAAAGCACAGACGAAATGGTTTTCAAACAAATTGCTTAATCTTCATGGACATAAAATAAAATTCCTTTCGGGCATCCTAAGAGATAAAGAATTTATGATACAATATAAAAAATATATTAGATTTTCAGAAATTTTTTCAACAACAATGCATTGTTCCGTCATGAATGGAAACATCAATTCTATAAATTTCAATGCACTTCGTAAAACAATGTTTGTAGGGAAAGCCGAAATGATTTTAAATTCTTTAATGTACAAACATTTTGAAAAAGGAAAAGCAGAAACTACACCGTTACGCGTAGTTGATTTTGATATTTCTTATGCTCTGGTTCCAATTAATTCCAGGTTTACAAAAGTAATTGTAATTTCAAAGGAATTCATGTGCATGTTGCTGGCAACAATTCTTCTAATTGTTAGTATTCGAATTACAGCTAGATTTTTAAAATTCGACAGAACAACTTGGCTAATTTTTAACATCAGTCAAATTATTATGGGAATGGGTGTTACCATAGAACCAAAGAAGTCGGTGGAAAGAAATGTGTTTGGTATATTGATGTTGAGTTGCATTGTTTACTCGGGTTATTTCTACTCAGTAATTTTGGACATCTCTTTGCAAGCTGAACCTCAAATTTCAAGTCTCAAAGAACTTGCTAATTCGACTCTTACGCCATTAGGGCCTCGCTTTTTGAAACAATCATTAATGGAAAGTCCTATTTCTTATATTCGCAAAATTGGTACAAAAATGGAAGAAATTTCTAGTGTAAATACAGATAAGCAATGCTTGGCATACCTAACGAAATATGAAAATATAACTTGTATAGTGACTGAAAAACGTATCAATGACTTGAAAATGGGATCGAATGTTAGCTTCAAAATACTGCAGGAACCAATGGCATACTTTATTGTGACTTGGTTAATAAGAGGTGGATCTCCTTACCTTGATCGTTTTAATGAAGTGATACTAAGAGCATCAGAAGCAGGATTATTATCGCAAGTTCTGTCCGATGTTTATAAAGAGCGGCATACGATCTCACCACCAGAAGATATCAAGAAAGAAAAATTATTATTAATTGTCTGTTACTTGTTAGTAATGGGATACTCTATTGCAATATTAGCTTTTATCTTGGAAATAACAAGCATTGTTAATTTCCATAAAATCAGTTCTTTTTGCAGGCAATGCTTTTGCCATGAGAAAAAATAAAATACCCTACCAAAAAATCGATGACTATTGTAAGAAGAACTTTTACGTTGTAACGAAGTGTTTCGTTACTTTGTGAAATTTCTACACGAGATGTCTCAGCTTCAGTAGCACATTTGGTTTTTTTTTAGAGAGGATAATACAAATTAGAAAATTAGAAATTATAATTAACAAAAATATACTTGCTCAAAAATTAATTTTTCTATTTTAAGATTACAATATGTTTGTCGAAGAATATCGCAAATGTCCACAAAGTACATGGATAATGAAGCCATGTGGAAAATCTCAAGGAACTGGTATTTTTTTGATAAACAAATTGAGCAAATTAAGAAAATGGTCGAGAGAAGCAAAAACATTTTTAAATCCTAATCTAATTAAAGAGCTCTACGTCATCTCAAGGTATGTATTTGCAATTAGTTGAATTGTAGAAATTGTGTAAATAGTTAAGTCTGTTAAGTAAAAAAAGGTTAATTTGTTGTAAGTGGACATTGCCGCTAAAGACGTATTATTGGTTTTATTTTATAAAATCCTTAGGTGAAAAGCTTTTGTACTATTTTTATTTAAAATGGATATCCTTATGTCCTGTATGGTCTTTGGCTATAAGCAAAATAGAGTTCACATCTAAAAAATATAAAATTATATTTATTTAGGTACATAGAAAATCCATTGCTTATAGGAGGCAAAAAGTTTGACTTACGATTGTACGTTCTGATTACATCTTTCCGTCCACTGAAAGTATATCTTTTTAAACTTGGATTTTGTCGCTTTTGTACAGTAAAGTACGATACAAGTATGCAAGAATTGGACAATATGTATGTACACCTAACAAATGTGTCTGTACAAAAACATGGGGTGAGTATATGAATTTAATTTAATGCGGAATGACACTACCACTGGGTACCCTTTTGAACCAATTTTTCATAAATTATTATAAGACACAGGACATGTTATAAAAACAGTTGACAATATTCAATTTAAAATTCATTGTTCTGATAAAATTAGGACGAATATAATAGTTTGCATGGAGGAAAATTAAGTGTACAAAATTTGCGACTATATTTAGAAAGTACTCGAGGCAAACATGTAACCGAGAAACTATTTGCAAATATTTCCTGGTGCATTATTCACTCATTAAAGGCTGTAACACCAGTGATTGCTAATGATAGGCATTGCTTTGAATGCTATGGTTATGATATCATAATAGACAATAAACTGAAGCCATGGTTAATTGAGGTAATGTATATAATAATAAGTCATAATAACAGGAACAGTTTTTTGATACATTTTTAACTCTGAATTAACAAGACCTACAAGGATTTCAAATATCTCTGAATAATTAAATCTACAACATAATATTATTTATTTTACATTTAGGTCAATGCCTCGCCGTCATTGACTTCCACAACAGTAAACGATCGTATCTTAAAATATAAATTAATCGACAACATTATATCAATCGTCTTACCACCAGGTGGAATTCCTGAGTAAGTCTAAATCTTTTAATTTATCTTATTAAAAATTGTAAATTGAATTACTTATAAATTATGTTAAATTATTATTTAATATAATTTATAAGTAATTCGAAAAGTGTTCGAAAAGTTCTAGAAAATTATTTCTCCCGGGCAAAGATAATTCTATCGAATTTCGTTAAAAACAGGATGATTTTGAAGTAATTTGATTATTTAACATAGGATTCATTTATATTTGCAGAATCAACTTAAAATCTGTTATTATAATGAACTTTATTTTTTTAGTGTAAAGTGGAATAAATGTCCTACTAGTGAAGCAATGGGAAATTTTGAGTTACTCTTAGACGAAGAACTAGCAGCACATGGCGAAAGAGATCACTATACTGGAAAACTGAAGAGTTCAATTTCTAAATGGAAATAGACTTCACTAAGTGCATTATTTCACAAAAATAATATAAAGTTATTGAGATAACAAATTTTAATAACGTGTGATGAAAAGTTCGGATACTTTACATATTAAGATAATTAATTTTAATTAATTAATTAATCAAACTGCCTTTCTAGTGGAACAATGGGAAACTTTGAATTACTCTTCTAGAAGATAAAGAAAATATCTATTACTAAATTAACTGTTATATTTATTCTTGTTATAATTATAATTTATTTCAGTTTTTATTATTACATTGTGAGTGCTCTAGAAATAAACTAATAAAAATTATCTTCTAAATAGAATAAAATTGAGTAATATTACAAGATTGCATTTCTATTTGTCCCATTTTGAACTGCAATCTTTCTAACCATCGCAAAAGTTTCTTATTCGTTTCTTGACGATTTGATGTAAAATAGTCCTCTAGTGATTGTATCAAATCACTATCGTAATTTTTTAATCGCACTTGTAGATGACCAATACACTGAAAAAGAGTATTTGTCAAAACAAATTTTTTCAGACCAAATGCTAATATTAAAATGTAAAAGAAACATTCATAAAATAAAATATTAACCAGTACATTATTCAAAAGTAATTCAGGTGTTAACACATCACATTTATTGCAATTAATTTGTTAGCAAATAATTAAAAAAGTAAAGTGGTTGAAATAAGATATTGTTTCCTTAACCCACCTGCATTTTATTAGAGAACAGTATAGGAGTCCACATTGGCATTAATTTATTTAATAAAATAGATCCTCGATCCATTAGAATGTCGAATAAGTTAAGGAAATGTAGATTCACCATTTCAGCTAGCTGTAATGATGTGTTATGGAATTACTTCTATCTACATTTTTCATTTTTTTTGTTACAATTGAATAAATACATAGAATTAAAGCAATAGTTATACCTGTTTAGAATGAGCAGCTAAATGCAATATGGAGGGTGTAACTTTTCCCCAAAAATCCAACAGAATATTCATTGCTGAATTGCTATGTTCCATACCAGAAGAATTGTTCTTTATAATTTCTTCTAAATAAACTGTCCATAACTGAAATCATTATTCATTCAGTAATTCAGTCATTCTAAGTAAACGTATTGGAAAAATAAAAGATATTGATAAATAGTCATACCTGACATAAAATGAAAGCCTGAGATAAAGCACAAACATTTTGAACATTAGTTTTAGATTGGTCGGGATATCCACTGAATATAACTTGTATATGATCTGCTACGTAACATGAACCTTCTACACTGATTGGCTGTGCTGATGATAATGGAAGAGCATGAGATTGAACATTACTGTTGATAGTAAAAGTTACACTGTGTATCAAGGAGCCCAACAGCAACCAAGTCAGTAATCTTACATGACTTATGCATTCCGCATATTCCCGTACACTAGAAAAAAATTATAAAAGATTTTCAGTGATATAGTTTCATCATCAATGATGCCTCAGAAGAAAGTAGTGAATTAAATTTAGATTTATTATAAAAATATAGTCACGTTGTAGTGCATACCCAAGTTGTAACATTGAAGATGGATTATATAACCAGGGTAAAAATCTAGAAACTGCTCTATTCTCCCTACTGTTACCTCTCGTAATTTCTAATGCGAGATATTGTGCGAGTCCAGATTTCAATATACCTCCTAATGTGTCTTCATTAAGTCCAGATTGTAATCCTTTATTGAAACTCTGGAATTTTTAGTTGTTTAAATATAATGATGAACATTGTGATATAAATTTAATAAATTCATATCACGTGTATTTTTTTTTATACCTTTATTTTACTTATAGTATGAAAATCTGCTAAAAATTCAAGAACATCTGTTATTTGACTTCTTAATGCTTCAGAATTATTGGAATTAAATAAAGGAGATATCTCAGAAGATAGTTCTTTTATGGGTACGGTTGTGTGTAAAAATCCACCCACATCCTACGATAAAATAATAATAATAAATAGAAATACAAAATAACACAATAATTTGAAATTAGAATTTACAATAACTTTGCAGAAAATAATATTAAGTAAATAGTACAATGATACTATATAATATTTACTCTAAAAGAAAAAATCTTATTTTATGTAATTTCAAAACCGCAGTATAAAATAATTTTAAGATATTTTACCTGAAGAACGAAATGAAGTAGAAGTAGAAAGTTAGAATCGGGAATAATTATTTTAAATTTAATTGCTTGTACTAGTTCGAATACAATAGTCCTTCCTAGAAATTGTTTATCTCTTTCTCGATTGAATCCTCGATGACAAAGTTGACAGAGTTCAGTCAGAAAATTATTTTTCAAAAAAGAGTTTTGTATGGAATAACTGAGAACTTTCGAAAATGGATCTAGAAGTCCCTGAAACAAAATAAATATTAAACGTAATAGTATGTTTGATTTTATATATATGTACATATAATTATGGATTCATTTACATAAGGAAATGTAAGTGACCCAACTGTGACTATAGAATTCACTATTTCACTAACCTTAGACTGTTGAATTCCAGGTACTTTCATAATGGATATCATAATTCTATGAGCTGGTGTTATGTCTTCAATTGTTGGCAAAAGCATAACTAATTTTCTAAAGAATCCTTCAAACTGAGATAATAGTCCACTCCACGTTATAATACCAGGACCCAAACCAGCTTCCAAAGGCAAGCAGTCTAAATAACTCGCAACATTATGCAGAATCGTTGATAATTTGCCCACAGGAAGGGACTTCTTTGAGTTTAATGTCTAAAAAATAAACATTAATTAATATTCGTAATAAATGTACTCAGCAAAGCCGGTTGGAATTTAGATTAAGAAAACTCCAATTCGATTTTGACATGATGAAATGTTTAGAATTCAAAAAATGTACAACTCACTTCTAGTAATAATTGTAATGGAGCAATTGGATTTAAATCATTGAAATCTGTTAGAGCTTGGGCAACGCTTTTGAAAAATTGAATCCTTGTAAGTACTGAAAATAATATATCAAAAATTACAAGAAGTATAATAAATATCAATGCGGTGTTCTTAAACGATAAAAAAAGCTACTTTACAGCGTATTTATTAATTGCGATGATTAAAACTCACCATTGATGCGGGTTTGAAACATTTGCATAAATATTGCATTTGGAGCCATTTGATGAAGAACACATCGTAGAAACTGATGTGCCACACTAATAGCACTGCCCGGTAAATGTAAATTAGTTTCACTTTGCCAAGGATACATTGCCTTAAGAGAAACTCTGTAATTGTAAAGTTTTAAAAGATTAAACATCCAATTATGTATACAATCACCTAAACTATTGCAAAATAACAATTATTAGAAATTAATTTTGTGACGACCCAGATAGTCTTATCTTTCTTTTATGAATAAGTTGTTCTTTTACCCGAGTTCATTCCCCGAGCGCCTTCAAATTCGCGCGCCAAAGTAGCGCGCATGACTGCACTTAGCAGACGACTTGCACGACGCCGGCGAGACTTGTTGCTCTCGCCAGATAGATGCGAGCCTTTTGCGAGATTACATTATAAGATTACCGCGTTGAAGTTATCGCCACTACGATATTGTATTCGCGCCTTTTTTGTAACTAATAATTAATAAAACGTTTTGTTAAATAATTCTTTAGTGAACTGTTCATTTTTTTAGATTACTAATCGACATTGTCTAGGAGTAGCCGCCACGAGGACCATCCGTCGACCGGTAAGTTCGCTCTGTACCATTCACTCTTTTTTCTGACCGATTTTGGACGACTACTTGGCAGCCTCTCTCAATCGCCGTACTTGCTCGCTGCTGGAACTTTCGCTCAAGCTTTGTGCCTCCCGTCTCGAGTCGTCCCCATCCCCGAGAACTCTTTCATTAATATTGCTCTAAACTTAATTTTCGCGACCGGGTTGTCACAATTTCTACTTGGTATACACTTATACAGCGATAACCAATAAGATCTGCTTTTTTCACCTCGTAACGGCATTAAGAATGTCTGGTAAAAACGGAGCTGCTAACGATGGTTCTCTATGTACAAAAGTTCCCAGGACAATTATACATAATCCCAGCTCCTCATCAGAGTATTCTTCTTTTATTAATCCACATTCACAACACCTATATTTAATGAACAAGTATTATGTATATATTATATTTTCACGGTATGCAAAAATTGTCCAATTAAAACAAATAGAGGCATTAATTTAGAATCAATTTTTTGTACTAAATTTCCATTTCTTTAATATTATATACCTAATAATAGCTTTTATTTGAAATCCCTTTGTTTTAATTTGGCAAATTTTTTTACAGTATTATAAATAAATTTTAATGATTGATTTACCTTTCATGAACACACTCATCTCCTATTCTAAATAAACTCGATTTTAGGTTAAAATCGGCATGACAGGCTTGTTGCAACGTGCTATTTAAATTCGGTTGCATTTTAGGACCAGGCCTAGAAATATAAAAATTTAAATTAACCCGAGTTAATAAACGATTATTTTATAAAAATTTCATTCAAGATATGGGGATCAATGCCGATTGTCCAAAATTAGAAAAAATACATCCAGAGGATTGACAATAATTGTCCACGTAGCTCAGGGTAAGACGCTTGCTGACGTTTTGGGTAAGCTTTGGAAGGAGGTAACCCCGGACGAAGGACCCAAACTACACAAGAGTCGTAGCTGCAAGGACTATGAAAAAGGGAGACCTCCTGATTAAAATCGGAGGCTACTCCAATAGAGGCCTTCGATGCGGAGGATACCCAAGCTGTAGAAGGCATGGATGAGGTAGTTTGTAGATCGAAGGTTAACGCTGAAGATCCGCCTCTTGAATTGTCTTACCCAAGTAGAAGGGGTCTAGTAAGTGTTGGCTGATGTACTGAAGAAACCAGGAAACAGAAAGATGACGGTCCTTGGACTAAACTGACAAGGGATGAAGATTGCGGTTGTAGACCCTTACTCAGAAGAGTCGGAGAGGCTGGAGGAATCGGGAAGTATTAAGGTTAACTTTATGCCATGATTAATTAATAAGGGAGTGATGGTCACTAGATGTCATCGGTGCCTTAATTACGGGAACATAGCATGAACATAGAAAGAGATTGTAAGGCGGAGGATAGATTGACTGTATAATTTAGGTGCGGAGAAGTCGATCATAAGTTTGCAAACTGTAAAATTTGGGAAATCTTACCAAGACTCATGACGACATGAAGATATCACTGTACGACTTGTAGATGTCGATGATTTGCCAATTTTATCCCGTCGCAAACGAGCTAAATCTTTAGCTGTACTTTTCTTACTCGTACTTCTTAAATGATGAATACAATTATCAGAATCAAATGTTGAATGTGGAAATTCCATTGCTACTTGCTTTGTTAATCTCTTCTGATTAGAACACAAACAAGAATGTTTACCATTTGACTTGGCATTCTACAACATTTAAAAATAATACACTTGTTTATTGAACATAAGAAATTTTGTCACTTTTCTTATTTTAAGCTTATTAAATACAATTTTTCTAAATGGTGGTATATCACCATGATTGCGATCATCGAGGTTAAGCATGTCCTATAATTATTGTACTTAAGTATATGTAATACTTACAGAATGATCATCTTTAAAAGTGGATTCTACATGTTTATCATCTTCAGAGGTATTTGCAGTACTTTTTGGTGCATTCAAATTATCTAAAAATTAAAATAAGTACTTGATTTAACACGATCGTGCAATAGAAGCTAACGTCGAGAACACAATAATTAATTGATTTGTTTATTAATAAGAATTGCGTCTACGGTAACATTTATTTTGAATAATCACTTTACTAATGTCCGATTTAAATTTAATAGAAACCTAGTAATTTTTGTTCTTTATGCTTTGTTTATACATGTCCGCTATCGTTGCATTATTTAATCACAAGATAAGGTAATTTAAAATGTAACTTAAAAATTAAAATACGTAATTTAAAACTAACCTTGAGATATTGATATACCGAGAACATGTCGGACACAATCGACTATTCCAGTAACCGATTCTCTCCGCAATCCAATAGGTAATAATCTCTCTTGTAACGGAAGTTCTATACGCTTTATGCTAGTTGGTTTTTCAAAAACACTAACTGAAGTTCCATTGCCTTCTTGAAAGTTACCTGAAATTTATAACTTAAATTATAAAACAGTTAAAAAAAGATATAATTCTGGTATTACTGTAAGAGATTAATTACAAGAATACAAATATTTCGACGCCTCCCGTTAATTAAAAAATTAAATTAATTAAAGGAAATTTTTCTCCAAATCTCTGCTTTGACTCCTGCTTACATGAATTTGAAGATCGTTTAAGAAGACGCAACAATTTAATCATATAGGGTTTAAATGATGATGATCCATCATTGGATCGGTTAAAAGCCTGGGCAACATGCATTAGGACACGTAAAAATTGGTTTTATGCGATGCCCATTAAAGAAATAGTCATCCGGTACCATCGATGCCTTGCATACGTTAATATTCTTAATTTTTTAATAATATTATAAATCTAATTATTATACTATCCATAAAGCCAAAAGTAGTAATCTTGTTATGAATGGGAGACGTCGAATTAGTTATCTAATTCAATTATGTAACCTTTATCAGGAAATATAATGCCCACTGGAAGAAGTCTTTCAAGTTTTGGTGTTACTAAGTTAGTTTTCATTTCTTCCATTTGCAGTTCTTTTTTACTACTAGCAATTTGAGAACAATCCGGATTTATATGATTGATATTACTGCTTCCCATACTGTTTAGCTGACGATTTTTAAGTGTTAAATCAGTAACACAAAATGGATGACCTTTCTTTCTCTCAAATCCTTTAGATTTTAAAGAATGTGATCTGACATTTTCATTGTATTCGCTAAAAGTTCTGATGTTTCTACTTATTCTGAAATTAAAATATAAAATTCTGATTAATTTTATAAACATTTAAAGCTAATATTTCAATATAACTGTATTTACACTTTTGTGTTTTATTCATGTTTTTGGAAACCTTTTCATTAGTGATTTCAACCGTGATTTTTTTATCTTAAAAATAATTTGTATCTATATAATAGTTAAATTTTTAATACCTTTGAACATATGGTATCAATTTACCTTTCATGTTCTATACTTTCCCTAGCAGCTTCTGCACCATCTTTGGAAGTTAAGTTACCGCTATTATTACTAGTTGACAATCTCTGTATTTCATAAGGTTTCTCAGAACTAGCTTCTGATCCAATTTGAACGGCCAAGGAAGTATCATCAGACATTGAGTTTAAACCACCACTAGCTCCCGGAGATTTCTGTAGTGATAATAATGATTGTAATAAATGATAATAAATGATTGTAATATTAAAACTATAACTTTCAAATCCATCACTAGATTTATATCTCAATTTATAATCTCAATCTTGATTATATAGAAACCATTTGAGGTAAATTATCGAATTCATCCCTAAGTACTGTAAAGCAAAACGCTAAAGTTTTTAAATAAATTACAATTTCTTACCCTCTGATATCCTTTTTCTGTATGTTCTTCAATATTGATACTATTATTATTTAAACTTGCAAGTTCCTTTTTGACATATTTTAATGACGATATTCTGCCTTTAAAATTGTAAATACTTTCTTCAACTTCTGCGAGAGAACCACAACTGCTATAATGTATCGTACTATCAGACTGTATACTTTCAGGTATTGCCGCTAATTCCGATTCGGTATCATCAGCATTATAACTGCATGTAAAATTTAAATTAATCATCATTAATCATTTTAATTAAAATCACGTTACAAAACACTTGATCGTTTAAATTAAACTTTGATGTATTTACATTACCTTGAATCCATTCCAAACATTTTATTCGTGGCACTTTTTAAACTTCGTCGATTATTTGTAACAGCTTTATCAAAGTTTTGTATATTTTCACTCTCTATTAATTCAGACTCAATGTTTAACAAATCGTGTTCATCACCTAATGAAGGTTGAGAAACATCTAAAATATGAATTTAAATTACACTAAATTATTTATTTAATGATTTTTAATTATTTTAATTAATTAAACTTGTCAAATAATTTCTTCTGTCGGATCTAAGTTAAGGCGTTACTCTAACTATTATACGAGTCCAAAAACCACTCCAAAGATTTTCTAAGATGATGTGATTTTCTTAGATGTTATAACTTCATGAATGGAATAATTTCTACGATAATTTTTTAAAGTTAAATCTCATTTTTACAATTATCAGAATATTATTTACCTCTAGATCTAGCTGGAGGTCCGGACATTACAACCATTCCTGGAATTCTCTTACATTGATGATGTTGTCCCTTTAATGTATTTATCACAATTTTTATTAAAGCTTGTAACTGGTAGTACCAAACCTGCTGGCCATACTGAAACTAGAAAAATTTATACAAGTTAAACAAAACAGTTGCTGTTTTTGAAAAAATATTTAAAACTTACTTTGTATAAAATGATGAGTAAAGACATTAACCATGATCGCCTAATATGGGGCTCTAAATACCACAGACTATATAGTGGAGGTTGATATTCTGTATTCAATGCATTAGGTGGACAAGGACAGTGTTTTAAAATTGCCAATATAGGAGGAATAGTAGCCCATCCCATAATATTATTTTGATCCAAAACTTGTGGCAAGTTTGTGATAAATACGTTGAAAACAGAAGAGTTTCTAAAATTAATATTTATATATGTGTACTTCAGTAAAATATTTTTGAATTCTTGGTTCATTTAGGTACTCTAATATAAAAAGTCATTGAACATTGACATTATACGTGGATTAATTAATTAATTAACTAATATACATACCTTAATCTCTGTGATTGGGTATGAAATGTTCTTTCTGATTGATTGTAGCCAAGAAGCAGATATAAATGACGTAAGACAATACCTTGTGTCTTGAATAGCGGTTTTTCTTCAGTAGGGTACGCCTAAATTAAAATTTAATGTATTTCAAGGAATAATATTCTAATATTTTACATAACTATTGCAAAATTTATTCATACGTTTTTTTGTATTGAAAATTTAAAAAAACATCTACCTGATCTTGTCTGGATAAAAATTGCATTAGCAAAAATACTAGAAGATGTAAAGTTTCAGTATCAGCTTCTTCAAGATCTAGTATTTTGTGAATGAATGTTGGTAAATTGCTTGTTTCGTCTATCATATGTAGAGAATGGACATATCCATCTGTAAGTAATTAATAATATCAAAAGTTAAATCTGTTAGTTTTTTAAGAAAATATAATTAATGTTGGTATATGTTACAGTTAAAGTCCAAAATCCGTTAATGTTGACATTAACAACATTGTTCAGTTAAAGTGAATAATTCTAACAATCAGCAGATTAACTAGGTAATGTCAACATTAACGGATTCCTGCACTTTATCCATAAGATATATACTTTTACCCTATTTTTTGACAAAGGGACCATTGGGTAGAATTTCAGAGTCTAGACGTAAATTAATATTTTATAGGTATAGTTTCTATTCTAATACTGTATTCTGTAAAATTATATACATTTTTATTTTAAAACAGAATTCATCGACTACCCAGCAGGCAGTGGGACATAGGAAGTCTTGAGGACATCCTTAGAAAGGACAGGAATAAATAGGTAACTATTTAAATTCACATTTCAACTAACTATTAAATTACAGTTTTAAAAGAAATAAAAATTATTGTACAATCAAAAAACATTTCTATTATCAAACTAATCTTCTAGTTTTTTAAAATACATGAATTCTCTTTTAACAACAACTTGAAAGTCAATTTACTGTTCAATCATATCAGCATATACCTAAATCGTATTCAGGTGACAAAAATACATTTAAAACCAGTTCAATATCAAAAGATTGCCAGATTTTGCAACACTGAAATTAAAGTGAAATATATTCAAATAATTTTCTAAACTTACCTATACCAAATCGGGAACTTTTTCTTTTAAGTGATGGTGCTGAATATTGTCTATTATATATTTTTTCTTTTTCTGTAAAAGAATATTATATACAATACTTTTTACAAAAAATAAGTGTTATTTTACTAATTCAAAACAATTCTAATATATGCTACTAATGAGATAAGTCTCAGCGTAAGTGTGGAAATATTAAGTGTAGTGTAAATTAATGGTGCAAGTGCAAGTACAATAGTAGTGCAAGTTTATACTCTAAAATTAAATTTGCTTTTTTCAAACTATATAGTATATTTTTCTTACCTTGTTTTGTGTCCTGACGTTGCACTGTAGAAGCAGGAGCAGACATTGTGCGTTTATATGGCCATTTAGAACCGAAACTTCCACATAATGTTTTCAATGAGCTTGCATTGCTTTCATTATTCTGAGAAAGGGCTTCATGAGCTCTTTGCAACTTCAATATGAATGCTTCATTATTGTTGTCAGTGTTCTTGAGGTCTGTAATTTTACAAATAGGTTGGGTCTACGAATCTAAGAATAATCTTAAAAGTACCCCTATAAAGACATCTGGATCTACTCTTTCTCTCTGATTCTAATTGTAAAGGATTCAAAAAGAAACTATTAATAATTTAACATCAATTTAACAGTTTCTCTTTCTTAATGCCTGTCCCTTGATATCAGAGCCATTCGCTCTGTGAATAAATAAGGTTTAAATCACCGATGCCGGACAAATTAAGTATATAAATTATGATGGTTTTGTTTCACTCTGAGACATAACACAAGTGTAACACCGGCGTCTAGAAGTTCTCATTCTACGTTCCCGGACGATTTTCTTAATTTTAAATTCCTATTTTCAAAAATTCTTAAAAACGTTTTTCCTAAAGTGTCCTAAAGTCTAAATTCCTAATCCTATTTTCCTAAGTTATACTGATTTGAAGATATAGAAACGCTCAAGAAAATACGTATTTCACTACGATAATGTTAAGTAATTACTTGGAAAAATGATGTACATATTAAATAGAATCATTCTTACCTCGAATATATGTTAAATCTCCAGTTTTTTGAAGATTAATTTGTGCTTCAAGAAATATTGAATCAAACCTATTCAAAAAGAACTCCCAAGTTAAAACCCGCCTGTCACTTAAGCTATTATGCAGTTGATATATAGATTGTAATATCATTGGTCTGTCCACAATTACGGTATCAAATTGCGTTTCAAGACAGAAAATTAATGACTGCAAATATAAATATCATATTTTTAATAATTATTCTTTAATTGATAATTGGATTGAAAAGAAGCATTAAACATCGAGACGGTAGGACTAATAATAGTACAGTTTAACTAAAGTTTGATAATCCACAAGGCTTTCTATTAGCTAATAGATAATCTTTATTGATTAGTATCACGTCAAGCGAATCAGGGCCCTGCCCTGATTTCATAAAATAAATTTATAAATTTACAAATAATTTTATGAAACAGATCATATATAAAAATAAAATCCCTTACCCTTATTGCTGTATCGTGAATTGTTCCAATGTTCAAAGTAGCTCGTTGAGCAACACAAACATTTGAATCATCCATACTAGCAATTAAATAACAAAATACACTAGCTAATACTGCTTGCAAATTAGAAACATTTCTCAAAGGTGTTGAGTCCATAAATCGTGCTATTAGAGTCACGCGTTCAACTGAAAAATCATTTTTGTAAAAATAATGTATAGTGTTATTAAATGCTATAATGTAATTAAAAGTAAAGTAGAAATATATAAATATTGGCATAATTTTAGAATTATGACCTAAAAAGTTTCATTATCTAAAACAATAAATGTTATATTTAATAAGAATAATTAATGTTGTCCACCTGCTGTAAATCGAACGCGCCAGTTTAAATCTTGGAATTGTTCCTGCATAAGTCTCCAAAATGTATCAACCCCATGAGGTAAGGAAATACAGTGGAGCAAAAGAGGTACTGACACTTGTGCAATATGCGAATGCTCAGCACTCAATAGATCCCACAAACTAAAAAGCAAAAGATGTCAGTTTGTAAAATCTATCAATTACATAAAAAAAAAAGTTTATTTACTTATGGTAAAAAGTAATCTTAACAAAATGTGACGTTAAAATATACTTTTACTATCTAAACTAACATTTAATAGTATATTATTACTTCTTTATAAGAAGACTCTCCTGACACCATATAAAAAAGTCTTGATGATCTTTTGCTGCCATTGTTAACGCATCTCCATATAAACACATAATACTTAGACATTGTAGCATGTAATAGATAATATCGGAATTTTCAACTTCATTAATTTCCTAAAAATCAAATTTCCCCAAAGAGTTTAGTATAATAAAAAAGGGTTTAAAAAAGTTTTTGTATAAACCAAATGATACCTTCAACAGTTTATAAATGTACTGCAATTGTTCGGGAAGTTCCTCAATAGTAAACTGCAATTCTCCAATTGATGTTTGCCAAAAATCATCTCTATTTTGATCTTCTTTATCAGAAGCAAATTCGTCATTTAAATGCGACTGCAATTTGTTTTTAATTGTTGCATCTCTTCCTATAACATTACAAAATTTTGTAAATACAATAGGGTCATTCTTTGTCAAATTTTACCCCCTATCTGTCCATTTTTAATTTCAACGAAAAAAATCAAAAAAGGGCTTAAATTAAAGCTTGGAACCTCTACTTTCATTTGCATGGTGGCCTTTTTTAAAAATTCAACATGGTGGACTTGTACTTCGCGTTAAAGCTGTCGAGGAGCATAAAAAAATTCTACTTTTTGCTGAAAAAATATGAATTTCAAAGTAGAAATAGTTTATTTTTGGCACAAAACATACCTCTTTATACGTACTTTCTTTACCCTCATTGACATTTTCGAAATTTCAAAATGGCGGATCCAATATGGCCGAAAAATATAAATATTTATCAATCTTTGCGAAACTTACTATTAAGGGGTTATTTGGGTCGCTGATTACGAATCTGAAGTCAGTTTTGCAAAAATACAAAATGTCGGATTAAATATGGCGGACCTATTTTTCAAAAATCGTACTTTTCTGTTTGAAAGTTGTTACTCAGGGGTTTTTGAGGTCGCTGATTACGAATCTGAAGTCAATTTTTGAAAAATTCAAATTGGCGGATCTAATATGGCCGAAAAATATAAATATTTATCAGTCTTTGCGAAACTTACTATTAAGGGGTTATTTGGGTCGCTGATTACGAATTTGAAGTCAGTTTTGCAAAAAACAAAATGGCGGATCCAATATGGCAGATCCATTTTTTAAAAATCGTCCTTCTTGCTTGAAACCATTTACGCTGTTTCTATTAATTGCACTTGATATTAAGTTATTCTTATTAGTACTTCAGAAACAAGTTTCAAGCAAAAAAGTTCGATTTTTGAAAAATGGATCTGCCATATTGGATCCGCCATTTTGAATTTTTCAAAAATTGACTTCAGATTCGTAATCAGCGACCTCAAAAACCCCTGAGTAACAACTTTCAAACAGAAAAGTACGATTTTTGAAAAATGGATCTGCCATATTGGATCCGCCATTTTGAATTTTTCAAAAATTGACTTCAGATTCGTAATCAGCGATCCAAATAACCCCTTAATAGTAAGTTTCGCAAAGATTGACAAAAATTTATATTTTTTCGGCCATATTGAATCCGCCATTTTGAAATTTCGAAAATGTCAATAAGGGTAAATAAAGTACGTATAAAGAGGTATGTTTTGTGGCAAAAATAAACTATTTTTACTTTGAAATTCATATTTTTTTAGCAAAAAGTAGAATTTTTTTATGCTTCTCGACAGCTTTAACGCGAAGTACAAGTCCACCATGTTGAATTTTTAAAAAAGGCCACCATGCAAATGAAAGTAGAGGTTCCAAGCTTTAATTTAAGCCCTTTTTTGATTTTTTCGTTGAAATTAAAAATGGACAGATAGGGGGTAAAATTTGACAAAGAATGCCCCAATATAGTTAAATAAAACAAAAAATTTTTAACGGATTTGGTGATTCATGAAATTTTTATAGTAACTCAATACCAGATTTGATACTATTAAATTTGAAAGTCAACTAAGATAGACAAACCATTATCTTTTCTTGTTAATGTACTACCGGATAAATTAATGTCGATTTTCTCCATTGGAATTATTGTTGTGAGATCCAATTGCTCTGATACTGTTTCAACCGTTGCTGTCATAATTTGTTCGAAAAACTGTAAATAAATAGTTTTTTTTAGAAAATTTCCAACTGTAAATTGTTTTATTTTAACTTTTTCGAAATTCCTGATCCTTCAGTTTATGTAAAAATCCATTTGAGGTGTCAGCAAGTTATTATACTAAAAAAAAAGCGCAAAATGGAAACTTACATGAGGCATGTGAACAAGAACACCTCCAACAGTATGAGGTTCTGGAGTCGGCATACCTAACCCACCGTCAGATTTTAAATCACATTTCTTCACTCCATCGGCGGAATTACGGCGTCCATAATCATCAGATAGGTCGTCATTTATGACCTAGATGTAGATGAACTTTATTACAAATAATTAACCCAAATAGCACAACATCTAAGCTCAATGTTGTCTCTAAATTGTGGGAACATTGCCGGAACAATTTGAATTCCTGATCTAATTTTTATTTGAATTTTTAACAAGTAGCCTATTTATTTCCTTTGCGTGTACTTACATCTGGTGGATGTGCTAAGGTTGAAGGAGCCAAGTAAGTAAGTAGCTGTAAACATAATTGGTACCACACTATTTTTGATTCACAATACGTGCATTCAGAACTTAGAAGGCATGTATGGTCGGCGCTCAAATTTGTCTCCAATATCAATTTCATCAAGTCACAAGATTCACGACAAGTGCTACTGTATATTCCAGCATTTTTATCAATATCTTGTAATTCTATCTATAACATGAAATAATTATTGTATTGTGAAAAATTATATTTCTGGCAATATTGTAAGTTCAACTTCAAGAGGTTCATCAACCACTGTAATTTTGGGGAATGATGACTGTTCGTTTAGGAAAGAATGGCTGTTTGATGGAAGGGACGGTTTCGCTCACCATTTTTTGTTATCTGCTATTGGTTTTCCGCTTTGTTTTTACAAAAGTTGATTTTAATTTTTAAACAAAAAGTAACTTACTTGTTTTAATAAAGCATCTAGCATCAAAACACAACAGGATAAATTTAATTCTGAATCAACTTGAAATTCAACATAAACTTGATTTGGAACAATATCATCAGAAATTGGGGTTGATTTTTCTGAATCATTCTCCACCAATCCACCTGAAACATAATCAGAAATTAATAAGATTTTCTATTTTCAAATGTTGAAACAAAAAGACGTCATTTAGACAACTAATGTCAAAGACATAAATTGTCCGCAAAAAGACATATTTAGGACGTCTTTTGAATCAGTCATAACCATCAACCTTCAAGTTTATACATTAACTATAATAATCTTCGTATCCGGATTTCACGATCTCTGTCCACACCTGAAGTTGGACTTTTGTGGATTCTTTTGTTTTATTTCTAGGTTTGACATTTCTTTTGTATACATTTTGCACAATATATTTTCGAGGTTATTGGAAATCAAAATTTATCGCAAGAATTCAAATACTTTGAAAAGTAATAAAATACTTTGCAGAAATTAAATTATTTGCAAATTTTTTAAAAAAATTTCTACAATTAAATTATCTTTATAAATAGATAACGAAATTCTTCTAAAGTATTCAATTATTTCCAAAAATTTTAATAAAATTATTTAAAAAGTATTAAATTATTTTCAAAAGTGGTTATAAAATTCTTTGATGTCATCAATTTCAGTAAAACTTTAATTAAATTTCTTAAAAGAAATTAATTTTTTTCAAAATAAAATTCTTCGTAAAAATTAAATTTTAAGAAACATTCAATTATTGAACATTTTATTTATTTTTGTAATTAATAATATGTAATTGAATTCTCGTAAAATTTTCTAATAAAAATTTATTTAAAAATAAATTCTTGAAAATAATTTTAGAAAATAATATTGGAATTTAAATGATAAAAATAATTTAGAAAAAATTAGAGTAACAATATTCTTATATAAAATAATAATTTTATCCCTAGGTTATCTTTAATTCTTAAAAAAATAATAAATTGATCACTCCGAGTCAAAGACTTCCTAATATTTAAAATAATATTCATATAAGTTTTTAAATTTCAAAATTTTTTTTAAAATCTTAATTCCTACAGAAAAATAATAATAAGTAAATATTTCTTTAAAAATGAAGTTTTTTGTATTTTTGAATAACAGGGTTTCTACAGAATCTGGAAATCATGGAAATCATGGAAATGGTATGGAATTTTTAAAAGGCTTCTGGAAATCATGGAAAAGGCCTAGAATATTTAAAAGTTTCTTTTTTGCTGTTTTCCATTTTTTCTCTTGAATAGAAATTCAAATAATAATAAAGCTAAATCCCATAAAAGAGGAGAAAAAATGTTGAATTTTAACAAATTCGGATTTTTGAATTATTGATAATTTTCTATTTTTTACCAAAGGGTGGAGAATATTAAATAAGTAAAGTATTTTCCAAGAGCACAATAATAATGAAGCTAAATGCCATAAAAAAGAGAAAGAATGTTGAATTTTAAGAAATTCGGTTTTTTGAATTTTTGATAATTTTCGATAATTTTAGATTTTTTACCAAAGAGTCGAGACTATTAAATAAGTAAAGTATTTTCCAAAAGCACAAAAACAATGAAGCTAAATCTCATAAAAGAGAGGAAAAACTGTTGAATTTAAAAAAATCGGTTTTTCGAATTTTTGATAAATTTTGATAATTTTAGAATTTTTACCAAAGGGTGGAGACTATTAAATAAGTAAAGTGTTTTTAAAGAGCCCAAAAATATTGAAATTAGATTTAAAATTCCACTGGAATTTCGTAAAAAATTGACCGGGATATCATGGAAAAGGTATGGCGGAACAGTGTTTGGAAGTAACGCGTTACTTTTAACGTCGTTACCGTTTTCGTTACTTATTTTGGGTAACGGTAACGATAACGCGTTATTATTTTAGAAAAGTAACGGTAACGGTAACGAGTTACTTTTTTTTGTAATTTGTAACGAAGAGTCGTTACTTTTATCGTTATTTTTTAAAGGGTATAGCGGAATAAGAATGGAAAATCTGCCTTTGCTCCAAAAAAGTTTAAATTATTACTAAAAGTTGGTACTAATGAGATGAAAATTTCCACCAAATATTTTTTGAAAAAATGCATTTTTACAGGAGTTATGGAGGGGGAAAGCAAAATCAAAAAATTGATTTTTCTCGAAAACGGCTCAACCGATTTTAATTTCAAAAATATGTTTTTTTGTAGAATCAAAAGACGAATTATAAAAAAAATACAAACACTGGTATGGAATTTTAATTTCGGATTTCTGTAGGAATCCTGTAATAATTTTTCAATTAAGAAAATTCGTAAATAAAAGTAATATAGGAATTTTTTGTGTGTACCTATCTAATAATTTTTAGAGTGTATCAGAATATTCTTTATGATCAGGAAAAAAGTCAAAATTCTATCTAGAAATCAGAGAAAGACAAAATTAAATATTTGTGGTAACCCAGTTTTAGCAAGTATTGAAAAATTCAAAATTATTTAAAAATGAAAAATCTTTTATTTTTATTCTCAAAAATTTTAAAATATTATTCGAAATTTCGTTATACAATGCAACTAAAATAATATACCTATTAAGATGGTATTCTGGTCTGTTTTTTCGAGTAGGATAAAAAAGAAAGTTTAACACTTTTAGTATTGACTTTTGTTGCAAATTGTTTATTAATGTTTAAAGAATACAGAAAAAAATTAGGAAAAAAAATAAAAAATTTTTTAAAGTTATAAACTGGTGAAGTGGGGACTGAAAAAAAGAAAGTGCGAACTGGTTGACACTGTGGAGACTTTTGTAATTCCCTAAAAAAAACCCAAAAAATTCTTGATTATTACAGGCTTCGCTATGATCGGTACATTGAAAAAGAGAAAATTTTTTTTTAGCAAAATGGCGACGATTTAGAAAAAAGTTGTGTTTTTTGAGATTTTTTAAAAATAAAATAAAATATATTTTTCAAAATCCAAAGTTCCGATCATAAAGGGATATACAAAGAACATTTCTGCAAAATTTGAAGTAAATCGGTTGAGTAGATTTTGAGTTATCGTGTCAACCAGAATTTTTTTCAGTTACAAACTTCAACAGTTTATAACTTTTAAAATTTTATATTATTTTTTTCTGTATTCTTTAAATATTTATAAACAATTTAGAAAAAAATTAATATTAAAAATATTAAACTTTTTTTTTATCCTAATTTTTCAAAAAATTATCATAAAAAATTATTAGGTATACAAGGCATCAGGCTAAAATTAAAACATTTAATTTCTGAATTCTGATTCATGTTCACATCAGAATTAAAGTCATGTTATTTAATGTGATATATTTTTCCATAATAAAATATATCGGATACGTGAATAACATATCTTTAATGGCTTAATACACATATCATAATAAGTTTTTCATTGTGAAATAAGAAATATGATATGCGCGCGTAGCGCGCAAAGTTTGCTAGTACAATTAATAAATTCTAAATCTTTTTATGAGTATAAATTTAAGAAACAGAAGAAACACTTACATGCATGGTATCCATTTTCATTTTGAATTATTTTTAACATATTTTCATTATTCAAGTCTGATTTATTTGTTTGTTGCATTGCTTCAGTGCCATCTTTAAACATTGAGAATAATAAATTCAGGGGTATTATTATTTCCAGCATTGTTAACGTTTGTAACCATTTTAGAGCTTGTTCTTGTACCATTGGACTCACATTAATAAATCTTTGTGCAATAAAGTTATACATTTTTGTGGTATCAAATCCTAATGGACTCATATCTTTATCCAACATTTTACTGTAAGAGAAATATAATTTAATTAATTAATTAATTTAATTTTTTAATATAATTAAGTTGAAAAATAAATTAATTGTTAAATATTAATTTTTTTTTAATAAAGTACCAAAGAATTATTTTCAGCTCCAATAGATGTTTCTCTGGTACATCATGCACCATTGCTTCCATCCAATGTGGCATGACATAATCCCAAATTTCAGAAGTAATTACTTCATAAGGCACTAAACAAAATAGTCTATTAAGACCATCTTTTAAATGAGGAATTCTTGATGTTAAGCTTTCCCTGTAATAATTATAATTCTTTTGATATAGCACAGAAATTGTTCAAAAAAAAAGTACAAATTATTGATAAATTCCAAAATACACCCGCGCACCAATGTCCTCCTATGCGTACATAATCAGCTGGATGGGGCAACAAACATGACACGAATACTTGATAATGTGTTTTCATAATTTCAAATAGCCATGTACAGACGTATTCTGTTTTTAATTTCTCAAGAGTACATTCTATTTGGCCTGTAAATTGAATATATAAGTTTCAAGAAGTTTTTATGTATTTTTCAAGGAGAATTCTTTAAGTTAAAAATTAAAACTTATTGGAAAAGTATACTTTGGTAAAAATAAGTTACTTTGTTTGCTCCTTGGAACTTTTAGAGAAAATTATTTTTACCCACCGTCAAATGAGTAGGCTGTAGCATGAAACCAATGAAATAACATGGAAAGTAAACGACCTAAAATTTCATCAGGCATCTCTTTAGAGGGTGTACATAAACTAACCAACAGCCATACTCCATAACGACCAAGTAATTGTCAATCTTCTATTTTCACTTTATCTTGTAAAATTATTTGAGGAGTTACTGTGACTCCGCCAGAAAATGCTATGTTGGATTTACTGTTACTAAATTCTGAATGATCTTTACTATTGTCTGCACTGCATGGCTCGGATTCTTTAAGCAAACTAAAATAAAGCAAAGAATATGTTTTTTAGTCATCTGGAGATTATTAAAACATTTTCATCATCGATATTTTATATATCTAAAACATCTAATATTTGAGATATTTGTCATAATATGCATAATATGTCATAATATTTTATGATACACACCTAATAATTGCCTGTACCATGTAAGTTTGCGTCTGACGATCCATTTTTGAAATTTGAGGTAACGCTGTATGATAAACATGATCATTGCCTCTTCTATTGTTGTGTCGAATATTGTGACATTGCACACAGTACCGTATGGGATGATTTCCATTATAGCTTGCACATTCTGTAGAAAAGCATACACTAATAGCTGATTTATCATTCGCTCTGCAATTCTGTGAAAAATGGAAAATTAATTTATCAGAATTTATTAATGAAGTTATTACTCTGATGATCAAAATTCTATACCGAAAGTGAACATTAATATAGCACTGTTCCTTTGAGTTAATTATAAATTTTAAATTCTTGATTTTGTTAAACTAGGAACTCAGATGATAGCCACATGGGAGTTACACTCGTGCGTGCAATGTAAGATTTTGAAAAAATACCATTGAGGAAATTATTCAAAAAAAAGTGGGTTTAAGAAAACTTTAGGTACCTGTTTCTATTCACTTACTTTATTTTCACATAGAATAGATCCTTGTTGCATGCGATGTAAGACATCATGGAATATTAAATTTGAATGTTCACGATGTATTTCATTGGCACATTCAATGCAAAGATATAAGGGAGGTGGTGATTCGTTTGCAAACGTTATAGATGTTCGATGATCATAGCATACTTTTCCTGCCTCAGCATTGCCTGTATTCGGACACAAATCCCTCTGACAAGGAAACGGCTCTAAATCATCTGAAAAATGATAAATAAAAACAAATAATTCACATTTGATATTTGTAAAATATACAAAATATAAAATCTTCTGTATGTAATATTATTAAAGTAGGTACATTAATTGAATTTATTTAAAATTTAAATCTAATTTCATAATTGATGATGCAAACAACTGTAATACCTGCATATTTTAATAACACTGAACGACGATCAAATAGATTTTGATTTACACTAGGCCAATAATATATCAGTAACTTAGCCGCAGATATTCTGGCATATGATGTACCATATGCAACGACGCACAAAATATCTTTTATTATTTCTCGTTTAAAGGCCATTAAACATTCAAAAATTTGACAGTGATGAGCTGCAAAAATATAGATTAATATATATTTAAAAATGCAATGATTCTTCTATTTCTCTCAACAATGTATTAAATTTTAGTAATTACCAGAATTATTTGAATATTGAAGAACCATCATAATTACTGCTGATACTGACTGACTAGCATAATTTTCAGAACCATCTTCAGTTTTTCTTGCTACAATAAAATAATTCAAAAATATTAAAACTTATATTCTATAATCCTCACAACAATATGGGGCCAAATCAATACCCGGATATTAGATCAAAAAGTGAAAGTTTTGAATGAGAATTTTTCATGAGAATGTCAGACTAATATAAATAACTAAAAAATTTAAAGAAAACTTACTAATTGTAAAGGGTAAAATGTAATAGCAGAGATAATTAATGATTTCTTGATGTAATTCAATTGGGAAAACAGCAACAGCACTTGCTGTTAAATATGGTACATTATCAATTAAGTCGTTTTCTAAAAATGGTAATAAACAGGCAAGACACTGCAGTATGGCTTGTCCAAATGCTGCAAACAAGATTAATTAGGTTAGAATGAAAAATAAGTTTTTCAAATTCTAATTACAAAACAAAATAAGTTTTCAAATTTTAAAAGCATAAATATTCACCTGGCAGGCCAATGTGTACTAATGGAACAACATCCATTAACTGTGTTAAGGCGTTGTATAGTTGTCTGTAATCTAAAGTAGGATACATGGCCATTCTTTCAATATCCAAAGCTTGAGATTGCATCATTTCAAGAGGTGACTCCCTTACTTCTTTTAATAGGCCTAAAATTATATATAAATAATGTTTAATTATAATCATTACTTTAGAAACTTGGGTACAAAGTACAATTTTTCTAAAATCGTACTTTTTGCTTGAAAGATGTTACTCAAGGGTTTTTTTAGGGCGCTTATTACGAATTTGAAGTCAATTTCGCAAAATTCAAAATGGCGGATCCAATATGGTGGAATCATTTTTAAAAATCGTACTATTTTGCTTAAAACTTCCAATTTAAGTCCTATTTTGATTTTTTTTCGTTGAAATTAAAAATGGACAGATAGGGGGTAAAATTTGACAAAGAAATCGCCCCACAGTTTGAAAACAAAAATAATAAAAGACTTACCAAGTAGAGTTTGTGAAAAGAACTTAATTGTGTTTGCCATGTCAAAACCACTTGGAATTGGTAAACTTCCATACAAAAGTCTTTGATAGTACTCGTGCAAACATGTGAGCTTTAAAGTGTCTGTAAAATATAGTATATTTCGTTATTTAATTAAAAAAAAGAATATTGAGAAATACTGTAAATACATATATATTCATTAAGAATATTTTGTAAAAACCAGAGGTCAATAAAGTGTCCATTATTACCCTAGGGCAATAAAGTGTACTTTATTGACCGCACGTAGGACGAGTAAGTACTCATTATTACCCTAGGGCATTAATGGACACTTTATTGACCATCTGCGTTATATGGGGGAACTTATAGCATGCACCGGCACAGGTGCAATATATTGTATTAACCTTTCGAAAATCTCACATGCTATTCAATTTCTGATACTATTTATAATGTTAATTTTTACTTACATGCTGCAAATTTCGTCCCCATTTTTAATAAAAATTTCAGTTGCCTTCGGAGGTAATCGATGTATGTTTTTTTTATAACGAATATAAAAATCTGCAAAATAATGAAAATATATTTATGAAATATTCACTAAAATTTTTAAATTTCAAAAAATGATTAAAACTGCCTTTTTTGCTTCGTTGTAAACTACAAATTTTTATAAAAGCTTTCATTTTTTTCACAAACCAATAAAAAAAAATAATTCACAATTTTGCAAATAAGAAGTAATTTTATACCTGAAATCACGCTGATATATATTTCTCATTTTATAAACATTTTTCTTTTACATCTATTACAGTCTAAATAGAAGAACTGGAAAATCCATTGAATATGTGCAAAACAATCATAATTTTAAAATAAATCGTTATAGCTGTAAGAAAAATAAGTCAATAATTTCCATTATTTAAATACCTTTTTATTTGATACATATGAAAGTTATGTAATAATTTTCGAACTTATTGAATAAAAAATTATCCGCATTAGGTAAAATAAAAATTTCCATAACTTTACTTTTGTATTAAGATTTAAAAATATATTTAACTTAATATTTTTATTGCATTACATTTAAGAGCGGTTATTTTTATAAATCAATTTAGTATTATTATTTAACTACATAGATATTTTTGGGTTAAATTTGAGTTAAAGATGAAAAAGTAATTTAATTTTTATTATATTTAATTAATGTTAAAAATAAGAAATTTCTGTATAAAATATCAATATAATTAAAATTTTTAACATAACTTACCGTTGTTTACTATTTTTTTTTTAAAGATTTTTTCTTCATTCTTAATAAAATAACCTATTATTTATACACTAAACACTATTAACAATATCACTATTCTACTCTTACTTTTTTATTAATGACTAAAAAGGAGAAAAATATGTTTGCATAATTTATTTTAACACTGCTTTATAATGTTGTTAAAAAATTAAGTAAATTACACTATTTTTCTTTTCCTCAGCTTCTGGACCATGCTACTCTTCAAGTCATACGGTGACAGAATGCGCACGCAGTATTGACCCGCTTTAGAGGGTGAACTTACCAAAATTATATACATATATATGAAAATCACACTCTCAACAGAACGCTCTATCATTATAAATTCTACAATTTTTTAAATTAATCGCATTAGATTGATAATTAACATTTCTCTTTTAGCTTTGTAAATTTAGGTTTTACTTCTGTAAATATCTTAAAGGATCTTAATTCTTACCCATGTATGTCATGCATAAACAAATTCCGATTTATTTTTTTTTTTTAAATGTCAAGAATTATTTTTAGTGATAATACTAACAATCCTTAGCAAAATATGATAAGTTATGGATCACTCTGGTTTTATCTTACCATTTTTTCTTTTTTGACAACATGTTATGATAATGGAGTGAATTCCCAGCCGCTCAAAAAACGAATACGTATGTTTGAACAAAAATTTTAAAATTTACTATGTAATAAAAGCCAAGTTGAAAATTCTTCTATAAGATCTGGTTCCAAATCAGGTACCTACATTTTCCCATATATAAAATCATTTAAATGTCCATGTATAAGATCTTGTACGTGCAGTTGCGCAAATAAAAACAATCAAAATTTTGTCGACCACTGCTATTGTTTGTGTATTATTTAATTAATTTTTTTATAATTGATGAAATATATCTTTATAATAATGTCTATAATTAATTTTTCAGTAAAACAGTTTTTTGAAAATCAAGGTACTTATTTTCAATAAGTCATGTGTAACAATAAGTAGTAAAAATCTGTTATTATATGCACACACGTTCAGTATATTTAAAAGACATTTAAAAGTTAATTCCTTTACTCTTTACCATAAGGTTAATAATGTCCCAATCATGTCCCAATTTAGGAACCTCAATTGTTACTTTAACCTTACTCCATAAAAACTTAACCATTTACTATATTTTGCAAATAAAACTTTATTTAAAGTCCATAATTTTCTTTAAAAATTGATATATCTTCAGAAGATAAGAAAAAGATTTTTGTGAAAAAAAAACATAAAAATCATCTTCCCCATTATTAAGTTTAGTGAAAATTTTAATATTTCACAAGTTGGGACATTATAATGTTTTATTTCTTAACTTATAACTCTGAAAATAAATTTTTTAGATTCTTAACAGACTGTGAGCGAAGAATCTTCAACTTCTTTGCAGGTATCTTTTTTAACAATTATTTATTAGAATAATGTTATTTTCGTCATGACTATTGGTACACTGGTGTACCAATGTGCTTTAAAGGGTTAAAATGAACCCGCCCTGTTTAAACCAGAACTTTATAATATTTATTACTTTTAATATTATGTCCCATAGACTCAAATGATATGCAATATATATGTTTCTATTAAATTAAAAACTATTTTTGTAGGTTTTCCAACATCATTGGCCAAGCGTGTGAAATATTTTCAGGTAAGTCATTTTCATTACTGATTTTATAAAATTATTGCAATATAATTATTTACATTTCTTCAATATTCTAAATGTATCGTCAATAAATGTTGAAGTTAGTTTAAAGTTACTGAGCTTAATTTTAACATTGATGCAAATTCATATATATACAAATTAATAAATTTCAAAAACTCTTATAATTAGATAATTGTTGAATATCGTTCATGAACTAAAACTCTCTGACCGTTGAACATATCTCACTTTATTTTAATGAAGCATTGAAACTAATTCTCTAATGATAATTACCCACACAGCACATGATATTTCCTAAATATTTCCTGAATATTTCACTGAAAGATTGAAATATTTCAGTGCAAAGTTCTAGAAATATTTCTGCAAACAGGAAAATGTCCGCTTATGTGGGAATATTGACGCGAAAGTTGAGAAAATATTTCATTGAAATATTTTGGAAATATTCAACTGAAATGATGCGCACTGGTCGAACTCAGTTTCTATGGCCTGTAGAGCTGCGCAGTAGTTTTTGGCTTACTATATCCTATGGGTTTTAAAATATTTCAGAAAATTCCTATTGGTTTGAGGTGTTTAACAAATTTTTCCATTTTGTGAAATATTTTCACAATATTGCAGAATCTTTATGTGTAATATTGCAGGAATATTTCAATGAAATATTTTCTCAACTTTCGCGTCAATATTCCCACATAAGCGGACATTTTCCTGTTTGCAGAAATATTTCTAGAACTTTGCACTGAAATATTTCAATCTTTCAGTGAAATATTCAGGAAATATTTAGGAAATATCATGTGCTGTGTGGGTATAGGAAAATCAGTTTTTCATTATAAGTAGTGAAAGTAGTGTATTGATTAAAATATTTATTTTTACATATTTATAGCAAATGCTGTTAGAAAATTGGAACATAAATGTAGATGAAGATGAATTAACTGTTATTACAAACAAAAATTTACACAGTCCATTAACAATGTCAAGAAATCTATTAAAACTGATTTTTGGGAGAGAAAAGTTACAAAAAATGGCACCAACACAAAAAGGTTGTTTAAGGGGGAGTGACACCTTTGAGGTGCCTTTTGAACCTGTTTTTCATGAATTTTTTTAAGACACAGGAATAAAGTAAACAAAATTTGGTTTCGAGGACTTTATTTATTAACTTTTTAAGTTCACGAAAATATATTTATACTTAAAAAAAGTTTCAATTTGTTGCCTACAGAGGGCGCCGAAGTTGGTCTCGTTTCTATGCAGGGTAAATCGGTGGGCAATATTCTGGTTAGACCGTTTAATCAAAAACCAAAATTCAAAGTTTTTCTAAATCTGTGATAGATTTAGCTTTCGAGTACGTAGGATATTTTAAAAATATTAATTTTTGTGTATTTGGCAGCTGTTTGATGAAAAAAGTCGATTTTTAGAGCGAAATTTTTTCAAAATAATTATTGCCAAAAAAAAAAACAAACAAACCAAAAAAAAAAATCCGCTACGTACTCGAAAGCATTAGTAAATGACGAACAAAAAAAACTTTGTCCGAAGTCAATCCGATCAAAACTGTTCTGGCTAGACTGCCCACCGTTTTGAAAAATGTCATTTCGAGAAAAACGCATTTAAACTTATGTAATGTGAAAACATGAAAAATGAAACGACTGTTAATCTACGATGTCTGCACCATATAAGTGACTTTCTACATTAATATTTCCTTCATTTACATCCCTTGGAGCAATTTGAAGCTGTCTTCAGTATTCTTGAGCTGCTATACAATAAAAGAAAAAGTAGCTAATAGCGCTAAAAAGAACTCGAAGCGCTCTTGGACACCTTTTACAGATTTCGATTTTTTTCACATAAAATAACTTCGAAATTACTTCTCATGATATAATTTCTATTCTACACCTCATAAACATTTTATATAATTGAGTGTTACAGAATTTTTTTATATTAATTTAAAAACTATTTTTGTAGGGTATTGCGGAATCAGGAGAGGAGCCTCTATAAATTTTCTTTCAGATTTACATCTTTAATAAATTTATATCTTAACAATTTACCATATGTTTGTAATTTTTGTTTCTATAGTGATAACAAAATCAATATTTTTTTTCATTTTTTCTATAAAGTTCAAGGTTTCACATACTTGATTGTCATGTTAGATATGTGAGGTACTTTCGTAGAATACGCATATAGATTAAAAACGGCTTTCATTTGAATCTTTTATGCTTTAAAATGCTTCTTTTTTAGTCCTTCTTATATTTTTAGCTTTTACCACTCATTATTTAAGAAAAAGAAAGTTTTTCCACGCTATTTGTTAGGTTGTAACCAAAATTAGAATAAAATATATGACCGTTCAGTCATATAAGTTTTCGCCTCTTAATGGTACTTTTTTCCTAATTTGCTCCCAAGAATATGTTAAATATCGAAATGTACATAATCAGATTATTATTATTATTAATAAATTGAATGAACGATCATAATTATATTTTGTTTGAAGTTAAACAAAAAATAAAAAACGAACTTCAAATTTGAAATCAGCTACCCCAAAAACCCCGGAGTTAAGCAATTGATTTTTTTGAATGGGTAATCAATTTTTAAAATAATCAACGGCTTTTTTACTCAGTAAAACAAACCCATTATTTATTTTTTATCACAAAGATATCTTACTTGTAAGTGTTAGTAAATAACACGCTCGCAAGTAAAGAATAGCTTCAAACCTTTATAGTCGACTATTAGCGCGACAAATCAAAGTGTATATTTACTCTGCAAGCTCTGGAAATATGCCAAGTTTTAAGGAAGTCTATGTCAATATATACTTCGGTCGGCTTACTTGTTAGCAATGCTTCGAAAAAATTCCCATGTAATATTATCATAAAGTGATTTCAACATTTAAACCAACAACATTGTGAAAGTATTAGACATGCTTTACTTAGAATATTAAGACTGAAATTATAGCTATAAAGGAACTATTAAAAGAATTTATTATAATTAAATAAAAGTTAATGTAAGATGCAAAGTTGATTGTCAATCCTCCAAGTCCAAACTTTGACTTAGAGGATTGATAATTAACTTTGCATCTTGTATTCAATTAATTAGTTCTAAGGAACTAGCTTAGTGATTTTAAATCCTGAGATTTCCTCTAAAGAAAAACTATTACAATGGATTGGTGAAGTGTCTAAAAAAATAAGTTAAAACTCTAACATGTAGTATTCGTTTGGTGTGATAATTACAGCCACAAAGTGAATTCCATTAAAATTTATCTAAACGCATTCAGTACAAACCTCCCCTATTAACTCTCAACAAAAAATGGCACAGAAACTACTTTCTAATCCCCACCAAACTATTAAATTATCCTCTATTTACAGAATAACAATCAACTGAGTAGGCAGAAAGTTCAAAAGAATATTTTAATTATTTTAACAAAATGAATCTAAACGTTAACGTGTTATATCTCATTGTCATTTGTAAAGTAATCTTGCAAATATCTGCAATTGGAAAGCATTATGACGGGTTAGTAAAGTATCTAAAGGAGGAGTCGAAACTACACCAGGTAGTATTTCTTTTTGATAATGAAAAAAACAGCACTGACGATTCAGTAAGTTTTCTTTCCAAGTCAATCATTAAAAACTTTCCTTCTTTAAGTATCGAATACAGTAAATGGAGAAGTGAACTGCTCAAGGTTTATTTGAAATCACTTGAACCTCCAAGAAAGACAACGTTATTTGTAGTAGTAACAGATAGTCTGAACTATGTGACTACTAAATGGATTCGTAAATCTCTTTTTAGTATTAAAACGTTATCAAAAACTTTACCCATGCCGAAATGTTTAATCGTGCATTCTCGAAAAATACCTGACATGGATGTTAGGAAAACATTACAGACTTTATGGAATAATGATTTTTTGGACGTCACCATTTTGATCTATCGGCAAGAAGACTTGAAGCAAATCAACAAGAAAAGAGAATATCCACCTTTTATGCATCGGTTAAATCCGTTTACAAATAAATACACTGTACTTAAGTTATCAGCTAAAAGCCAATGGTTTCCAAATAAGTTGGAGAATTTACATGGCTATCCATTAAGATTCCTCTTTTCCAATGGAAGTGGGATAGTCGCAACTAAATTTAATACTGCGAAGAAATTTACTGGAATTTTAGCACACGAAATGAACTTCAAACCCAAAATTTCTAAGGTGTCTTCATCTATATTGAAGAAAGAAATACTTTTACATCGGCAAAGAGCTGAAATGTTTGCAAACACATTTTTCTTAATTAACGGTGTAAATGTCGCTACGCTGCAATTGGGTTATTTAATTCAATCTGATGCAAAAGCTGTAATACCGAAAATTGCAAAATCTTCTAATGTCATTGTCTTTTCACAAGAGTTTCTATTCATGATTCTTGGAACTGTTAGTATGATGTGCGTACTTAAATTAACTGCAATTATGATGCGGTTCAGAGAAGGTACATGGACAACGTTGAACATCAGTCAAATCATAATGGGATTGTCTATTATTGAGGAACCAGTCAAAGTGGTGGAGAGAATGGTGTTTGGATCGTTTGTAGTTGCTTGCCTCGTCTATACAGGCTACTTTTTTTCCGTCATCTTGGACATTTCGTTGCAATCCCCACCAGAGATAACAACTCTCGCAGAACTCGCTGCATCGTCTTTGCAACCTGTAGTCAACAACTTTATTTTAAAAGATTCAATGGCTCGAAGTGTTAACCCTCATCTTATTAAATTATCACAAAATTCTATTGTACTTCCGGATAACAAATCAGAATTAGCGTGCCTTCAGTATTTGAATGATTATCAAAATGTGTCTTGCATTTGCCTTAATGCAATAGTGTATGTTAATCGTATACGGGAGTTAAGAGGGGAATTTAATGGAAAATTGTTGTTAGAATCGGTTGCTAGTATACATGAAGGATTCTTATTAAGACATTACTCGCCATTCACTGATCGCTTTAGGAAGATTGTTATAAGAGCAGGACAATACGGTTTCATATCAAAACTCTTTATAAGTGGTGAATTAGAGCATCAGATTTTAGAGCCACCTACAGAAATCGAGAAAGAAAAGTTATTGCTGATTTCTTTGTACGTACTGTCGATTGGATTTTCATTGTCTCTTCTTGCTTTTCTGTTTGAAATTTTTGCAAGTATTATTGATGAAAGCATTTTTAATTTTCTAAAAAGATTCGTCTGAAAAATGTTGGTTAAAAAACGTGCAGTTATTAAGTGCTTATTGCACCAGAAATAAGTATTGATTTTCAAGTAGCACGTAATATTATTATTATTATTATTATTATTATTATTATTATTATTATTATTATGCTAACACTGCAAAAATAGGTGTCTTTTTTGATATCTTAAAATAAGATGTAAGATGGAAAAATGTCATCTTACATCTTAGAATAAGATCCCGGTAAAAAAGCTTGCATATTAGAAAGTATTAAAAAAATGAATAACTTTCAATTTCTTTTTTGTCTTGAGTTTTAAATTCACAATAAGTGACCATAAATAACAGTTTTTTAATTTCCAATTAATATCACCAAATATTGACCTAATAGAAAGGAATTGAAAAGCAAAAAATTTTAAGTTAGGTATAGAAATAATGTTTTAAGACAAATTTTACATTATATGTGATTTACATAAAAATCAAACAGCACCGAGAATTTCTTGACACTTGTGTTTTTGAAATCAATTTATAAATTAATATACTCCGAAAATTGTATTTTATTCATGGTTTAAAAATAATATGTTATAGCAATTTTTGTTTCTATAGTGATGACAAAATCGATTTTTTACATTTTTGTTTCAAAGTTCAAGGCTTTTAGTTTCGTGATTATCATGTTAGATAAGTGTAGTAATTTTCTTAGAATACGCATAGATTAAAAGTGTTGTATTTAAATTTTTAATGCATTGAAAATATCTGCTTTTTTTTCCTTGAACAATATCGTCGGCTTGGTGAAAAATTGTACTATATCAAAAGTATACCATTTCAGTTTTGTTTGTTAAAAAACAGAATTGTCAAAAATAATGTTTTTGCTCTTTTTCAAGTTTGTTAAATAAGGATATGCATTTTTAAAAAGAAATTTCTTATGAGTGCTCTTCTCTATTTTATCAATATGTATATTTACTCAAACTTTCTAATGATTTAAAACAATTGTTTGTTAATCTTTATGAATTTTATAATGCAACTCTTCTATAGTCCTTCATCGGAATGATATATGCTTTATAACAAACTTTTGAAATGGTATTATTAAATATTAAATTAATTAAATTAATATTATTAATGTATAAATAATTTGCTTTTCAAATAGATATGTAAACCACGGAAGGACAGCATATAAGCTGTTACCTATAACTGCAACATGTTTAAAATATTAATCACATATTATTTATTTGATTTATTGTAAACTATATGAGTGTTAAATAAAAAATTCTAATCGTTTCATGACTGTTTCCTTACTTTCAGTAAATGGGTTTCAATGAATCGTTTTCAGATATATCTTTAACATATAATCACACGTTTTAGAATATTGAATTTCAAAAACGATTTTTAAATCACTCGGCAATGTTTAATAAGCGCGTTCGATATGAATATAATTTTTATTGTTAAACATGATATTTATTTTGTCAAAATTATGAAAATGCATTACATTGGCGTAAAAAATTACACAGTTGATTATTGGGATGTACACCATTCGTATGCATTAACAAATAGTTTATGCCACGGAGTATATTTACAATCCCAATCTGATGGAACCCATGGTAGCTGCCATGATAGGGTACATCTTTCTGGATGGGGCATCATTGCCAAATGTCTTCCATCAGGGGAACATGCAGCAGCAATTCCACCTAATCGCACAAATAAAAAATATATTTTAAACTTATAAAGACGTAATTTTTAAAAAGGTTTCAAAACTTACCAGTACTACCATTAGGATTTAAAGGATATCTTTCTGTGGGTTTTCCCTCTTCATCAACATATTTAATAGGTAGGCAAGAGTTCTTTTCAAGTTTATTTAAAATTCCATCATCTCGGAACGTAAATCTTCCTTCTCCATGAGCTACCCAAATTCCAAATTGTGTGTCCTCCATATCCTTCAGCATAATTGAAGTTGACTTTTCTATTTTTACGGTACTCCATCGACACTCAAATCTTTCAGATTTATTTTGATCAAGGAAAATTCCTGACTTACCTATCAAATTATGAATGAAATATATCGCTATGTAAATACTTAACGGGAAAAATGAAAAATTCCCTTCTTCCTTTAAATTCAGATTACAAAGAACAACAAAAATAAAATTATTTTCTACCTTCTTCGGATTCATCGATAAAACCTAACAAACACATTAGCTGGCAACCATTACAAACTCCAAAACTAAAAGTGTCTTCACGTTGCCTAAACACCTTCAACTGATCTTGTAGTTTTGAATTAAAGAGAAGACTTGCAGCCCACCCCTTTGCTGATCCTAAAACATCTGTAAATAAAAACAATTTTGTATGCTTCAAACTATTTACTTTTCAAGGGAGTTAAACTCATTTAAAAATCAAATTTTCAATTTTTATGGACTTGGAAGAATATGTCAATGTTTTTTCCAAACTTTTTATTACCTGCATAACTAAATCCACCTGGGAAGATAATTCCTCTAAAACTATCCAAAGTCACATTATTTTGTAAAAGATCTTGCATGGTAACATCCCAAACTTCAAAACCAGCCTGCAATAATGAAGCAGCCATTTCTCTATCACCATTTATTCCCTCCTCTCGTATTACAGCTACTCTGATTTTATCTAAATAAATACAATTTTCAATATTAACTTAATTTCACAGAAAAGATTTTATGAAAATGAATATAATTGAATTAATTCAAAAAGTATTAAAATTTTCTTACTTTCCATTGGATCCTCGAGATTAAATGTAAAATCAGGATTAAACGAAATTTTATATTCAGGAGCACGTCTGTTTTTCAATTCTGAAAATTCTTGCAATGCGCATTCCTCATTTGTCTGACGACATTCTAATTTATAACTAGTTTCCTCCCAAATTTGCATTAAATCATAAACTGTTTCATTCAGGACGGTTTGTCCATTAACGGCAATCGTAATCTAAAATGGTTTCAAAGAATAACTAAGAATATTCAATTCATTATGAGTTCATCAAAAAATTTTAATTTTAACCTTTGAATGTAGACCGTAATTGACAGATTCTCCAATCAAATAGGCATTAACGTCCAAATTCTTAAATGCCTCTAAAACATAATCAGTTTCATCTTTTTCGACTTCAAGAAGCCAACCTAATTCTTCTGAAAATAGTATTTCTATTGCTGATCCTAATTTATGAGTGATATTTATATTAACTCCGGAAATGCCAGCAAAACACATTTCTAAAATACAGGTAATCAAGCCTCCATCACTTAAATCGTGTCCAGATAAAACCTTGCGATCTGTAAATTTCGTTAAAACAATCTTGTAACTTTCTTATCAGATTTTTATTCATTTTGATATCGTTTTTTTGAAGATGTTCTATTTTTAATAAAATAATAACGATGTCAACCATTTAAATAATTTTCGTGGGCGTAAAAAAATTTAATTCAGTTTTACAGTAACAAACCCAAAAGTTTGATAATTTGAAATCTTTTGAAAAGATTCAAAAGTCCAGCATACCTTTTAATAAACTTTGAGTAACATTGAAAGCGTTTTTCAAGTCAGCAGCATTGTCAACATCTGGTGCTTCATTTCCAAGTTGCATAAAAACTTGTGCTAATGCAGATCCTCCAATGCGATTCTTACCATTTGATAAATCAACAAATATTATATTTCCCTTCTTCTTTAGTGACGGAAGTTTTAAATCGGGGGTGACAACCTGATCATTGAAAAAACACATTAAATCTAGTGGGGTACATGCAAACTTTTATTATAGATTTTTTTTTTATTGAATAATCAGACTCGAAATACTCTGAAACCTTCCTAATGAACAACTTAACAAATTGTGATAATAAACAGTTTACTGAATTAGAAACATCACATGTATTCGCAATCTAATGAATTCAGAGGGATGAGTTCAGAGAGATCAATTAGCCTTTACCTTTGTTATGTCGGGACAAGGAGCATAACTCGAAATAACAAGTGTTCCCGGTGCTTTAACAACTTCTTTTCCATTCCTTGCAGCCATACTTAAAGAATCCTTTCCACCATCAATGGCAATGCCTAATTCTTTCATTAATGTGCACATAGCCAAACAAGCGTCATACAAGGCTGCACCCTCGCCAGGCAGTTTTGCAGCCCACATCCAATTTCCACTGCATTTCACATCCTATAGGGAGAAATTTTATAATTGTAAACCAAATGATCTTTTGTTCTGAAATATTTTTCGAGTTTGAAGAAACATTGAGTATTTTAATTAGTTTCAAACATAAAATAAAAAGACAAGAATGAACGTAATGTAACTAAAATTATAAATTATATGATAATTAAGGTCATGTTATTCAGTGGGGCGAAGGTTCCATATGGGAGCACACGACCACTGAATAACACATCCTTGATGATATTAATTCAAATTACTTTTAAATCCGAAATTGGTGCGAATACTAAATTTGTAAGTGATTCTGCTACAGACATTCTTGCACCTGCAGCTGGATTTACTAAACCTTTTATAGGTTGCTCTCCAATGGCTGATGCTACGCCAACCTGAAATTGAAAATGTTTCACCATACAGATTGATATTAAGAATCAAAACTACTCTTAAGTTCCTATCCCGCCCTAACAATTTAAAAACTACGGTAAGGGGCCGTACACATAATACGTCACGCGATTTTTGACCATTTTTAACCCCTCCCTCCCCCTATGTCACACTTCGTCACAAATCTTGAACCCCCCCCCCCTCCCCCTACGTCACGTCACACACGTAAATTTCACTGTAAATTTTATACATTGGACATTATATATTATATCCTATACACTCTAAATTATTGAATCAGTTAAAAATAACTGATTTAAAAGCAAAAAATCAGACACTAATTCAAATAGTAATATTTTTTCTGACAATTAGTTAAAAATAATTGATGTTTCAATACAATTTTTTTTTATTAATTCAAATTAGTCACGTTTAACTACCTACATAGCACCGAAACTGTTCTAACAATTTATTAAAGATTTACTCGCAAGCTTCGAAATATTTAAATGCAAAGTTTAGTGAAGATTGTGTAAAGATTTAAATATCCCACTTCAATAAGTGTTTAGTGCGAAACTTTCCTGAAAATTTAACTTAAATTTTCAGGAAAATTTTCACGAAAGTATAATAGTCGAAAATGTAATTCAAATGTTCAGTAAACTTTCAAGCTATATTTTTAAGAAAATTTGACGATAGACATTTATTGGAGTGAGAAATTTAAATCTTTAGGGTCAATTAGGGTAAATGTAAACGGAATATGTATCTTTTTTTGTTAGGTAAAACGGACGAATTTCTTTTGCATGAACTTGTTGCTAGTGTTACCTAGAAAAATTTTATGAGGTACAAAAAAATATTGATGCACCTGAATCGCCTAAAACTGACTGTTTACATTCACCCCGAGATTTTGAAATTTTCCTAAAATTCGGGGTAAATGTAAACACCACTGTAGTTAAGCGAGGTTTAAGAAACAAGTTATTTCAAGTATACTACTGTTTTAAGGGATGGAAAAACTGGAAAAAAATTCTTCGTAGATGTATAGTAAATCAACCAGTTGACTGATAATGTATCATATAAATAAACAATCAACCATTACAAAATTAGTAATGTAAAAACTTGAATAACTTGAACAAATTTTAATAGATTTTCATTCAACTTGGTAAAAAGAAGTTTTCAAGGTTGCTGAATAAGAATCTGAAATCGAATTTTTAAATTTCAAAATGGTGGATCCAATATGGCGGATGAACTTAAAAATAATATTTTTAAAAATTGATCAAATTTGCTTGAATCTGGCTACTCGGGGGTTTTTGAGGTCGCTGAATACGAATTTGAAGTCAAATTTTAAATTTTCAAAATGGCGAATGAACCTAAAAATATTTTTAAAAATTGATCAAATTTTTTTTTTTTTTTTTAAATTTTTTTTTTCAAAGAGGACCTAATTTCCTTTTCTATGTAATATTTACATTGCCAAATTAATGAAATTATGAAATAGAAGCAAATTTATTCAATTATTTTCTTTTAAAATGTAGTTAAAGTTCTGTTTACATTTACCCCGAGTTTTCGAATTCTCGGGGTAAATGTAAACACTTAATTATTTATTAACTAAATTGACGAAAATCAAAAATCAAAGTCAATTTTTGTTAGGGCATTAATAAGGAAGAATGACATATTTTTGTTTGATTTTTAAATTTATTTTTATGAAAATGCGAGACAAAATACTGAAACAGTAAAATTTTGATTTTCAATCATTTTTGCATTAAAAAATAACTTACACTATGGCATTGCCAATTGTCAAAATAAAATATTGGCAATACTCAGAACATCTTGTAGGTGAGCTGAGGTAAAAATATTGACGTCGTACTTATTTTTAAATTTGTAAATTTAGCTGAAACATCTACTGTTTACATTTACCCCCAATTGACCTTACACAATTTTAAAATAAACTTTGCAAGTAAATTTTTCGAATTATGCAAGCAAATCTTTAATATACAATATTTAGAAAAATTTCGGTGTTTTGTGGATAATTTTTCAGTTATTTTTAACTGATTCAGAAGCAAAAAGTCAGTCACTGCTGATTGTCAGTAAAAACCATGATTTTTAACTGATTCAAATTAAGAGAATATATTATTTATCATATTATAAATAATATACCAATAGATGTTAAACAGGTACGTGATAGATATTAAATAGTTTACAGCATTTTTAACTTGTTTTATATAGAAAAAGTGACATTGTCACATATAATTTCTTATAATCTTTGAATTTAAAAGATTGTGACGTAACACATGAGTTCACCCCCCCTCCCTCCCCCATGTCACACTTAGTCACAATTCTTAGACCCCCTCCCTCCCCCTAGCCGCGTGACGTATTATGTGTACGGCCCCTAAGTGACATTGTCAATCTACAACTTTTGAAGATATGATCATTATGTTACGTCACCGTAACCTATTTTCAATAATAATATGTAGAATAATAATTAATAATAATCTTAATAATTAATAATAATAATAATCATGATAATTAATAATAACAATAATAATTAATAATAATAGTAATAATCATAATAAAAGTTGATAACAAAAATTGTTATTTACATATTATTATAAATAATAACTATAAATATTAATAATAAACAATAATAATCAATAATAAATTGTAATAATAAATATTAGCAAATAATAACAAAATGTAATAAATAGTTAAATATAACAATTTTAACAACAAACTTTAAGAAATAATAATAAACAATAATAAATTGTAATAATAAACATAAACAATAATAAATTGTAATAATAAATATTAACCCCTTCGCTGTTAAGAGAAAAATCTATAAAGTGGGTCCAAAATGTTAAGAAATTTTTTGGCAACCAAAATTTGTGAGATTTAGTACACTTAAGTTTTGGGGGTCGCTGATGACGAATCTGAAGTCAGATTTTCAAAATTCAAAATGGCGGATCCAAAATGGCGGACGTATTTTTTTGAATTCATCGGATTCGCTTGAAACTTGTTACTCGGGGGTTTTCGAGGTCACTGAGTCCGAATATAAAGTTAGATTTTCAAAATTCAAAATGTCGGACGAATTTTTTTGAATTCATCGGATTCACTTGAAACTTGTTACTCGGGGGTTTTTAGGGTCGCTGATAACGAATCTGAAGTTCATTTTTAAAAATTCAAAATGGCGGATCCAATATGTCGAACATATATTTTTTAATTTCTCGGATTAGCTTGAAACTCGTTACTGTAACTAACACGCGTAATAAATAAACGAAAGGTAAACACTTAGAAGTCGGATTAATACCTATTGTTTCTCGAATCAATTTGAATAAATTAAATCCAATGAATATTATAAATGTAGGAGTGTCCAAAATTTTAATAAGACGAATATACGATAATAAGACGATTTTATTTGACTAGTCCCATTATACCTCAACGACCAGGATCACCCATTGTTCAAGGTAGAAACCACTTATAGACTCATATTAGAAAACACGTGTTCATCTCTTATTTTTCATCAATTTTCTTATTTCAAAATATTTATATCTGTTCAACTAAAATATTTTCTTGTTTTTACCAAACCCCGTCCCTATTTTAATTAATATTAAAATAAAATCGGGAAAACACTAGGGATATAATAATTAGGATCGTAACAATTAATATAATAAAACCTTTTCATGTGATGAGAATGTAAAAATACTCTAATTTCGATTAAATTAAAATTTAGGAATTTAATACGAGAATGAAATATTTAACTGTCTTAAACTCACCAGAGAAAAATGTGATAAAGCTGTCACTGCGACATCAGCAAGAGGAGTGTGCAAAGGACCAACGCATTGTTGTTGAGCAACTAATCCTGTCACGCAACGATCGACTTTATTTGTTAAATACCGTTTACTTGCCACCGAAGGTAATCTTAAAACTCTATCTAAAGCGGCTTTTACACTTAGATCTTGAGGCAGTAAGCAAGGTGTAAGTTTCTGCTCCCTTCTTTCAAGATTAAATGTCTGTAATTCATGTTATATTAATATTTTTAGAATCAATAACAACTGAATACCTAACAGTAAAGAATGTAAAAATTTAATGTTCTCAGACAATAAAGATTAATTTACCTTTCTTGGCATTTTACCAAGGACTAATTCAAGATCAAGATCGACGGGATGTTGAACATTTTTAAAAGAACCACTCAAGTATTTACTCTCATCACAATCTTTCTCTTCAGACAAAATAATTCTTCCATTCCCAGTTACAGTACCAACAAAATTTATTGGACATTTCTCCCTTTCTGCTATTTGCTTCAACAATTTTGCATCTTCAGACTTGCATAGTATAGCATCATTTTCTTGATATTCCGCACCCCAAAGCTCTAGTGTCGATAGACTAGGATCACCCAAATCAAAGTTCTTAGTGAATATAACAGCACCAGCAGGTTCGACAATTTCCTTTAAAACATTAGCTGGAATTGAAATAATTATATAAATATCCCAAATACGTTAATTACAACCAAATGACTGATGAACATAACAAAGAAAACTCACCATTCCCACCAGCGCCTTGATCGTGAATACTTAAGATTGGATTTTTTTCTCCAATTTCAACACAAGCGCGTATAACACGATTAAGTTTCTGTTCCATTTCAGCATCGCCTCGTTGTACTGCTCCAAAGTCCAAATCGGACTCATTGTCACCTTGTACCTAAATTAAAGGATTCTTATTTTTTTCTCATTTGTGCTATTTTCGAAATTCTCGATTCAATTAAATATATATAAAAATGAAAAAAAATTGGGAAGAATTTGGTAGAATTTAATTGTTTGTGGGAATATTTACCTCAACAGAACTTGCAGAACCACCGCCTACTCCAATTCTATATACGGGACCCCCAATTTTCACAACTTTCATACCTTTAGGTGAAAATTAATAAATTATTTAAATAAAGTAAGTAGTAATAAATTAAATTTATATTTAAATTTATATATTTACCCAAATTAGTGTATATTTGAGGGCATTAATGCCTCACATCGGCAAAAGCACAAAATAACATGTCTCTCTCACACTTTGTACAAACTATTTCTATTCATGATAATTTAATGCAAAATCTATAACGTCAGGGCTCGAACCAGTGAAAGTATTTAAAAATATTTTAAAATACGGACATTACGGACCAAAAATGAAAAATTATGGACCATTTACGGACCAAAAAAAAAAATTTTACCAGTCCGAGTAAAATAAGAGAACATTTTACTTAAAACTATAAATTAAAATTTTCATAATTCTATAAAACATGAAGATATCGATAACTCCGAGTTCGGAGTGATTCGACTCGAAGTGATCGATGTCTTCATGTTTTATAATAATTCATGATGACCGAGTGATAAAATCATTATCAAATTCAATTATTATTTTCAAGAATTTTCAACTAAAATTCTTTTTTAAATCTTTTATCTATATTATAGTTTTTAATAATTTTCGAAAAAGTTCTTTGACAATTTTCAAATTCATTTCTTTACAATATTCAATTTTACTAAATTTCAATTATTCGTAAATTCTTCAATTCAAAATATATTAGAATTATATTTAAATACAAAAAAAAACAATATATTGAATAATTCATTACTTCTTAAAAATAAATTCTCATATAAAGAATTTTATCAACAAATTTTTAAACAATTGAATTCTTTTGACGAATTTTAATAAATTCGTCAAAAATATAAATAAATAAATTAATAAATAAATAATAAATAAAAATAAATAAATTATAAATTATAAATTATATTATTATAAATTCTTAATTATTTAAGAATAATGACAATTTTTCGAGGAATTCGATTAAAATTGTGTTTGCAAATAATTAAATTTCTGCGAAAATTTTATTATTTATGAAAATATATTGAATTCCAAAAAAGAATTTTATTATTTACGAAAATAATTGAATTTCGGTAGAAATTTTATGATTTATGAAAATAATTGAATGATTGAGAAGAAATTTATAAAAAAAAATTGTAAATAATGAAATTCATGTAAAATTTTTATTATTTTTTTGAAAATAATTATAATGTTTGTGTAGAATGTTCTTAAATTGTTTTTTAAATAATTGAATTCTTTTGGAGAATTTTCTTAAAATAGTAGATATTGAATATAATTAAATTTAGAAAAATTTTTGCAAATAATTGAAATTTTGCCAAGAATTTTATTAAAATTTTTTCGAAAATAATTAAATTTCGGAGAAGAATTTAATTACTTCTAAAGATAATTTAAATTTTGACAAGAATTTTATTTTAAATTTTTGAAAACAATTGAATTTTCGCGAAGAATTTTATTATTTGACAAGATAATAATTGAAATTTCGACGAGAGCATTTAAAAAAAATGAATTCTACAGAATTAGTAGTTGAAAAATATGAAAAATTCAGATTTTCCAAGATTTTAATTTGAAATCTTTTCAAAATTCAATTTTTTTCTAAAAATTCATGCTTCAATGCTTTTAATATTCAATTATTATCAAAAATTTTTAAAAAAAATTAATTTTTTAAATCAGTTTTGATTTTAGAAAATTCTACGAGAATTCAATTATTTAAATATAAGAATAAAAAATTTATTGAATAATTCATTACTTCTTAGGGAACGTTCATAAACTACGTAAACCAATTTTTTGGAAATTTTAACCCCCCCCCCCCCCCTCCTCCTCCCCTAGACGTGCTACGTAGTTTATGAACGTTCCCTTAAAAATAAATTCTCACAAAGAATTTTATCAACAAATTTTTAAATAATTGAATTCTTTTGATGAATGTTAATAAAATTTTTTTTAATAATTACATTTATTTTTCGAGGAATTCGAATAAAAATTGTATTAAAAATAATCAAAATTCTGACATAAATTTTATTATTTATAAAAATAATTGAAGTCCTAAAAAGAATTTTTATTATTTATGAAAATAATTGAATTATGGCTAAGAAATTTATATAAAATTTGTAAATAATTGAATTTCTGTGAAATTTTTATTATTTTGTGAAAATAAAGTAGAATGTAGAATTTTATTAAATTTTGTAGAATTTTATTAAATTTTGTAGAATTTTATTAAATTGTTTTTTAAATAATTGAATTCTTTTGGAAAATTTTTATAAGAATTTTTTAGAATTTTATTTTTTATTAAAATCATGGAATTGAGGAAAATTGAACCGCTTAATGTATAAGAACCAGACGCAGCCCATTTAATTTCAAATAGTCTATGTCTGATTCTTGCATCAAGGGGTTCAATTGAGCTCCCGCGTCCAATAACTCGATCTGCGCTTGAACTGAAAAATTCAAGCCAGTCAAGCCGGCAGAAAATGGAAAAAAATAAAAGTCGGAATTTTTAATTTTAAAACATACTACCGTATAGAGCATAAAAATGCCCAACTTTTTTGTCTTTGAAATTTTTCTGTAGAACTTTTATTTTTAATAATAATGGACAAAAACTGAATTTTTTTTATTCTTCAATTTCATTGAATTTCAAAACATAAATCGACTTTTCTCAAACAAATCTTAATGAAATTAATTAAAAATTGATATACTTACTTATCAGGGTCTACCGAAGACAATGAAATGATTGAAACATTAAAAAATGTTTATTGCAAAATTATTTGTTAATATAAATACAGACCTGTCGGTAAATACGTTTTCTCAACTTTGACGAGAAAAAGTGTGCGGTGAACTTTCGAGTTGACACAACTTCCAGTGAGACATTTGTTTATTAACATGTGAAGAAGTTTTTTGGAAATTTTTATTTAAATCGGATGAAAAATAAAGGAGATACATAATGTTTAAAAAAATATGCGTCGTGCGGTGTTTTGACATTTCGACGCAAGAGGAGAAAACTATTGGAAACTATTGCTATTTTCTGTTGATTTATTTAAAAATAAGTTTATTCATGTATTATATTTAAAATAAAAACAATTCTATACATTTATAATATGATAGGCAGTGAAAGATTTATTTAGATTTACAACGACAGGAAGAAAAATAGGAAAAAGTTAAACAAATGCGCGATGCATAAAATTACCACCAGAGGGCAGCACCTAATGGGCATATCTAATTCTCATATTTTACTTCCTAACGTCGTGTATTATATTGGATTTTCAATTTCTTGTGTACAAATGAAAAAGCAAATTTTCAGGATAACTGGTTTTTTTCTATTTTGCAATAACTGTCCAAATTAGGAGAAAAATCCTTTTGAAATTACGTTTACGTTCAAGCAGCCATTTTTAAAAGGCGACCACTGTTAGTTTCCAATAGTTTTCTCCTCTTGCGTCGAAATGTCAAAACACCGCACGACGCATATTTTTTTAAACATTATGTATCTCCTTTATTTTTCATCCGATTTAAATAAAAATTTCCAAAAAACTTCTTCACATGTTAATAAACAAATGTCTCACTGGAAGTTGTGTCAACTCGAAAGTTCACCGCACACTTTTTCTCGTCAAAGTTGAGAAAACGTATTTATTGACAGGTCTGTATTTATATTAACAAATAATTTTGCAATAAACTTTTTTTAATGTTTCAATCACTTCATCGTCTTCGGTAGACCCTGATAAGTAAGTTTATCAATTTTTAATTAATTTCATTAAGATTTGTTTGAGAAAAGTCGATTTATGTTTTGAAATTCAATGAAATTGAAGAATAAAAAAAATTCAGTTTTTGTCCATTATTATTAAAAATAAAAGTTCTACAGAAAAATTTCAAAGACAAAAAAGTTGGGCATTTTTATGCTCTATACGGTAGTATGTTTTAAAATTAAAAATTCCGACTTTTATTTTTTTCCATTTTCTGCCGGCTTGACTGGCTTGAATTTTTCAGTTCAAGCGCAGATCGAGTTATTGGACGCGGGAGCTCAATTTTTGAAAATAATTGAAATTTTAAAACGAATTTTATTTCAATTTTTGAAAATAATTGAATTTCGGAGATAAGAATTTAATTATTTCTATAAAGATAATTGAAATTTTAACAAGAATTTAAAAAAAAATTTTTGAACATAATTGAATTTTTGCGAAGAATTTTATTACTTTTTGAAAATAATCGAATTTCTACAATCAATTGTAATTAAAAAAAAAAAAAAAATTAAAATTAATTAATAAATTAAATTTAAAAAAAAATTAAATTAGATTAATTAATAAAATATTATTATTATTATTATTTAATTAATAAAATATTATTATTATTATTATTTAATTAATTAATTTTTGATTTAATTAATTAATTAATTAATTAAAATTATCTTAATTATATCGTGCAATTTATGGACTTTACGGATCTAGTTCGAGCCTTGGTAACGGAATTCTAATTATTATCTGGATGCTTTGAAGATGAACATGAAATGTGAAAAAATTCATATGCCTCTTCTGAGAGGGAAGGCATTAATGCTCTCTGGAGTTCAGTTGCAAGTATAATAATAACCTTTTTCAGGTGATAATTTTTTAGTCATATTGGAGTCCATGCTTCCCATTCCACCACTGAACATAATTGGTTTAATCCATTCGCGTCTTTCTCCTCCAACATTTTTCATTCCGAATGTTCTTGCAAATCCAGAAATAACAGGCTCTCCAAATTTGTTTCCATAATCAGAAGCACCATTACTGGCTTCCACAATGATTTCAACGGGGGAAGCAAGATTGCTGGGGTAGGAATCGCATTCCTCCCATGGTAACTCGTATTCTTTATTAAATTAATTTTTTTTAAAATATGATTTTATTAAATTAAATATTATTTTAGATCCACATTTAAACAACCTTTATATTAAGAGGCTATCAAAAATAAAAAGTTTCTTTCCATCGTAATAAGTAAAGATCCGCAATGACCAGTAATAAACCCTCAAACTTTAGATTGATCACATCTTGTAACGTTACAAGCCGTATGGTTTTTTTTTATTTTAATAAAATTAAGTATTAATAATTAATGTCCACGATTATTATTATAAGACGAATTGGGGTCTTCAATCAAAATCATTTTTTGAATCGCGGGGTCTAATTGAATTTTGGCGGATTGTTTACCTGGGTTCCGTGATGCATCTCCAAGATGCCATCTTGGAAACTTTTCTGAAATTTTAAATTAAAACACACAGTAATAACAAGGATGTATAAAAATTATACCTGGAATATGTAAGTTTCCAACAGAGTATCCAGCAGTGCCTGCAATGAAATTACCACCTCGACCTATTCCCTGAATGTCTCTTAATCGACCACCTGTACCAGTCGTAGCTCCACTATAATAAATTTAATTCAAATATAATAATAAATTCAAATAGATGATAGTTTAATAAAAAATTATATCACATGAGAATTGACCCCATATGTTTGGTAAACAGAGTTCCTTAGAAGAGTAAAGTTATACCTGAATGGCGCAACTCCAGTTGGAAAATTATGTGTTTCTGCTGTGAAAATAAGATGTTGCTTTAATTTTTTTAAAAAGAAACTACTCGGCACATCTGTTTTTTCAGGACACAGGGTAATAATGTCGTATCCTTCAATAGCACTACTATTGTCACTGAATTTAATGACATTGTTAGAATTTGACGTATTTTGCGTTTCAATTATCATATCCAAAAGACTTTCATTTTTCTCTTCTCCATCGATAATCAATTGTCCTTTAAAGAACCAATGACGACTATGTTCACTGTTTGATTGAGCCAAGTCGAAACATTCCACACTTGTGGGATTTCTTTTCAGCTTTGATTGAAACAGTTCAGTGTAAAAATCCAAATCCCAGTTGTCAAATGCCAAACCTAATAAAATATAACTTTTACTTTTCATAAAGAAGATCCAAGTTCTACATTTAAATTTTCTAGAAGTTTGCATATAATCACTAGTAGGAAAAATAAAGTTTATTTCTAAAAAAAAAAAGAATAGTTCTACCTAATTTTGTATTGACATCTTCTAAGGCACTGCGACCATGCTTTAATACATCAACTTCGAACCACTTTCCAGGACGAAAACCATGATCGAAAGTTTCTATTGGTTTCAAATAACGACATTCCGTCATTTGATCATGTAAAGCATCTACAATCTGCATTAAAAAATAGTATTTTTATTGGTGCTTTTTTGAAAAACTTTCTTTTCGTTTTACAAACTGGTGTTCCCATTTGACTCCCTATTAAATTAGCCAAATTTCATAAGGAACAAATTTTTGATTAAAAAAAATTACCTTTTGTTCTATTAACGGATCTACAGCTTTTCGACAGTTTATTAAATATCTCGTGGAAATTTCAATTCTTGTTACTGTCAGTAAATGAACAGATTTACAAATTGAAACAGCATTGCTCGAGAAAGGTGTCGAAAAATTTAATCTAAAATATAAATTTTATTTAAATTTATAGTAAATATAATGAACATTTAGAAAAAATCATTTTTTCAGAAAGTCTAATGTCTGTTTTTAAAAATTCAAAATGGCGGATCCAATATGTCGGAATAAAAATCTTAAACCAAGTTCGTTCCAAAAATGTTTTTAAAATATGTTATTTTTGAATGAACGAAATTTTACTTTAAATCAAACACCAAGTCAATGATTTGTCAAAATTCGATGAATTTTGCTTCACCAGGGACAATGGTTATTACTAACTAACAAACTTACTAACTAACGAGCAAACGAATTAACTTTCTAACTTACTAAGTAAGTAGCTTACTAACATTCTATCTAACTAACTTTTAAACTAACTTATAAACTTAATTACCAATTAACTAACTTAATAACTAATTAACTGACTAACTAACTAACTTATTAAATTGCTAACTTAGTTACTAACTAACTTACTTACTAACTTACTTACTAACTAACTTAATCACTAATTACCTAACGTAATTACTAATTTACTAACTAGCTAACTAACTGACTAACGAACTAACTTATTAAATTACTAACTTCGTTACCAACTAATTTACTAACTAACTAACTGACTAACGAACTAATTTATTAAATTACTAACTTAGTTACCAACAAACTTACTAACTAACTTAATAACTAACTAACTGACTAACTTATTAACTTATTAAATTGCTAACTTAGTTACTAACTAACTTACTAACTTAGTTACTAACTAACTTACTTAGTTACTAACTAACTTACTAACTTAGTTACTTACTAACTTACTAACTTACTTACTTACTAACTTACTTACTTACTAACTTACTTACCTACTAACTTAATCACTAATTAACTAACTAAAGTAATTACTTACTTACTAACTAACAGACTAACGAACTAATTTATTAAATTACTAACTTAGATACCAACTAACTTACTAACTAACTTAATAACTTACTAACTGACTAACTTATTAACTTATTAAATTGCTAACTTAGTTACTAACTAACTTACTAACTTAGTTACTAACTAACTTACTAACTTAGTTACTTACTAACTTACTAACTTACTTACTTACTAACTTAATCACTAATTAACTAACTAACGTAATTACTTACTTACTAACTAACTGACTAACGAACTAACTTTTTAAATTACTAACTTAGTTACCAACTAACTTACTAACTTAGTTACCAACTAACTTACTAACTAACGTATTAACTAACTTACTAACTTACTAATTGAGTAACTAATTGACATATTAAATTACTAACTAACTTACTAACTAACTTTTTAACTAACTTACAAACTTAATTACTAATAACTTAATTAACTTACTAACTAACTTACTAACTTACTAACAGACTAACTAACTAACTTAATAAGGTAGTAAGGAACAAAGTTAGTTAGTTAGTTAGTTAGTTAGTTAGTTAGTTTGTAACTAAGTTAAGTAAGTTGGTTAGTAAGTTTGTAAGTTAGTTAGTTAGTAACTAAGTTAAGTTTGTTACTAACTCGGACTGATCGATTTCTTCATGCTTTATAATCATTTAAGATGACCAAGTGATAAAATCATCAATTCAATTATTATTTTCAAGCGTTTTTAACTAAAATTCTTCTTAAAATCGATTATTTTTAATAATTTTCGAAAAAGTTCTTTGACAATTATCAAATTCATTTGTTTACAATATTCAATTTTACGAAATTTTAATTATTCGTAAATTCTTTAATTAAATATATTAGAAAATAAAAATTCAAATAATATAAAAAAATCTGCAATTAAACTTTCTCAAAAAAAAAAAATAATAATTCCACAGAATTGTTACTTATAAATATAAAAAATTCAAATTTTCAAAGATTTTAATCTGAAACCTTTTAAAAATTCAATTATTTCTAAAAATTCACGCTATAATGCTTTTGATATTCAATTATAATCTAACATCCGAGCCCTCAATTGCATATTTCTTAAAATTGAATTTTCAACAAGAATTTGATAATTATATTTTTTAACAATTGAATTCATTTGACGAATTTTAATAAAACTTTTAAGAATAATTATAATTTTCCGAGGAATTCGATTAAAATTGTATTAAAAATAATTTAAATTCTGCAATGAGTTTTATTATATATCAAATAATTGAATTCCTAATAAGAATTTTATTATTTACCAAAACAATTGAATCCCTGTAAAAATTTTATTATTTACGAAAATAAATTGAATGATTGCGAAGAAATTTATAAAAAAATTTGTAATTTAACGAAATTCCTGTGAAATATTTATTATTTTTTTTAAATAATTAAAGGTTTGTGTAGACTTTTATTAAATTGTTTTTTAAACAATTAAATTCTTTTAAAAAATTTTATTAGAATAGTAGATGCCTATTAAAAATCATTGAATTAAGGAAAATTTTTGAAAATAATTGAAATTTTTACAAGAAATTTTAAAAAAATTTGTTTCTACAGAATTGTTAGTTGAAAAGTATGAAAAATTCAGATTTTTCAAGATTTTATTTTAAAACCTTTTAAAAATTCATACTTCAATGCTTTTAATATTTAATTGTTATCTAAAATTTCAAAAAAAATTTATTTTCAAATCAGTTTTGATTAGAAAATTCTACGCGAATTCAATTATTTGAATACAAAAATAAATAATTTATTTAATTTATTTATTCTTATAAAGAATTTAATCAACAAATTTTTAAATAATTTAATTCTTTTGATGAATGTTAATAACATTTTTTCGAATAATGACATTTTTCGAGGAATTCGAATATTATTGTATTAAAAATAATCAAAATTCTGGCAGAAATTTTATTATTTATGAAAATAATTGAATTATGGCTAAGAAATTTATATAAAATTTGTAGATAATTCAATTTCTGTATGATATTTTTATTATTTTCTAAAAATAATTAATGGTTTGTGTATAATTATTAAAAAAATTTTTTAAATAATTGAATTCTTTTGGAAAATTTATTTATCCAAATTATATCGTACAATTTACGGACTTTACGGACCTTTTTTTAAAAAAAAACGGATCCCTGATTAGTTAGTAAGTTAATAATAGTTAGTTGGTAACTAAGTGAATTAGTTTGTTAGTTAATTAGTTAGTAATCGTTGACTTTGTTTTTCATTTGAAATAAAATTTCAGTCATAGTAAAAATAACACAAAAATAAATTATTTTAATCCTCTTTGGTGTTAATTTAATCTGCAACGCTTTTTAATACCTCACAATTTACTGTATCTAATAATTAAACATTTTATAGTTTATAATATTTACCTTGGTCCAATTTCAATTAGGATACTTTCTTCGCAGCTCTTCGAGTCAAAGACACTTGTTTCACTCAACTGTTCCTTTTCGATAGGTGAACTCAAAATCCATTTTAGAAGATTAATTTCTTCATTGTTAAGAGCTTCTTTTGATTCAATGTAATAACAAAATTCAGTTTCCAAATTTTCAACATCATTCAATATATTATTAACTGACTTTATTTTTTTTATATAGTGACCGCATTTTAAACCTGGTGATTTATACAACTTCAAAATCATAATTGTACTTTCTGAAAATGAAAGGATCAAATTTTTATTTTTTTTCAATTAAATACTATTTTTTCTATATGTTTGTTTTAAATAGGAATGTTGTAGAGGATTTTTATTGACAAGAGCTTAATTTTATGAGACTTGATTTTCAAAGGCAAAAATGAGACTAAAAGCTTTTTGTAGCATGGTGTTGATAAGAAATGACTATTGGGCAATAGGATTTAATTGACACAACATAGGTCAAGATTGTATTGACCTGTTGATTACTATCAATTACCAACAATAATTATACTTCACTGAATCATAATCTCTTGAAAAAAATGAACATTATCAAAAAAAGTTTTTGAAATTCGTGAATAATAAATGCAAAACAAATATCAACAGACCAAAATACGTAAAGAGTATATTTACAAAGTGTATAATGTATTTCGAAATTGATTTTTTTCTTCAAAGTTATTATTTATGCAATTTATTAAGTTATTTATGTGAAATGAAATGTTTTGCCTTGGGGGGTAAAACACTGTGTGCCATACTGATAATTTTTAATATCCATTTTTCATTTTATTTTAACAGTTTTCACAAAATATTTCTACCATCCCTACAAACTTTAATATAAAATTATTATTAATTGTTGTTTTAAAATAATCAATTAAAATATTTAACTCTTCTAAATAAACAGAATTTTACAATAATAATAATATTATTATTATTATTATTATATGAAAATGAGAATTTGGTATATAAAATAAAATATTTTATATATACAGGGATCATAGTTTTTTTTTCTTTAAAATATATATATAGATGAAAAGGTGAATTATTTTTGGAAAATAGATAATAAAAAAAAAATATTACGTAAAAGAATAAATAAAAATAGAATATTACAAATAATGATTTGCAATGTAACAAGATAATAATAATATTAAAATTTATTTAATTTTCATAATTTGTTGTTCTTCTAAAAATAGAAGTTTATGAAAACTTAAAATAGTTTATGAAAAATTGCATTTGTTAACTAAAAACATAGTTTTTTAAAGTTCAATATGGTGGATCCAATATGGCGGACGGCTTTTTAGAATTTGATCCGATTAGTTTCAAACTTAACCTACAGATTCGTAATCTACGGCAAAAATCCTATAAAAATCACCATCGTTTTCTCTTGTAGCAAAAAAAAAAAAAATTTTGACCAGTGCTCTTCAGAGTTATTAAATAATTAAAAAAAGTGCCAAATATGCCATATGTGGTCACGGTGGTCACTTTGATTTTTCGCAAAAATGAATAAAACCGTTAGAAGGAAACTATAGTTCTGTCCCTTTCTATCTTACGTTTCGCGAACTTGTACATTGTGCATGGACTCAAAGCAGAAAATAATGAGAGTGAAAGAAACAATAATATACTACCATCTCTCTCAAACTTGCAGTTTTTGACTTTGCATTCTGCACTTTGCACTATTTATATACCTTCGATACTTTCTATGTCACGTGACTCGTACTTAAGTTTGTAACAATAATTTAATATTTTTTGTGGTGAAAAATTAAATATCACCGTATAATTTTTTTAATATTATTAAATAGTTATTATAAAAAAAAATTTTTAACTTAATTATTAATTTACAGGTTATGGGAATGCAACGATTATTATATTCTTTAAATGATGTTAAACCTAAAATGTTAATTTTAATTTCGAATAAAAAATTTAATTATAATTAAACATAATTTAATTATTCCTGGTATATACATTTTAAGTTATTTTTTTTTTAAATAAAAATATAAAAAAAAAATTGAAGTGATTGGTGAACACTCACGTGTGCCGATAGGCTCCTATTTTGTAAACTTTTCTTCCAAGATGAATTAAATTAACACTAAATTTTGATGTAATAAAAATATATAATTTTATGAAAACAATTTATTATCAAAACAGTATAGGATTTTGTAAAGATTCAACAGAAGATTTGTACAGAAAATATTTTATTACATCACAAACTTTATTTACTTATTTCAAACTATTGTCCATTTAAACACTTGTTGATCTATAAACTATTTTATTTGGGTTTTGAAACTTGAGCAGAAAGGAGAACTCCCGAAAAAGAAGTTAAAATGTTTCTTGTATTAACCGTCGAACAAGAACGCTGTAATCTATGTTTAAAACTTTAAAACCGTTCACATCACCTTTATCACCCAAAATAGTTATTAGTATGCAGCGCTCCAGTTGAAAAAAATGTAACTACTGTTAGCCTATTTTGCTAGTCACTATTGCTACACAAGTTTCATCACGTCTCTAGTCTTCTAAATAAATGTTCATTGCTTACCATGTTCTGTATGCAAGATTTATATTTATCTATATCTATACTAGAATAATATTTTTAATTTTCAAAAAAAAAAACATAAATATAAATTTGATTACATGTAAACTTCTATTACAAAGAATATTATATTCAAGTTATAATTGACTGTTACTACATACATAGTTTTACGATTATTTTTAAGAATAATATAAATAATGTCAACACGTTGGTAAGTGTACATGTGGAATTTTAGCCGGTAATAATGACTTATAGAAATAATTAAAATAAAAGATAACAATGGAATATTACTATTTTAAAATATAACTAAACTTGGAACTATCGTTTTCTTCATAAATATATATATCTTCGTGCATTGTCAATAAAATTACACTAGTTTACAAAGATTTTGACCTGCGGCATTTCACTGTCATTTCTTACGTAAAATTTGCTCCTGAATCCGAATATGAAGTCAGAAATTAAGAAGGTAGAACAGTTTTCGAGATATAGCTAAATTTCAATTTTTTGAGTTTCGACAAAAAGTGAATTCACTAATTTACCATTATTTCCTAATGTAGTTGATCGATTTCAATTTTCTTTGAAGCAAATTAAAGGTAATTAAATTTCCCATAAAAAAGTATTTACAACATTTTTTAATTGGACTGACGGTTTAGAAGCTATTTATGAATTTGTTTGGAATTTCTCATTATTTTTAACAAAATTTTAGAAAAGGATAGAATTTTTTGGTAAATTACGTCATAAAAAACGTGTTTACTTTGGGTTTTCTTTTCTGGACGAGAAAGTACAATTTCTTGGGAAGAAAATAAGCCGCTGCTGATTAAAATTAAACTGAAAATACAGAAGATATAAGCACTTAAGTAAAAATACAGAAAATTAGGCTTTTACACAATTTTACGATTTATTAAAGACTTCTTTGCCGATTTATTAAGTATAATTTCAATTTTCTTCTATAATGTAACTTAAAAATAATTGTGTTTATTTTCAGGTATCCATTGTATCAAAGAGGAAATCCTCAACTACGTGTATTTTTATCAAATTTTTGGCTCAAACTTGTCCCACCAGAAAAGAAACAACCAAAAAATATTGTCAAATTTCATTGTTCAATGGAAATGACCAGAATGGATGTAAAAAATTATTTAGAAAAAATATATAATGTCAAATCAATTCATGTTAGAACGAGAATACAATTAGGTAAATTTGATAACAAAAATACTGGTTATGTTGTAAAAGACGATGACATAAAATTGGCATACGTTGTTTTGGTAAGTAAAATAAAAAAAATTTGTTCTCTAGAATTTTATTTATTTTATTATCACGTTACATTTAAAAATAAATGAGAAATAAAATTTTAAAATTCTTTTTTTATTACTTTTTTACAGCCTAGAGATCAGAGTTTCGTATTTCCTGATGTGTTTGTAACAGAAGATACAACAAAGGAAAAGGAAGATGAAAATGAACATCTTGAACAATTAAGGAAAGGATATCAAGACTATTTGACGTTCAACAAACAATCTGAAAGATTTCAATTACCAGGATGGTACAGCATCTAATTTATATTTTTTTTTTGTTCCTCGCATTTTTTTTCGTAGTAAAGAAAATATCAAGGAAGTTTAAAGAAGAAAAGTGCTTTTAATAATGTATAAATTTGATAGAAAAATTAGCCTTTGTACCGAATTGTAAATTATGCACTTGTAGGAGAACGAATTAATAAAAGTATCTCGATTTGAAAATTTTATATTCATTTTTTTTAAACTATTTAAACGGTTATAATAAATATTTAAAAAAATTAGTCGGTATAAAAATTGAATAAAATCATAAATGCATAAGCTTATTCTAAATTGCTTAATTAATCAATTAAACAAATACATTCAGTGTTTATTTAGCGACAGTGAGAAAAAATGACTTCATACTTTAATAGAAAAAAATGAAAACTTTATTTTAACGTTCAAAATTACAAAACAAAGCAAAACATTGACTTTTAACGAACTTAATTTTGCAAGTAATTGTCAAAAACTTGAAAACAAATTATTTCTTAATTTAGTTTTTAAAAAATAGAAGAAAAAAGATTAAATAATTAATTAATTTGAATTCTCCATTCTCTTGATAACTCGATCGTATTCCTCCTCTAATAAGCGGAATTCTTTCTCGAGAATTTCCATGCAATATTCCGGTTCAGAGAGAATTCTGTTTGCGTCAGGTAATTTCACGCTATGATCCTTCTTCAATCCGTGTTGTTCCCTTTTCAAGGGAATGTTTAATCTTCTCTTCACATTAAGTCTATAATTTCGATATTCATTTTCATCAGAGATGTTTGTTTCGCGCAATCTTAAAATTTCGTATACTCTACGTGCTTGTCTCTGAAACGAAATGAAAAAACAATATAATTATGACATTCAGACTTCTCACTCGATAATTAATTTAATTAATTAAAAAAAAATTTTTTTAAATTATTTTTTAATTTAATTTTTTTTTAAATTTTATTTTTAAGTAGCTTTCAAACAAAAAAAGTAGCTATCGAAAAATTAAACTTGACGACCAAAAAAACTCGTTTTAGACACTTTTCACAAAACTGACAAAAATTCCATTCCATATTTTTTATTTTCCTCACTTTTTCCAAATTTTCATCAAAAATATTTACTTCTTTCTTATTCTAAGCTAATAAATTTAATTCCTGCAACGAATTTTATTATTCATGAAAGAATTTAAATATTTATAAAAATAATTTAATTTTTGCAAAGAATTTTAAAAAAATGTTTAAAATAATTGATTTCCTGAGAAATCTTTATTGTTCATGAAAATAATTGAATTCTAACGAGGATATTTACAACAAATTTTCTAAATAATTGAATTCTGTTTGGAAATTTTATGATAATAGTAGATATTGAAAATCATTGAATTGCGAAAAGTTTTTAAAAATAATTAAATTTTACAAAGAATTCTATTCAAATTTGGAGATTAATTAAATTTCTGTGTTGCATTTTAATAAAATTTTTAAAAATAATTTCATTCCTAAAAAGCATTTTATTATTTATGAAAATAATTGAATTCTTACGAACAATTTTATTAGAATTTTTTTTTAAATAAATTGAACTTCAAAAAAAAAAATTTATTACTTTTAAAGATGATTGAATTCTTCTGATGAATATTTTTATTTATGAAAATAATTGAATTTTACAAAGAATTTTATTAAAATGCCACAAAATAATTTAATTTTCAGGGATAATTTTATTATTTATCTTTAATAATTTAATTCTTTCGAAGAATTATTATTTATGTAAATAATAAAATTCTGAGGAAGAATTTTATTAAAATCTAAAAGAATAATTGAATTATTTCAAAAAAATTTAATTGAAATATTTAAAAATAATTGAATTCCTGTGAAAAATTCTAATATTTTTGTAAATAATTGAATTCTTCCAAAGAATTTTAAAAAACATATTTTTTTAAATAATTCATTTTTTTCGAGGAATTGAAATTAAATTTTGTAGAATAATTACATTTTTCGAGCAATTCCTGTAACATTGAATAAAAAATAATTGAAATCCTGCGATAAATTTTATTATTAATGAAAATAATTGCAGAGTTGCTGAGTTTTATTAAAATTTTCAAAAATAATTGAATTCCTGAGAAGAATTTTATTATTTATGAAAATAATTGAATTATTGCGAAAAATTCTATTAAAATGTTTAAAAATAATTGAATTTCTGTGAAAAATTTTGTTATTTTTGAAAATAATTGAATTCTTTATAAGAATTTTATAAACATTGTTTTAAATAAATGATTCTTTTGAAATATAATAAATATTATGGAAATTTTATTTTAAATATATAATTGAATTCTTGTGAAAATAATTGAATTTTTCGATTAATTAATTTAATAAATAGTAGATATTAAAAATAATTGAAATTCTACGATGAGTTTTATTGTTTATGAAAATAATTGAATTATTGAATTCTCGCTTAGAATTTTATCAACAATTTTTAAAAAAAATTAAATTCCCATGAAAAATTTTATTATTAGTGAAAGTAATTGAATTATTGTGAAGAATTGTATAAAAATTTTGTTCAATAATTGATTTTTTCGAATTTTTAAAAAAAATGCTATTAAAAAATGCTAAATTAATTGAATTCCTGTGGAAATTTTATTATTTATAAAACTAATTGAATTTTGGATGAATTGTATCAATTTTTTGTTTTCAAATAATTGAATTCTTTTGTGAAATTTGATCAAAATACTAGATATTGAAAATTAGAATTTCGAATATTTTTTGAAAATAATTGGATCGTTTTAAAGAATTTTTGATTATAATTTCAAGTACTTTTGTACGAAAGGGTTAGTTGATATTTGTAGATATAAGAATTTCTTTAAATAACTTACCTTATTGATCTTATATTTATCTCTTGCTTCAGTCGCCATCATTTTATTGAAGCCTTGAAGTAAGCAATCTTTTTGAAAACTTGGTAAAGTGCTGCAATTTTGTGCATCAACGAAATCTCGTACTCTTTGAAAATTTGACGAAGGCCCTTCGACTAAAACAATACAATAAAAAAATTATAATTATAAACACGAATTCCTTCAAATATTTGTTCATTACATAAAAATAAAACCTTTTTTTTATTAACAATATTAACTGGTAATTAACAAAAATTTTTAAAAAATTTCCACTTTAATATTTATTTTGCAAAAATGTTAAGATAATAAATCTTACTTTTTTTGGATTTTACATAATGAAATATTTAAATATTTATAAAATTAAAAACTATCATTAAAAACTAGAAACTTATTTTATAAATATTTATGTTTTACATTTAAATGATGAATTTTCTAAGTATTTAAATATTTATAAAATAAAAAATGAGAAACTAGAAAAACCTATTTTACAAATATTTCAATACTTAAGACAAAATTTATCATTTAAATATAAAATAAAAAAATTAGAAACTTTAATTGTTTCGAGAAATGAAAATTAACCTGTTATATCTTTCACTTCATTGCGACCAATATAGTGAACGTAAATGGCTTTTAACAATTCCGCTCCTAAGCCATTGTTTTGAAAAGGTGGCAAAGTTAAAACTTGTGCAATTCGAGGCCTCGTATGATTTGGGTAAGCATAATACTGATAAACTGTGGAGAAACCAACTGAAGCATAACGAACAGATCCAGATGGGGACAAGTACCTTTCGAACCTATTACAAAAAAAAATTAAATGTAAATACATTATACTTTTTTTCTTTTATTAAATAAACTTGTTTATTTTTTTTTTTTTTAAAGGAAAATAAATTATGTTATTTCATTTTTTACTTTTTATTTTGATAAAATTTTCAGAAGATAAGAAAAAATAAAAAAGTAAACACAAAAATTGAAATTAAAGAAAAAGAAATGAAATTATTGTAATTTACTTACATATTAAAATAGTCCCACTGATCATCATCTGCATCAACAAAATTTGCAGCATCAATGTACCACAATAAGAAGGTTTGCAATCGAGTTTGATATTCTTTGAATCCTTTATCACTCATAGTTGCCTTATAAACTTCGAAATGCCTCATATTTTTATCACCTAGATAAAAACAAAGTTTATAAATATAACAGTTACTTTTTATTATTTAAGTTTAATAAAGAACATTACTATTAATAATTATTATTTATTATAAAAACAGAATTTTTATTTTGTACTAAAAGCACGTTTTTTTTAATCTTTCACAAAAAAAATTTAAAAACTACAATTTTTTTGAAAAACTCGGTTTGGAAATTGCCATTATTAATACATAAAAACACAAACCAGACTTTAAAATAAAAGACTTAAAAAATGTTATACTTACTTTCTATGGAAAATGCGTGTATCAATTTTCCACAAGGTACAAAAGTATCGTCTTTATCAAGTGACTTGACAAAGGAATCCAAATTGTAATGAACTTGTGAGGAGAGAACCAATGACATCATTTGCAAAACATTATCCGGTTTGATATCTTCATTATTTGAATCACGAAATTTTTCTGAATAATCCATTCCTAAATATGTTTCCAGACATCCAGCGGAATAGTACAATTTCACTTTTAAATCTCGATATCCAAATATAGTTTCACTAATAAATGAAAACGACAAAACAAAATTAAATATTTTACTATAAAGAAAAGAATATTCATGAAAATTAATAATTTTTATTATTCATTTTTTAAAAAAATATAATTCTTTTTACCACTTTTTTTTCTTTAAATTTAAAAAAAAAATTAAGAATTATTTGAATAACTCGTGTAAAAATCGCCATAATATTCCTAACAACAACTTGAATGTAAGATATTTTTAATTCACAGGAATCACAGGAATATAAAAATTAAGGGGGAACACCTAGAGTGAGTGACTGAAAAAAACGTCGATTTTTAGGAATTTTTTTCAGGGAAATTATTGCATCTAATTTTTTTTAAAGTTTTGTACATGTATATTTGTATAAATAGTGAACATTTTGTAATTTTTTCAAAGAAAAATATCTTTTTTTTAAGAGTTTTTCGCTTTTTTTTAGCTTCAATATTTTTGGGCTCTTCAAAAACACTTTACTTTTTTAATAGTCTCCACCCTTTGGTAAAAAAAATCAAAAATTATGAAAAATTCGAAAAACCGAATTTCTTAAAATTCAACATTTTTTCTTCTCTTTTAGGGCATTTAGCTTCAATATTTTTAGGCAATTCAAAAAAACTTTACTTATTTAATAGTCTCCACCCTTTAGCAAAAAATCTAAAATTATCAAAAATTATCAAAAATTCGAAAAACTGAATTTTTTAAAATTCAATATTTTCTCTTCTATTTTATGGCATTTAGCTTCAATATTTTTGTGCTCTTAAAAAACACTTTACCTAATTAATAGTCTCCACCCTTTAGCAAAAAATCTAAAATTATCAAAAATTCGAAAAACCGAATTTCTTAAAATTCATTTATTTTTTCTTCTCTTTTATGGCATTTAGCTTCAATTTTTTTGTGCTCTTAAAAAACACTTTACTTAATTAATAGTCTCCACCTTTTAGCAAAAAATCTAAAATTATCAAAAATTATCAAAAATTCGAAAAACCGAATTTCTTAAAATTCAACATTTTTTCTTCTATTTTATGGCATTTAGCTTCAATATTTTTGTGCTCTTAAAAAACACTTTACTTAATTAAAAGTCTCCACCCTTTAGCAAAAAATCTAAAATTATCAAAAATTCAAAAAACCGAATTTCTTAAAATTCAACATTTTTTCTTCTCTTTTATAGCCTTTAGCTTCAATATTTTTGTGCTCTTAAAAAACACTTTACTTTTTTAATAGTCTCCACCCTTTGGTAAAAAATCAAAAATTTTTAAAAATTCGAAAAACCGAATTTCTTAAAATTCAACATTTTTCCTTCTCTTTTATAGCCTTTAGCTTCAATATTTTTGTGCTCTTAAAAAACACTTTACTTTTTTAATAGTCTCCACCCTTTGGTAAAAAATCAAAAATTTTTAAAAATTCGAAAAACCGAATTTCTTAAAATTCAACATTTTTCCTTCTCTTTTAGGGCATTTAGCTTCAATATTTTTGTGCTCTTAAAAAACACTTTACTTTTTTAATAGTCTCCACCCTTTGGTAAAAAATCAAAAATTATCAAAAATTCGAAAAACCGAATTTCTTAAAATTCAACATTTTTCCTTCTCTTTTAGGGCATTTAGCTTCAATATTTTTGTGCTCTTAAAAAACACTTTACTTTTTTAATAGTCTCCACCCTTTGGTAAAAAATCAAAAATTATCAAAAATTCGAAAAACCGAATTTCTTAAAATTCAATATTTTCTCTTCTATTTTATGGCATTTAGCTTCAATATTTTTGTGCTCTTAAAAAACACTTTACGTAATTAATAGTCTCCACCCTTTAGCAAAAAATCTAAAATTATCAAAAATTATCAAAAATTCGAAAAACTGAATTTCTTAAAATTCAATATTTTCTCTTCTATTTTATGGCATTTAGCTTCAATATTTTTGTGCTCTTAAAAAACACTTTACTTATTTAATAGTCTCCATCCTTTGGTAAAAAATCAAAAATTATCAAAAATTCGAAAAACCGAATTTCTTAAAATTCAACATTTTTTCTTCTCTTTTAGGGCATTTAGCTTCAATATTTTTGGACTCTTTAAAAACACTTTACTTATTTAATAGTCTCCACCCATTTTTTTTTTATGTTTTCATAGTAAATTATTTGTTTTCTTTAATATTTTCTTATAGATGGAAAAGTGACAGTTTTTACGACTTCATATACTTTAGATGCTTATTTTACAATATAAAAAATATTTTTAAAAATTCTTTTTTTTTGCAATAATTCTAATGTCTTTAAAATCAATCTTGCAAAATATTACAATTTTTTAAAATTAATCGGCAACGACTTTAGTCAAAATATAATGGAATGACTCTTATTTTTAATTAATTAATTATCAATTATCAATTTAATATAACAATTAATAATACTTAGAAATTTATTGTAGTTTTTCAACAGAATTTTAATCCTATTTTTCCGTCTTCAGTATTTTCGTTACATTAATATTTACACAATACACAATATTATTTTTATTTTATTTTTTTTATTAATAAAATTTGTCATTTATAATTATTATTAATAATATATAATTTTTTCGAGATAAAGTTTTGGTGAAAATTTGTGATAATCCTTGTAACTAAAAACTTTTACAGTTGTCAAAACACAATCTTCAATAGTTTTGTGAGATTTTTTTTAGAGATTATTAAGAATGTGTCCGATTTTCTCTTCTTTCTTCTCCTGTTATTGAGAGTTTTTCTTGATTTCTTAATTTCTTGATTAAATTTCTGCTTCAGGTTCCACAATTTCAGGCTGTTTATTTTCAATTATAATTTCTAATCCGTTTGCAATATTTCCCATATCTTGACGATTGTTGTCGTTATTTTCCAGATTGTCATTGTTTGGATTTTGTCGATAAGTCACAAAACTCGGAGCAAAATCAAGATCAGTGAAAATGTTTCGATTCATTGGAAAAATACCAGTTTTTTGAAAACCATCGCGAATATTTCCTGAAGTAAAAGCTTGTGGCATTGAAGTAGCAATGATACTGGGGATGTTCTGTATTTTCATTGTTTTTCCAGGATTGTTCCTTAACCAAGCATCGCAGCTGGAATTTATTGCTTTTTTCAATGGACCAAAGCAAGAACTCTCTAAAGGTTCAAGTTTGTGAGAACAATGGGGTGGAAAAGAAAGTAACACAATTCCGTTTTCCTTCGAATATTCCAAACAATTAATATGTATATGTGACGAATGATTGTCAAGTACTAACAATACTTTATTTTCTTTCGAAGCGTGAGTATGTTTCTGAAAATGTTTTAAAAACTCAAGAAAATTATCATCTTGCATCCAACCAGAAGTATTGGCTACTCCTACTGAACCGAGTGGAGCATCTTTTATGAAATGATCACGAAACCGAACACGTGGAAATACAAACATTGGAGGAAGTACATTTCCTACAGCATTTACAGTAAAAGCTAATGTGACCAGAGTTCCCTTTTCTGATGTTATTGACCCAATTTGTTCGCTTCCTCGACGCGCTACAACTCTGTCTTGCTTTTGTATCGTCGTGACACCAAGTTCATCGAAATTATATATATTTTTAGCTTCAAAGTCATGACGATCCATAATACTTTTCAAATTATCATAAAATGCATCGACATTTATTCGATTAAAACTAGTCGCCCTGGATAAACTCTCGCCTTGAGCAGTTCTTACCGATAATTCTGGATTTCTCAACATAAAAGATTTGAACCAGTAAATACCAGCCGATTTATTTTCATCCCACTTACTTGGTCTTTCAAGATTATAAACAACGGCCATTTCAAATGCCAATTTTCTGATTTCTCTAGACGAAAGTCCAAAATAAATATCACAACTCCTCAGTAAATAATTTGACAATATTTTTTCTTGTGAATCAGTGAAAACTTTATTATGTGCGGCATAACCCATTGTACTAACTGCTGTTGAATTCTCTTCACTGGCCTTTTTTCTTTTCTGTTTATATCGGCTCAACGACATGTGACATAATCCATGTCTCTTAGCGGCAATTCTCAAAGATAAACCTTTTTCTAAATCCTCATAAGCATTTTCGTATTTAAAGAGGTTATGCTCTCCGCGAACTGTTTTTCTCAATCGTGGCATCTGTAATGTGAGCGATAATGAATTTTTATGGAAATTATGAGTGTACAATTATTAATTAATTAACTAACCTTTTAATATTCACACTGACAGATTTTTCGCACAAAATTCAACAGATTTTTTGTGTACACAAAAAGTAAACACTTGTCACACTAGTTTCATTGTTTATAGTCCAGTTTTCAGATTTTATAGGGGTTATGTAGCTCGACATTTTGTGAGACGCGCCGAGTCTGATTCGCGCGGTAAAACTCTCGAAATTCAAATTCTGATTAGGATTTGGGAATTCAATTTCATAATTTTAACATCGAAATTCTTATTATCGAAATGTCATTTCACATAATTTTCATATTTCAAAATGCCATTGAACATAATTTTTAATTATTCGAATTATTCTTTATCTTAATATTTAAATATTAGTATTATTCTTTGAAATTACATTTTAAGGGGAGGAGACCCCACCTTTATTTTGACCCCTTTAAAATAAAATTATTAAACGAGGTAATATTTTTTTTCTTGCATAATTTTTAACCTGAAAACATGTAAGATGGTCAAAAATATTTAATTTTAATTTTTGAAGAGGTTAGAATTTTTTTTCTTCTGACCTATTGCATATTATTGCAAATCCATATGCGAGAAGTTGTTTAGAATGGTAAAATATGTATGGAAAAAAAATTTCGTTGAAAAATATTAAAAACTGTAAGAGAAGATCAATTTTTAATATTCAAATCTTTAACTTTTGCCGAAATTTCGAAAGCAAAGTTTTAATTTTTTTCCAAATTGTGTATACTTACGTCATTTGATGCTATTATTCAAAAAACATTGTTAAAATTGACATTAAATTGGACAAAAATAAAGGTTCAGGACTTCCGAAATTTCGGCAAAATTTAAAGATTTGAATATTAAAAATCGATTTTCTCTTACAGTTTTTAATATTTTTTAACGAAAATTTTTTTCCATGCTTACTTTACCATTCTAAACAACTTCTCGCATGGATTTGCAATAATATGCAATAGGTCAGAAGAAAAAAATTCTAACCTCTTCAAAAATTAAAATTAAATATTTTTGACCATCTTATGTGTTTTCAGGTTAAAAATGATGCAAGAAAAAAAATATTACCTTGTTTAATAATTTTATTTTAAAGGGGTCAAAATAAAGGTGGGGTCATAATTTTTATTTACTCGAATTTTCGCAAGATATATATTTTTTTAACCGAATTCCCATATTACATAACCTTTAAATCTTCGAAATGTCATATTTCAGAAATTTTATTTGTCATAATTTTCATTTATTCGAATAACCATTTAACATAGATATAAAATTTATTTGTCCGAAATTCCATTTGACATAATTTTCAAATTTCCAAAACTACTTTTTAACAGCTATAATGCAAGTCACAGAAATTTCATTTGTCCTGAAATAACAATGAAATTTTCGAATATTTTTCTCATCTGTATTATTATTTTAGGAGAAATGAAATTTCAGTGACTTTTGTATTATAGATTAAAAAGTGGTTCAGAAATTTGAAAATTATGTCAAATGGAATTTCGAACAAATAAATTTCATGTTAAATGGTTATTCATTTTACTTAAAACTGTAAATTAAATTGTTTTATAATAATTAAATTGTTAAAATAATTATTTTATATTATAAGAATATTGTACTTCTTCAAAATTATTTTTATCATTTCAATTCAATTATTATTTTCAAGAATTTATAACTAAAATTCTTCTTAAAATCGATTAATTTTAATAATTTACGAAAAAGTTTTTTGAAAATTTCCAAATCTTTTTTTCATTTTTAAATCAATTTTTATTATAAAATTCTACTATTAAATTCAATTATTAAAATACAAAAATAAATAATTCATTGAATAATTCAATCTTTCTTAAAATTCAATTCTCATAAAGAAATTTATCAACAAATTTTGAAAAATAATTACATTTTCCAAGGAATTCGTTCAAAATTTTATTAAAAATAATTAAAATTCTTCGATGGTTTATAAAAATAATTGAATTCTTAAGAAGAATTTGATTATTTTTGAACATAATTAAATTTCTGCGAAGGATTTTATTATTTTTGAAAACAATTGAATTTCTGCAATAATTTGTAACTTCTTCAAAATGAAATTTTTTTTTAGTATTAACTAAAATTTTTCTATAAATCCATTATTTTTAATAGTATTTGAAAAAGTTTTTTGAGAATTTTCAAATTCATTTGTTTCTAAACTGAAATTCATTTTTAAATCAATTCTTATTAGAAAACTCTACGAGAATTCAATTATTTAAATATCAAAAAAATAATTTATTAAATAATTAAATGTTTCTTAAAATTCAATTCTCATAAAGAATTTTATCAACAAATATTCAAATAATTGAATTTATTTGACGAATTTTAATAACATTTTTAAGAATAATTATAAATTTTTCGAGAAATTCGATTGAAATTGTATTAGAAAGTAATTCATAAAAAAAACAATTGGATTATTGCGAAGTGTTTCATTAAAAATTTTTTTTTTCATGAAATTGTCTTGTAAAAAAAACCTTGTAAAAATAATAATAATATTAATATTACCTATCGCCAAATACTTGATGTGACATTTCTGGTTCAAATGATATTTCATCATCTTCAATATCTTTTGCTTCACGAATTAACTTTAAATCTAACACTGTATTACTGTCACAGACAAATTGCTTCAAATGGGCATTAACAGATTCATCCATTTTTCTGAAACAAAAAAAAATTGTTTTTATAACCAGAATTGATAAAAAACAAACTTTTTTTAAACTCATATTCTTAAAAATGTATTATAGTTATTGCGAAAATTCCTTTTGGACATTGTTACATATTACAAGAAGAGAATTAAAATTTTCTTTTTTTTTGAGTACTTTTAGTAAAAATGTAAAAAATTGCTATAGTTTTTTCATATTTCATCAAAAATGTCTTAGGGCAGTAATTTTATAAAACTAAGGATCCTAAGATAATAAATCAAAATTGTAAATAAATCGTTACTTTTTGAAAGCATGGATCAAACAATACATAACCTATAAAAAAATAATTAAGCCCACTAGACAAGTTACAAAAAATCATTATTACGAATTCCAGTAAAATTTAAATATGAATAAGTGTAACGTATAAATAACCCAACATTTCTGTTGATAAACTACTTTTTGCGTTTACAAAATTACTATTTTTTCAATTCAATAAATTTGATTCCGTATACAATAGTTTTCGAAAAAAAAGTCTGTTACAAAAAAAAATTGCAACACATTAAAAATGAACATTTTTTTTGAAACTTTTAATTTGTTATTCTAACAATAAATTAATAATTTTGAAAAGGAAAATATAGGCTTCCTAGGAATTATCAAATTGTGAAATTTAAAGAATTAGAAAGAATATAATCTTGATTTTAATACTTTCCCGCCTACCGTTTAATGACAATGTGTATAATTGTATATACAACAGAGGAATACGTATAAAATTAGATTTCACTAAAAATATTATTAAATTTGAATTACATACCTTTTTAAAAAATACAACGCATTAAAAAAAATACAATAAATTAATTGTTGTTATACTTATAATCTAAAGAAATTTATTAAATACATTAATTTCACTAATCTCTTGATAAAACTACGAAACTGTCAAGAAGTGAACTGAAAAAATACTTATAGACCATAGACTATATGATTTAAAAAAGATTCAAGCGACTAAAGGTGTTTTCACAAGTCGCTCGCAAGTCATATTTCTGTCCTTTTCTAACTCACGGCGTTTACTGAAAACGATAAGAATAAAAAAAACTATTAAATATATATCTCAACAGTTATATGATTAGTTTATTTTTTTTATAAAAAAAAATATGAAAGTAATATTTGAGATTTAAGTTCGGTATATTAATTTTATTATTCTTCATCACAATATTACGTCAATAAACGTTTAAAGTAATTATAAAAAAATTTTAATTTATATGTATAGTGAAAAACACCAATTATTTAAGGTTATGATATTTCTTTTTTTAAATTTTGATTGGAAAATGCGTGTAACATTGAAAACAATGAAATAAATCAAAATTGTCAATTTTTTATTATAGAACTTATAGTGAAGGAGAATAAAACGAAAACATTCGGACAAATAGTTTTTAAAATTAGTTTAATCCAACGTAAAATTCATAATATTTATCATAACAAAATTAAAATGTTAGAAATAAAATTTTTAAGTTCTTGTAACAATGGTGTTAGTGATGAAGATGATAACTTTAGATTAAAACAACATAAAATTCTTCAAAATAACAACAGTTAATATTATTAATAAAATATTTCAATTTATTGTTTTTTTAAATTAAAATTCTATATTTTAAATAAAAAAAAATATATAACTATTTTATTGCTCAAAATTGTGAAATAAATTATTAATTCTAATTAAACTTCAGTACATTCAATTTTGAGTTTCAATTTAATTGTTAATTCAAATTATCCAAATTTCAATCGATTAAAACAAGTAAAGTCTATTATTCAAAATTTAAACTTTTTAAATTTAAGTTAGTTAATAATCATTTTTTTAGAATTCTCTATATGAGGAGCAAGTTTTCAAAAGATGATAAATCTATTTTTAAAAAAATTAGCACAAATTTAATATTTTAAGAATCTTAAAAATCATTACTGTTAGAGTTTAATAATATTAATAACTTTTTTGTAATTATTTTTTAACAGTGTGCTGCTGTGGGCTGAAATAAAAATTTTTCAAGATTTGAAAGTCGGAATAAAGTAAAAAAAAAATGCCAGATATTAAAGTGACGCCTCTCGGTGCAGGTCAGGATGTTGGTCGAAGTTGTATTTTAGTTTCAATGGGAGGTAAAAATATAATGTTAGACTGTGGAATGCACATGGGCTTTAATGACGAGAGAAGATTTCCAGATTTTTCTTACATTGTTCCCGAGGGTCCAACAACAAATTATATAGATTGCGTTATAATTTCTCACTTTCACTTAGATCATTGTGGTGCACTTCCTTATTTCACTGAAATGGTAAGAAACTTAGAAATAAAATGTTTCTAATGATAGCGTCAAAAACTAATTATTTTCAAAAATTTTCCTCAATTCAATGATTTTCAATAGAAATTTAATCTACTATTCTAATAAAATTTTCCAAAAGAATTCAATTATTTAAAAAGAAATTTAATAAAATTCTACACAAACCTATAATTATTTTCACAAAATAATAAAAATTTTACAGAAATTCAATTATTTACAAATTTTGCATAAATTTCTTAGCCATAATTCAATTATTTTCATAAATAATAAAATTCTTTTTAGGACTTCAATTATTTTCATAAATAATAAAATTTATGGCAGAATTTTGATTATTTTCAATAAAATTTTATTTGAATTCCTCGAAAAATGTAATATTATTCATAAAAATTTTATTAACATTCATTAAAAGAATTCAATTATTTAAAAATTTGTTGATAAAATTCTTTATGAGAATTTACTTGTAAGAAGTCATCAATTCAATAAATTATTTATTTTTGTATTTAAATAATTGAATTCTCATAGAATTTTCTAATCAAAACTGATTTGAAAATTAATTTTTTTTTAAATTTTTAAATAATAATAATTGAATATTAAAAGCATTGGAGCATACATTTTTAGAAAAAATTGAATTTTTAAAAGGTTTCAAATTCAAATCTTGAAAAATCTGAATTTTTCATACTTTTCAACTAACAATTCTGTGGAATTAATTTTTTTTTAAAAAGTTCTCGTCAAAATTTCAATTATTATCTTTTCAAATAATAAACTTCTAAAAAATTCAATTATTTTAAAAAATTCTTATCAAAATTTTAATTATCTTTAGAAATAATTAAATTCTTTATGAGAATTTAATTTTAAGAAACATGCAATCAATAAATTGTTTTTTTCGTATTTAAATAATTGAATTCTACAAGAATTTTCTCATAAAAATTAATTTAAAAATGTATTTCAGTTAAAATTTTCCATTATAATTGAATATTAAAATCATTAGATCGTAAATTTTTGGAAATAATTGAATTTTGAAAAGGTTTCAGATTAAAATCTTTGAAAATTTGAATTTTTTATATTTTTAACTAAGAATTCCGTGGAATTAATTTTTTTTTGAGAAAGTTTAATTGCGGATTTTTTTTATATTATTTGAAGTTTTTATTTTCTAATATGTATTTAATCAAAGAATTTATGAATAATTGAAATTTCGTAAAATTGAATATTGTAAAAAAATAGATTTGAAAATTGTCAAAGGACTTTTTCAAAAATTATTAAAAATTAATATAGATAATCGATTTCAAGATGAATTTTAGTAAATAATTCTTGTAAATAATTCCAATTCCAATTCTTCTGAAATTAGTTAAATTTTTTAATATATATTTTTAATTGATTTTTAAAAATAATGGATTTATAGAAGAATTTTAATTAAAAACACTAAAAGAAATTGAATTTTAAAGCAATTACAAATGATTGCAGACATTCAATTATTTTCAAAAGAAGTAAAATTCTTCTTAGACATTCAATTATTTTCAACAATTTTAATAAAATTTATGGCAAGATTTTAATTATTTTAAAAAACTTTTCCTCAATTCAATGATTTTAAAATAGACATCTACTACTTTAATAAAATTTTTCAAAAGAATTCAATTATTTAAAAAATTTTTTAATAAAATTCTACGCAAACATTTAATTATTTTCATAAATAATAACATTTTTTATACACGAATTCAATTATTTCCATAAATAATAAAACTCATCGCAGACTTTCAATTATTTTTAATACAATTTTAATGGAATTCCTCGAAAAATGAAATTATTCTTAAAAATTTTAATAAAATTCATCAAAGAAATTCAATTATTTTAAAAACCTTTGCGACATTTTATTTATTAGAATTTAAGTATAATTTTCTATAGAGTTTTAATTAAATTTCTTGAAAAAATTAAATTATTTTCAAAAATTTTAATGAAATTCTTTGTAACAATTCATTTTTTTCAAAATAATTTTAATAAAATTCTTCGTAGAATTTTAAATAATTTCAAAAATTTGTCAAAATTCAATTACTTTTAATGTCTACTATTTCAATAAAATTTCATAAAAGAACTCAATTATTTAAAAAGACATTATAATAAAATTCATCTCAAGAATTCAATTATTTTTAAAAATTAATATAATTCTTCGTAGAAATTTAATTGTGTTCAATAATTTACAAAAATTCTTATCAAAATTTCAATACTCTTTTTAAATTTTTCTCCGGAATTCAATTATTTTCAAAAATTTCAATAAAATTCTTGGCAAAATTTCAATTATTTTCAAAAACTCCTTAAAAATTCTTTGGAGAAATTCAATTATTTTTAATTAAAATTTTAATCAAATTTCCGAAAAATGAACTTATTTTTAAAAATTATGTTAAGATTTGTCAAGAGAAATCAAATATTTAAAAATTTGTTGAGAAAATTCTTTCTGAGAGTTCAATTTTACGAAATATTCAATTATTCAATAAAATTATTCATTTTTGTATTTCAATAATTGAATTCTCGTGGATTTTTTTTAGTAAATATTGATTTAAAAATTAACTTCAGTTAAAATTTTAATAAAATTCTTGGCAAAATTTCAATTATTTACAAAAATTTTTTTAAAATTCTTTGCAGAAATTCAATTGTGTTCAAAATTTGTTAAAAATTTTAATAAAATTCTTGGCAAAATTTCAATTATTTTCAAAAATTTTCTTCAATTCAATGATTTTTAATATCTACTATTTTAATAACATATTCGAAAAGAATTTCATTATTAAAAAAAAATTCAATAAAATTCTACACAAACATTCAATTATTTTTATAAATAATAAAAAATTTTACAGCAATTCAATTATTTACAAATTATTTATAAATTTCTTTGCAATAATTCAATTATTTTCATAATTAATAAAATTTCTATTCAATTATTTTCGTAAATAATAAAATTCTTTTTAGGAATTCAATTATTTTCATAAAATAATAAAACTCATTGTAGAATTTCAATTATTTTTAACGCAATTTTAATCGAATTTCTCGGTAAATTGTATAAACATTTGTTGATAAAATTTTTATGAGAAATTAATTTTAAGAAAAACTAACTTAATAAATTATTCATTTTTGTATTTAAAGAATTGAATTCTCGTAGAATATTCTAATAAAAATTTTTTTAAAACTGAATTTCAGTTAAAATTTTAGATTATAATTATATATTAAAAGTATTATAACGAGGATTTTTTTTTTGAAATAATTGAATTTTGAAAAGGTTTCAGATTAAAATCTTTGAAAATTTGAGTTTTTCATATTTTTAACTAAACAATTCTGTGGAATTAATGTTTTGTTTTTGGGACATAAATAATTCATAAATAAGAAAATTCTTTTTACAAATTCAATTATTTTCATAAACAATAAAACTCATAACAGAATTTCAATTATTTTTAAGACAATTTTAATCGAAATCCTACAAAAATGTAATTATGCTTAAAACTTTTAATACAATTTGTCAAAAGAATTCAATTATTTTTAAAAATTTTGTTGATAAAATTCTTTATGAGAATTCAATTTAAAAAAAAATGTTAAATTATTCAATAAGTTGTTAATTTTTGTATATTGCAATAATTAAATTCTCGTAGAATTTTCTAATAAAAATTGATTTAAACATGAATTTTAGATAATAATTGAATGTTAAAAGGTGAATGATGTGAATTTTTAGAAATAATTAAATTTTGTGAAGGTTTCAAAATTAAAATCTTTGAAAACTTTAACTTTTCGTACTTTTTGATTAACAATTCTGTAGAATTAATTTTTTTAAAAAAAGTTTAATGGAATTTTTCTTTAATTCTTCAAGTTTTTATTTTCTATTATAAATTTAAATGAAGAATGTCAGAATAATCGAAATTACGTAAATTGTAAACAAAAAGAATTTAAAAATTCTCAAAGAAGAACTTTTTCAAAAATTATTGAAAAAAAATTGATTTCAAGAAGAATTTTAGTTAAAAATTCTAGAAATGAAGAATTGAACTGAAATGAAAATAATTTTGAAGAAATTACAGTAACAATATTATTATATAATAAAATAATGATAGTATCAAGTTTGAATGATTATAAGACATGAAGAAAGCGATTACTCCGAGTCGAAGAATCGGAGTTATCGATATCTTCATGTTTTATAGAATTATAAGTAAGAAACTTGTGTAAGTGAGACAAAATTCTCGGTCCCTTGGATTCTCACTGTACATTCGTTTATTATCACTTTGTCAGAAAAATAATAATCTTTTTTCTTTAACAGGTTGGATACACGGGTCCAATATACATGACACATCCTACAAAGGCTATTGCGCCAATTCTATTAGAAGATATGCGCAAAGTTGCTGTTGAACGTAAAGGAGAGAGTAATTTCTTTACCTCGCAAATGATTAAGGATTGTATGAAGAAAGTTATCGCTGTCACTCTACATCAGTCAGTGATGGTCGATTCAGAATTGGAAATAAAAGCTTATTATGCTGGACATGTATTGGGAGCGTCAATGTTTCATGTTCGAGTTGGATCGCAATCTATTGTCTATACCGGGGATTATAATATGACTCCAGACAGGCATTTGGGTGCCGCCTGGATAGACAAATGTAGACCGGATTTATTAATTTCAGAGTCTACATACGCAACAACTATTCGTGATTCCAAGAGATGTCGTGAAAGGGACTTTTTGAAAAAGGTACGAACGTCAAAATCTCTATTTTTAACTTCTCGATTCATCAGCAACGGCTTCTTTTCCCGAAAATACTTTAAAGGGTCTTTTAATAATTAAATTAATTGTATCGACCGTTCAATGATACACCAAAAACCAAAATATTTCTATAAAATTCTTTCGAAACATTTCAATTATTTTTATAAATATAGTAAAATTCTTCATAAGAATTCAATTATTTTCAATTCGATATTTTAAAAAAAATTCTTCTCCAAAGTTCACATATTTTCATAAAATAGTAAAAAAAAAGTAATAAAAAAGTAAAAAATTCTTCTTTAAATCAATTTATTTACAATAATTTTTAATCAGATTCTGAGAATTTTCAAATGTATTTGTTTACAATTCACTTTTACGAAATTTCATCGATTATTCGGAAATTCTTCAATTAAATATATATTTGAAAATAAAAACTTCGAATAAATTTTAATTAACCTTTTTGAAAAAAAATTAATTCTACAGAATTATTAGTTAAAAATACGAAAAATTCAGATTTTCAAAGATTTTAATCTGAAACTTTTTCAACATTCAATTATTTCTCAAAATTCGCTCTTTAATGCTTTTAATATTCGATTAGTATGTAAAATTTTAACTGAAATTCACTAAAATCAATTTCTATTAGAAAATTCTACGAGAATTCAATTATTTAAATAAAAATAAAATGCAAATAAATAATTCGTATTGAATAATTCAATGTTTCTTAATATTGAATTCTCATAAAAAATTTTATTAACAAAATTTTAAACAAATAAATTCTTTTGACGAATTTTAATAAAATTTTTTAAAAATAATTACATTTTTCGAGGTATTTGATTCAAATTGTACTAAAAATAATTGAAATTCAGCGCTGAGTTTGATTATTTATGAAAATAATGAAATTATTGCGAAGAAATTTATAAAAAAGTTTGTAAATAATAGAATTCTTGTAAAATTATTTTATTATTTATAAAAATAATTAAACGTTTGCGTAGGATTTTAATAAAATTTTTTTTTAAAAATTGAATTCTTTTAGAAAACTTTATTAAAATATTAGATATTGAATATCATTGAATATGGGAAAATTTTTGCAAATAATTAAAATTTTGCCAAGAATTTTATTAAAATTTTTTGAAAATAATTGAATTTCGAAAAAGAATGTTATTATTTTTAAAGATAATTGAAATTTTGACGAGAATTTCTTTAAATTTTTTAATATAATTGAATTTCTGCGATGAATTTTATTATTTTTGAAAATAATTGAATTTTTGCAATTATTCTAAAATTTTGTAAAATTTAAAATTAAAATCTTTTCAAGTTCATCTATTTTTTATGAAAATTGTAAAATAAGAGACCATTTTACTTAAAACTATAAATTAAAATTTTTTATACTATAAAACATGAAGAAATCGATAACTCCGAGTCAAAGACTCGGAGTGATCCATTTCTTCATGTTTTATAAAAATTCAAGACGACCGAGAGATAAAATCATTATCAATTCAATTATTATTTTTAAGAATTTTTAACTGTAATGCTTCTTAAAATCAATTATTTCAATAATTTTCGAAAAAGTTCTTTGACAATTTTTAAATTCATTTCTTTACAATATTCAATTTTACGAAATTTCAATTATTCCTAAATTATTTAATTAAATATATTAGAAAATAAAAAATTCAAATAATATAAAAAAATCCGCAATTAAACATTCTCAAAAAAAAAAAATCAATTTGACAGAATTCTTAGTTAAAAATATGAAAAATTCAAATTTTCAAAGATTTTAATCTGAAACCTTTTCAAAATTCAATTATTTTAAAAAATTTACGATCTAATGATTTTAATATTCAATTATAATGGAAAATTTTAAGTGAAATCCATTTTTAAATCAATTTTTATGAGAAAATTCTTCTAGAGTTCAATTATTTAAATACAAAAAAAAACAATTTATTGATTGCATGTTTCTTAAAATTGAATTCTCATAAAAAATGTTATAAATAAATTTTTAAATAATTGAATTTTTTTGACGAATTTAAATAAAATTTTTAAAAATAATTACATTTTTTCGAGGAATTCGATTAAAATTGTATTAAAAATATTAATTGAAATTCTGCGATGAGTTTTATTATTTATCAAAAAAATTGAATTTCTAATAAGAATTTTATTATTTACCAAAATAATTGAATCCCTGTAAAAATTTTATTATTTAAGAAAATAATTGAATGATTGCGAAGAAATTTATAAAAAAATTTGTAAATAATGAAATTTCAGTAAAATTTTTATTATTTTTTGAAAATAATTAAAGGTTTGTGTAGAATTTAATAAATTGTTTTTTAAATAATTGAATTCTTTTGGAAAATTTTATTAGAATAGTAGATTCCTAATAAAAATCATTGGATTGAGAGAAATTTTTGAAAATAATTGAAATTTTGCCAAAAATTTTATTAAAATTTTTGAAAATAATTGAATTTCAGAGAAGAATTTAATTATTTCTAAAGATAATTGAAATTTTAACAAGAATTTTATTAAAATTTTTTAAAAGAATTGAATTTTTGCGAAGAATTTTATTATTTGAAAAGATAATTGAAATTTTGACGAGAACTTTAAAAAAAATTAATTATGCAGAATTGTTAGTTGAAAAATATGAAAAATTCAAATTTTCCAAGATTTTAATTTGAAACCTTTTTAAAATTTAATTTTTTCCAAAAATTCATACTCCAATGCTTTTAATATTCAATTATCTAAAATTTCAAAAAAAATTAATTTCAAAATCAGTTTTAATTTGAAAATTCTAGGAGAATTCAATTATTTAAATACAAAAATAAATAATTTATTGAATAATTGATTTCTTCTTGAAAATAAATTCTCATAAAGAATTTCATCAACAAATTTTTAAATAATTGAATTCTTTTGATGAATCTTAATATAATTTTTATGAATAATTATATTTATCGAGGAAAAATTTTTCGAGGAATTCGAATAAAATTTTATTAAAAATAATCAAAATTCTGCTATAAATTTTATTATTTATGAACATAATTAAAGTCCTAAAAACAATTTTATTATTTATGAAAATAATTGAATTATGGCTAAGAAATTTTTGCAAAATTTGTAAATAATTGAATTTCTGTGAAATTTTTATTATTTTGTGAAAATAATGAAAGGTTTGTGTAGAATTTTATTAAATTTTTTTTTTTAATAATTGAATTCTTTTAGAAAATTTTATTAGAATCGTAGATTCCTATTAAAAATCATTGAATTGAGGAAAATATTTTTGAAAATAATTCGAAATTTTGACAAGAATTTTATTAAAATTTTTGAAAATAATTGAATTTCGAAGAGGAATTTAATTATTTCTAAAGATAATTGACATTTTAACGAGAATTTAATTATTTCTAAAGATAATTGACATTTTAACGAGAACTTAAAAAAAATTTTGAACATAATTGAATTTTTGCGAAGAATTTTATTACTTTCGAAAATAATTGATTTTCTACAATCATTTGTAATTTCTCTAAAATTATCCAAATTATATCGTACAATTTATACGACTTTACGGACCTTTTTCAATCAAATTACGGACTTTGCGGTCCTTTTTTTTTAAAAAACAACTTTTATGGACTTGAAGTAAAGTTACGGACTTTTGCGGGATTTACGGAGACTAAATAAATTACTTACTGTCTCAATATAAATTATAAATTTTTCTAGGTCCATGAATGTATTGATAGAGGTGGCAAAGTATTAATACCAGTTTTCGCTCTTGGCCGTGCGCAAGAATTATGCATTCTATTGGAGACCTATTGGGAGCGAATGAATCTCAAAGTGCCAGTATACTTTGCCTTGGGTCTAACGGAGAAGGCAAATAACTATTATAAAATGTTCATCACTTGGACTAATCAGAAAATTAAAAAAACTTTCGTTCAACGTAACATGTTTGACTTTAAGCACATAAAACCATTCGATAAGGCCTACATAGATAATCCAGGGGCAATGGTTGTGTTTGCCACTCCGGGTATGTTGCACGCGGGTCTTTCGTTGCAGATCTTTAAAAAATGGGCGCCAAATGATGCGAATATGGTGATAATGCCCGGTTTCTGCGTTCAGGGCACCGTTGGCCATAAAGTTCTCAGTGGCATTAAAAGAATTGAATTCGAGAATCGTCAAATTGTTGAAGTTAAAATGGCCGTTGAGTATATGTCTTTTTCGGCGCACGCCGACGCTAAGGGAATTATGCAATTAATTCAGAGTTGTGAACCAAAGAGTGTCATGTTGGTTCATGGCGAATTTGCTAAAATGGAATATCTCAAGGAGAAAATAAGACAAGAATTTGGTGTGAATTGTTATAATCCGGCGAATGGCGAAACTTGTGTTATTACAACAGTGTCGAAAGTTGCAGTCGATACGTCGCTTGCTTTACTTAAAGCCGAAGCTAAACGGTACTCGGCACTGCCTCCTGATCCCAAGAGACGTCGATTACTTCATGGTGTTTTAATTTTAAGAGAGGACGGAGTTTGCCTCGTTGACACTGATGAGGTAATTTCGAAATTATTAACATACCTTTATGAAAAAGTATTTTTTTCTTTGCTAAAAAGGTTTTTTTTTTTTTTTTTGAAAATTTTGGCGCCTTTTTGTATTATAAAATAGTTTAAATAGGTTTGATAATTCAGGGTTGCCACGCTTTTCCTCATTTCAATTTCCCTGACTTTTACAGGTTTTCCAGATTAAAAAAACGGAATTTTTCCAGATTTTTAAAACTACATTTATATTTTACCAAATATAATTTTTAATTTTAATTTTATTTTTAATTTTACCAAACTCCCTGATTTCCAGACAAAACGTCTTTTTTCCTGTTCTATTACATATATATATTTACGAATTTCTTTAATTGTAAAATTACTCAAAAACATCAATGACTTCATTTTTAAATGAATATTTAATCATTATTATTTTTTTACAGAAATTAAGATTTTCAAAAATTTTAAATTCAATAACATAAAAATATTTATTATAAAACATGAAGATATCGAGTCTTCGACGCGAAGTAATCGCTTTCTTCATATTTTATAATCAGTAAAACTTGATACTATCATTATTTTATATTATAAAAATATTATTACTGTAATTTCTTCAAAATTATTTTCATTTCAATTCAATTTTTCATTTCTAGAATTTTAAACTAAAATTCTTCTTTAAATCAATTTTTTTTATAATTTTTGAAAAAGTTCTTTGAGAATTTCCAAATTCTTTTGTTTACAATTTAACGTAATTTCGATTATTCTGACATTCTTCAATTAAATATATATTAGAAAATAAAAACTTGAAGAATTAAAGAAAAATTCAATTAAACATTTTTAAAAAAAAATTAATTCTACAAAATTGTTAAAATCAAAAAGTACGAAAAATTCAAATTTTCAAAGATTTTAATTTTGAAACCTTCACAAAATTCAATTATTTCTAAAAATTCACATCATTCATGTTTAAATCAATTTTTATTAGAAAATTCTACGAGAATTTAATTATTGCAATATACAAAAATTAACAACTTATTGAATAATTTAACATTTTTTTTTAAATTGAATTCTCATAAATAAATTTATCAACAAAATTTTTAAAAATAATTGAATTCTTTTGACAAATTGTATTAAAAGTTTTAAGCATAATTACATTTTTGTAGGATTTCGATTAAAATTGTCTTAAAAATAATTGAAATTCTGTTATGAGTTTTATTGTTTATGAAAATAATTGTATTTCTGAAAAGAATTTTTTTATTTCTGAATTATTAATGTCCCAAAAACAAAAAATTAATTCCACAGAATTGTTTAGTTAAAAATATGAAAAACTCAAATTTTCAAAGATTTTAATCTGAAACCTTTTCAAAATTCAATTATTTCAACAACAAAAAATCCTCGTTATAATACTTTTAATATTTAATTATAATCTAAAATTTTAACTGAAATTCAGTTTTAAAACCATTTTTATTAGAATATTCTACGAGAATTCAATTCTTTAAATACAAAAATAAATAATTTATTAATTTAGTTTTTCTTAAAATTAAATTCTCATATTGAATAATTCCATGTTTCTTAAAATTGAATTCTCATAAAGAATTTTATTAATAAATTTTTAAATAATTCAATTCTTTTGACGAATTTTAATAAAATTTTTAAGAATAAAGATAATTGAATTTCTACAATGAATTTTATTATTTTATGAAAATAATTGAATTCCTAAAAATAATTTTATTATTTACGAAAATAATTGAATACAAATTTTATTAATTGTGAAAATAATAATTGAATTATTGCGAAGGAATTTATAAAAAATTTGTAAATAATTGAATTGCTTTAAAAATTTTTATTATTTATGAAAATAATTGAATGTTTGTGTAGAATTTTATTGAATTTTTTTTTAATAATGAAATTCTTTTGGAATATGTTATTAAAATAGTAGATATTAAAAATCATTGAATTGAAGAAAATTTTTGAAAATAATTGAAATTTTGCCAAGAATTTTATTAAAATTTTTAACAAATTTTGAACACAATTGAATTTCTGCAAAGAATTTAAAAAAAATTTTTGTAAATAATTGAAATTTTGCTAAGAATTTTATTAAAATTTTAACTGAAATTAATTTTTAAATCAATATTTACTAAAAAAAAATCTACGAGAATTCAATTATTGAAATACAAAAATGAATAATTTATTGAATAATTGAATATTTCGTAAAATTGAACTCTCAGAAAGAATTTTCACAACAAATTTTTAAATATTTGATTTCTCTTGACAAATCTTAACATAATTTTTAAAAATAAGTTCATTTTTCGGAAATTTGATTAAAATTTTAATTAAAAATAATTGAATTTCCCCAAAGAATTTATTAAGAGTTTTTGAAAATAATTGAAATTTCGACAAGAATTTTATTAAAATTTTTGAAAATAATTGAATTCCAGAGAAAAATTTATAAAGATTATTGAAATTTTGACGAGAATTTTTGTAAATTATTGAACACAATTAAATTTCTGCAAAGAATTATATTAATTTTTAAAAATAATTGAATTCTTGAGACGAATTTTATTAAAATATCTTTTTAAATAATTGAATTCTTTTATGAAATTTTATTGAAAATAGTAGACATTGAAAATAATTGAATTATGACAAATTTTTGAAATTATTTAAAATTCTACGAAGAATTTTATTAAAATTATTTTGAAAAAAATTGAATTGTTACAAAGAATTTCATTAAAATTTTTCAAAATAATTTAATTTTTTCAAAGAAAATTTAATTAAAACTTTATAGAAAATAATAATTAAATTCTAATAAATAAATTGTAGCAAAGGTTTTTAAAATAAATGAATTTATTTGATAAATTTGAATAAAATTTTTAAGAATAATTTCATTTTTCGAGGAATTCCATTAAATTTGTATTAAAAATAAATGAAAGTCTGCGATGAGTTTTATTATTTATGAAAAGAATTGAATTCCTGTAAAAAATGTTATTATTTATGAAAATAATTAAATGTTTGCGTAGAATTTTATTAAAAATTTTTTTAAATAATTGAATTCTTTTGAAAAATGTTATTAAAGTAGTAGATGTCTATTTTAAAATCATTGAATTGAGGAAAATATTTTTGAAAATAATTCGAAATTTTGACATAAATTTTATTAAAATTGTTGAAAATAATTGAATTTCTAAGAAGAATTTTACTTCTTTTGAAAATAATTAAATTTCTGCAATCATTTGTAATTGCTTCAAAATTCAATTTCTTTTAGTGTTTTTAATTAAAATTCTTCTATAAATCCATTATTTTTAATAAAATCAATTAAAAATATATATTAAAAAATTTAACTAATTTTAGAAGAATTGGAATAATTAAAATTTCTCAAAAATCATGTATATCAAGTTAGCAGTGCAACTTCACAAAATTCAAAAATGAACAATACTATAATTTGCCGTTAATTAATCGCTAATTAATTGTGAAAGAAATAATTTTGTCGTTTAAATATTTTTTTTTATACAGGGTGCCCTGCTAACTTGATGTCAAGTTAGCAGGGCACCCCCTTGAAACTGTTAAATCAATATATTTCGCAGAATTTCTTGCGCAAGAATTTACCGTTTTTTATCCGTAACAAATCCCATTAATCCTTTTGAAAAATAATTAAAGTTGCGAGGGCAAACAAAAGTTTTCGGCTTTAGAAGTGTAGAATAACCACTTTAACCGCACTCATAGGGTTATTCCTGTGTTTTAAATTTACCGCTTGTCGAATTTAAATTAATTGTGTCCGGGAAAAAATCGTATGATTATTTTCAACTTAACATTAGATAATATCAAGTTAAGCCAACCTCCTATCTCAATTTTTTATATTTGTTTTCATTTTTATAAATTCCACACTTTCGCCACTAGTTGTGCAATGTACTATTGTACCAAATGATCAAAATATTAGTGTACGGAACCCGCTATTTCAGTGCAAGTGAAATTCGCACTTGCCCAGTTTTTTTTAAATGCCGTCTAACATAAAAATAAACAATTATGAAAAGATAAAAATTACTTCGGAGGCGAGGGAATATTAATTTAGTTAAAATTTCTAAAATTTTTGTAAGATCCTGGAAAAAAATTTCAAATATAGTGTTTTTCCTACCTTGGATCCTCTTGCAATTTTTTTTAATTACTTCATACATTAAAATTTACAATTATCAAAAGAAAAAATTGTTTCTAAGGCATGAAAATGATAATTTAATTGAATAAACAATTTAATTTAATACCGAGATTTTTTTAAAAATCATAACTATTATAAATGGTACAATATAAATTAAATTTATCAATCTTTTTCTGTGAAAGTCAGGTGGCAGATTGCACCCGTAGTAATTTCTTAAATCATTAATGCGCGCATAGAATTTTACTAGTAAATTGAATAAGTTAATAAAATATCTCTGAATATCTATAATATATTTAAAATATAAGTAAATAACGTAAATATTTTTTCCCATTGACTATAAACGTTGTAAAAATAATCTCAGGGCATTCTAGCGATATTTTTATTATATCCCTAGGATATCCTGTGAATATCCTCTAGATATACCAAGGACAGCTATAAGATATCCCTACACTGTAAAAAATTTATGGAGTTAACGGACTCGGGAGTTGGGAGTGAAATTTTTTGAGTTAAAAATCAACTCTAGAAGAGAGTTAATTTACTAACTTCTACTAACTCCCTTTATCACAAAATTTTATTCACAACCATTGTTTACATGATTCTTTATGTTTTTTTATTATTGTAGATTATGTAAATGCAATATTATAAATAAAAAACCAAACGGTCCGGTTTACCCCAGGGGGTGGGGCAAACCGGACCGTTTGCAAAATTTTTTAAAGTTAACACAGCAACTTAACAATAAAAGATAAGGTATATGTGTCTCTGGGAAAAAGTTGCGCAATTAAATGATCATTCAAACAAGCCATCGAAAAGTGAAATCAGTTGATTCGTTTGGTCACAAGAGTCAAAAAACCGTTAGGGGGTCCGGTTTGCCCCACTCT